ATACGTGGAAAACATGGCAGAAATAAATAGTAACATATACAAATTCACCATAATAGCTGGATATTTTAACTTACCTCTCTCCATAAATGAAAAATAATGACTCATAAATAATTAAAGGAATTTGTCACCAGGCATGGTGGCTCACACCTGTAATCCCAGCACTTTGGGAGGTCAGAAGTTCAAGACCAGCCTGGCCAACATGATGAAACCCCATTCTCTTTAAAAAAAAAATTAGTTTGGTGTGGGGGCCCAGTTACTCTGAAGGCTGGGACAGGGGAATCACTTGAACTTGGGAAGTGGAAGTTGTAGTGAACCAAGATCACACCCACTGCATTCCAGCCTCGATAACAGAGCAAGCCTCTCTCCAAAAATATAATAATAATAATAATAATAATAATAATAATTTGTAAAAGCAAAGCAGAGGGGAATTACTCTACAGATAGCTGGATATACATCAAAGTCATGAGAATACACAGGACAATGGAATGGAACAGGAAACCCACAGGAATATGAGATACAGTTTGGCTGGGTCCCCACCCAAATTTTATCTTAAATTATAGTTCCCATAATTCCCACATGGTGTGGAAAGGACAGGTGGGAGGTAACTGAATCATGGGAGCAGTTACCTCCATACCCTTCTCATGACAGCAAGTGAGGTCTCATAAGGTCTGATGCTTTTATAAGGAGTTTTTCCCCTACTTCGCTCTGCAGTTCTCCTTGCTGCTGCCATGTGAAGAAGAACGCATTTGCTTCCCCCACCATCAGGATAATAAGTTTCCTGAGGCCTCCCCAGCCATGCTGAACTGTGAGTCAATTAAACCTCTTTCCTTTACAAATTACCCAATCTCAGATATGTCTTTATTAGTAGTGTGAGAATGGACTAATACACCAAGGTAGCACAAAACTCAATAAAGTACAGATTGCTTGGTAAAAGGACCGGAAAAACTGGCCTACAACATGGAGAAAATTAAAACTAGAACCATACCTTACACTGTATGAATAGGTAGACTCCAGACAGATTAGAAACCTAGATATGAATGTTAAAAATATACAGTTAATGAAAATCAATGTAGCAAAATATGTTTGGGACCTCATAAACACAACTATCAGGTAAAACACTTATTAGATGTGTTATCTGAGGAAGGGAAGGTTTAGGTGGATCAAATGGCTGCTGCCATAAAACAATGTACAAGACAAGGAATTCCAGGATGGTGAAGTGGTGTGATTGCTGCTAGCAGAGATGGATACATAAAGATAATTTAGGCTTGAGTCTGAAATCCTCAGCTCAAAAATTTTAGACTGAATTCTCAATCTAAAAACCAGAAAAAGCCCCATGTTTTTGTTAACAAAATCTTTTATCTCTTTCTAGTTACAAGGCTGTAACAATTGAAAACCAAGGTCATACCTAATCTTGCTGGTTGCCAAATTATTTTAGTACCCTGAGTTAAATTACCATCCTCATTAGGCCTCTTGGGTAGAACTTAGAGTATTGACCAAGGAACAGTGGGACCTTGATTTGGGATGGGGAAGGGGATTTGGGGGACTCATAATATTCTATACTAGGGAGAACAATAGTCCAGGTTTCAGAACTGAAAGTCCTGTGTCCCAGGAACTCCCTCAGACCCAGGAAACCTGGGATAGTTGACATGTTCTCTTTCACTAATCCAAGCAGTTGCTCTTCCTGTCTAAAGAGGTTCTTACTGCCTTGCTAGAATATCCTGTAATGACCTCACTTGAGATAATAATTACCTTGTAAAGGGAAACCAATTTGCCCTACGCTCCTCCTCCAGTATTATTATTATTTCTATACACCCCAAATCAGATTTCAGCATGGACAGAGGCTGTGGTGGCTGGAATTTAAAAGGCAAATCCAGGAGGAGGAGACTTATGCCAAAAAAAATTTAGATTTTGCTCAAATATACTGGCACAAAACCAAAGAAAAATGTGTGGTATTCTTAGAGCATTACTCTGACAAGGAGAACCATAATTTTGGATTGTGCAGAAATGATTAATCGGGTACCCTTGTCACAGATCCTGGATCGTATGTGCTGCCTTGAGCAGCTGGGGGTGATTCTACTTGTTCAGTTAGTTGAGTGAAACGTGAACTTAATAATGGCCCACATTAAATGAAATTGAGAATCCAAACATTCCTTGAATAAAATAAAGACATTCAAAGATTTACAAAGATGGGAATGCTGGAGTGGAGTTTTCGTGTGCAATCTGACTATCCTAATCTATGAATCCCCCAAGTCTCCTTGGAGGACCTATCGATCACTTTCCTTTCACTAAGGCCTTAAGAGAAATACCGCTGGTGAGGCGGGTACCAGCATCCATGAAAAGCATTTTAATGATGCTTCTTTTTAAGCTAGGAAGGCTTGTGGAAAATGCTGTGATTAAAAGGGGTTCCTGATTTCAATGGAGACATCCGACTCTTGGGGGTTGGTACAGGCTTTAGCATTTAGGAGGAATTAACAACTGGAGACAAGGTGAAAACAGTGATCATAATGGGAGCAGGTCCAGTGTAATCAAGAGTTTGGCTCACAGAAATCTTGGTTGTGGGTAACATGTGGCCTCCTGGCCTGAAATGCTGTCCAAAATTAACAAGGCAGCATAGGTACTGACCAAGAAAAATTGATACCATTGTATAAAACTGATAACAGCCATGCCAGTACATACCAGCTGAATGCCAGCCTGGCCTAGGACCAAATACACTGGCAGTCCACATAGGTCCTACTTGATATATAGAACAATAGCAGAAAAGCCTGCCGCCAAAATAGTGTCACCAAATTGCCACAGATATGAGTGAAAGACCCCTAAAGATGAAGAACTCTGTAATAATGTCATACATTTGTTTCCAAAATCTTCCTTTGAGGTTTCCATTTGCTAAGGTAACAATGCACTGCAGAAAGGAAACTATTAGGCCTTGTGGAGGTCATCCAGGAACAGCTCTGAACAAATATAAATTTCCAGGGTCTCTGAAACCATTGTGGTCTATGGAACAAAGTATATGCTATAGGAGTAAACCCATCCTCCAGTTATTTTTTCCAGTGAAGAGTTAGAATTTATTTCTTCATCCTCTGTAGAAATATTGGATCCCTGATCCATAGAAAGAGGGTTATTTTATCAGGAAGTATGATGAGATTTGCAGAGATGAGCCCCACCATCAAAAGCTTTAAAAGCAGCAGGAGTGTGGTTCTTACCATGTCTTGGTTTAGCATGATCTCTGGCACATGTAGGAGGAGACAGAAGGGTCTCTAAGAATGACTGTACAGCCCAGGTTCAGTGGCTTACGCCTGTAATCCCAGCACTTTGGGAGACTGAGATGGGTGGATCATTTGTGGCCAGGATTCGAGACCAGCGTGGCCAACATAGTGAAACCTCATCTCTTCTAAAAATACAGAAATTAGCCAGGCATAGTGGTATATGCCTGTAATCCTAGCGACTGGGAAGGCTGAGGCACGAGAATCACTTGAATCCTGGAGGGGGAGGTTGCCCTGAGCTGAAATTGGGCCACTGCATTCCACACTTCAACCAGGGCAACAGAGAGAGTGCGCGATCTATTATCTTAAAAAAGAAAAAAAAAAAAGGATGACTGCACATATTCAGAAACTTAATTACATGGCGATTCCAACTGCAGCTGCTGTTAGACAAGTTATTTTTCTTGGAGCAAATCAGAAAGTAGCTGGCTGTTGATTTGGTTAATGCTTTTGTTTTTCCTTTATTCCAGTAAGTAAAGAGCACTTGAAGCATTGACTATCTCAGTAAGCAGCAACGTAGATTGTCTTTTTCCAATGTTACATTAACTTTCTATGTCAAAATATCAGTATCGATGTCAGACCTTTGATCAGCTTACCACTGCACAGGGCAGCATGCTGTACATCTCCAGGCAATATTTTGGTAAAACCTGGAGAATGGAGTCATGTTTTCTGGATGCCTGGTGAGATGTGTCATGCCAGAGGGTGAACGATAAATCCCACGAATGCACTTGGCCTGCAGCCAAGTTTTATAGAGGTCCAGTGTCTGGTACACACTGGGATTTCCCCTTCATCATGAGGAAAATTGTATACTTTGTTTCTCCTATTAACTACTGAGAACTCTCAGTGTTTGGTGGGTAATACGGTTTGGCTGTCCCCATTCAAATCTCACCTTGAATTGCAATAATCCCCACGTGTCTAGGACGAGACCAGGTGGTAATAATGGAATCACAGGGGTGGTTTCCCCAATACTGTTCTCATGGTACTGTATAAATCTCACGAGATCTGATGGCTTCATCAAGGGGAGTTCCCCTACAACAGGCTTTTTCGCCTGCCCCTATGTAAGACGTCGCTTTGCGCTGCCTTCATCTTCTGCCGTGATTGTGAGGCCTCCCCAGCCATGTGGAACTGTGAGTCTATTAAACCTCTTTCCTTTATAAATTACCCAGTTTCAGGTATGTCTTTATTAGCAGCATGAGAATGAACTAATACAGTAGGCCTATTTAAATTCCATGTGCCTTGCTCAAATTCATTTATGGGTTAATCCAAATGTGTTTAGTTCTGACTGGGCTCAGAAACAGAGGTCTCTCTAGCTAGTCCAGGGTGTGGTGAAATTAGTTCCACCATGTGGACCTTGTAAGGGAAACCCAATGGACTCAAGAGTTTCTGTGGCAAATCAGGATTACGTATAAAACCAGGAAGTGTGAGCAACACTATGCTCTCTTCAGACAGTAACTATTGAGATAAAAGCAAGTGAAAAAAACCTGTTCAAAAGGGTTCCATAAAGACTGCAGCAGACAGCATCAGAGCCTTCTCCAGTTCTGAGAGGAGATAGATGGCATGTAAGCAGTCATATATCAATGCTCGAGTTCACAGGCAATGTATGTTTGATTTAATAAGGACTGTTTTAGAGGTCCCTGTGTTGTGGTCTGCCAACTCATCTGGGACACTCAATTCATTATGCAAGTATCCTCAGCTCTTAGCCTACTACGTAACAGACCAATAAGGAATGAAAAGCAAAGAACATACTTGACGATATGCTTGATTTAATTCAGCAAACTTTAAAAAGACATTGCAACTTTTTTTATAAATGAGCACATTTTCCAAACAACCATTTAAAAATATAATATATAGAATATCCAGATTCATAAGTTACAAACAATAGAGACCGATGCTGAGTCGTTTAAAGGAGGTGCCGAACAGCAGAGCATTCAGTAGTAGGCCAGAAATTAGGGTGGCACTAGAGGCTTCAGCAGCAAGAGCTCACAGCCATCTCTCCAGAAGGCTGCCAGAGGACAACTTGATTCCTATCACTTTTTCCCAAATAACACACAGAAGGGGCAGTTTCCCAAAATAAGCAGTGTGTGTAGGGGAAGGGGGGAGGGGAATGCCGGACATTTTGTATGTGCTCATATCAGGCTGTGCCAACAACCAGCAGTCTCCTATACATAGAAAGATGAGTTTTGAATTAGACATGTACTTTTTTTCTATAAAACCTACACTTCCCCATAATACTATCTGAATTAGTATTCCTGATAGGAAAAATGTATTACAGAATGCTCAAATTAGGCTTATAAGAGTAGGTTCTGAAAAATCTCAGAAATAGCTCCAGAAGCAGTAGGGTTCATAACCTAGAATGTCTTTTACTTTACACTTATCTTTCTGTAGCTACTTTTGCTCATGTAATCTGGAAAAAAAACCTCTATTAGGTAGGTAGATGGCATACTGATTCATTTCAAAGGAATAAAGTTAATGGAGTTACTTCTGTTGAAGGCCTGAAAACTTGTAAATGCTAAGTATACTTATTGATAGTTTTGCAAAGACTGTGGGAAAAAAGATTCCTATACTTTGTTTTTAGTACTGGCAAACATTAAGAAATAATTCTTTGGCAATGTAAGTCCTATTTCTTGTTTGCACATAGGCAAAGTGTGAGGCTCCAGCCTGAGTTCCAGCACAACCAAGGCTAGGATGGAAACATGAATGGCAAGATGAAGGACCTGGCAGGGCAGGGCTGGCCCACAGTGAGCCATGGCTTGAAGATCTGAATTGTGCCCTGAGAGGAAACTCATTGTGACCTAAGAAGAACGAGGCAGTACAAAGTGGACCCAGTTCTAAGACCTCCTGGGCATAGGGCTTTCTGGTCCATCATGTCCTCTCTGCAGCCCAAGATGACATGTCTGCATCCACGGCACAGAGGGTAAAACCAGAAGGTAGTTTCATCAGGAGTCCTGTAGGCTCCCCAGCACAAGCAGCACTGTCTGACATCTAACAGGATGTGTCACAGGATGGAGAGTGAGGTGTTGCCCTGCATCTTCCTAAATCCCAACACCCAGCTTTGGCATCTTGAGGGGACCTAGTAGGAGAATGGAATGCCTCCCGGCAAAGGGCAGCAGTACCTACAGAGACCACAGAAATGGAGAAAGCTGTGGAGGCTGCTCAGGACATCTCTTAGCACAGGAGACTCACAGAAATACTTGGGGAGGGATGGATACCTGGTAATGAAAAGGTTTGGCAAGAGCTACTTAAATAGGGGTATTTATCATTAAAATAAACTCTCATTTTGAAAAGCCTGGTGAAGCCTGTGGAGCTTGGAATTTTCAGAGAAGATGGCAGTTAACACCACCTACCTGTAGAATTAGATTTTTTTCCCCATATGCAATGATACAGACATCCACACTGGTCCCCTCAACACTCTCTCATCCTGTATAGTAATGCATACTGGCACACAGGCAAAGACTTGATTGAAAAAGGAATACTTCGTAGACAAAGAACCATGTATTTATCTTTTGTGTATAAGAATTAAGCTAAGAATACTGGTATCGACGTTGCTAGTGTCATTAACTGATACAAACAGCCAGAAGAAGAATACATAGCATTGTGAGTCATCTTTATAACTCCTGGGACTTCATTTCTGAGTCCTTTGCCACTGCTGTTAGGATCTAGTTTTACTAAAACACTCGAAATAGGAGTTTAAAGTAAGAAATGAAGTAAACATGTCCTTCCTTTCTGTTCTCATTTTAAACTTGATTTCCAATAATGAAAGACAAGTGGGTGTGTCACATGTGTGCTAGCAATGTGAAACAGAAGTGCTATTCATATTTTTGGATTCGTAACTGGAGTTTGATTTTTGAAGTTAGCTATGGGCTTTGGACTCCTCATCAATCAAATCAGCTTCAGAGGTTAAATGGATTGTTTTTACTAATTTATAATGAAATAGTTTTTGAATGACTTAACACAAGAACCTAGAGATAACATCACAATTGCACTGTTATCAAGTTTAAAGGCCTGTTCATTTCACTGTCAGTTGAAATTCATTACCAGGTGAAAATTCTGGAGCTAGGTTCTGCATTGAGGATGCTACACAGCCACCAGCCTTTTTATTTTGGTCTTATTAACAGAAACACTGACTTAGTGAAATTACAAAGGCCTCTTAAAAGCTTTTTACGAGTCTGAACTTTTGCTTTCAATACCAAATAGTATCTGAAAAACATGCTCACTTTTGTGCTTCTTGAGAAATTCTAAGAACTGGCCCAGATTCATGTGATAGTCATTCCTTAATCCATAGTCACCATGGGCCTCAAGGAGTAATTCTTCAAAAGAATGGAAAAGGCGCAGGTCCTCGCCATTTCCCTCCGTTTCCACGCTTTCAGCATGCTTACAGGAAATGTGCTTCCAATTGGGGTACCTAATTGTATGCCAGAACTCCTCACAGTGCTCTTTAAAACCCTCCACACAGATTATACCAGGCTTTCCTGTCATGCAAAATCCAGTCACATCTAACCTTTTCCCAACATCCAAAATCTTTTTCCTTAGGTCCTGCTGATATATATGGTGACTGTAGATCCACATTCGGAGGAATGTGTTCTTGACTGGCTTTGCTTGTGTAGATGGTTCATACACAAGCTTTCTATTCAGGAAATAGGATGCACTGTTGTCCTGTAGCCACTGGATTGCTGCACATATACAGAGCTCACCTGGATCAAAAGTCCCTATGTAAGAAGTGAGATCTTTGTTGAGAAGTAGCTGCTGATGTCTGTCAAGTTCAGATGACCGTCCAAACAGCTGCAATGCTACATAGGGGTAGCTGTGAGGCATGGTCACTTGCAAATCAATTTTCACCTTAAAATGAAAATCAAATAGATTTAAATACTGTAACATCACATAAGCTGGTTTATCAATAGCAACTGCATGATTTTGAAAAATGAGTTATTGCTACTATTGTCAGCTGTGTACCAGGTACCTTACATACACGACTCCTTCCTTTTATGCATTCCTTCTTTCAATATTTACTGAACACCTACATGTGCCAGGTGCCTTTGTGCTGGGATAAAAAAATGAGTAAGCCAGACTCTATCTTTGCCCTTCATGAAGTCCAGGGCCTAGTGAAGGAGACACACATTAAATAATTATTACACATAGCAAGTATTTAATTTCAATTATGAGAAGCATTACCATGGAAAAGTGGAGGGTTCCACTGAAGTGTGTAACCAGCAGGACAGATTCCATTCTGGGGAACCAGGAAGTCTCCTCTGAGAGAATGGCAACTGAAGGATGAGTAGGAAACAGCTAAAACAGTGGTTCTCAATTGCCCAGTCCACGTGTTACCTATGCTATGCTAATGTTGCTGGAGATAAATGGATCAGAAGATGGAGGTAAATTCATTTTTAGTCTTTAGATTTTTCATCGGTATATTTGCTTTCTTTGTTATGGTGCCATAAAAAAACACTCATTCACTCCTTAAAAGCCAGTTTTGTTACAGGCGATACTTAGATTTAGGAAAATCACGATACATGTGAAAGGTAGTCCAACTGGATGAGTGAACAAAATAATAATGGCATTATAAGACTGCAAGATAGCTTCAATAAAAACTCCAGATGTGTTTGTTAAAAGGTGTGTATGTTTATATAAAATTCAAGATATTTAACTGAAAACAATTTATAGGGCATTCCATATCTTACTTTCAAACAAGGAAATAATACACCTTGAATATTTCTATTTCCTTGACAGAAAGCGCATATTCCAGATGTTTCCATTAAAAACTACGCACCTGGCAAACACTTAAATCCGGGCACCTACCTTGGGCTCCTCAATCTGGAGTGTAATTACAAATTCGATTTTTGGTGGCAGCGCCTCCCTTGTGCCTTCCAAATACCTCTTTATATTCGTCAGGGCATTTACATCTTCAAGTTTTACTTCTCCTTGGTTAGGAAACATAGAAAACAGCATTTCCATCTCCAGTAGCTGAAGCTGAAGGCTTTCTTTCACTGAAGCAGACATGTCGCCTCGAAATCAACCTGCCTGAAAACCTCACAAGGCCCAGGGACGCTGGGTTTGTCAATGCCAGCGGTGTCCAGCGAAATTTCCCGAAGGTCCCTTTACGTGGAAGCAGGTCTGCAGGAACGCTTTGCACCGAGAGCTAGGGGTACAAACCGGACACTTACACTCTTCTGCTTTATTTCCTCACTCCAAAATCTAATATGCATAACATCCCCTAAAACACTTCGCTAAAATCCGTATTTCGCGTGTCGGGGCTCCCGCCCCCCGCACTAGATCCGGGAATCTGCACTTTCAACAGGTGTTTGGAATCGTCCCGCTGCAGGTGGCTGGCCGACGCCTGCAGACGCTCTGCAAGCCTGAATTCTGGTAAAGGCTGGGGCCGGGCTTCCGATCCCACCCGGGGCTCGGGCTTGGGTGGAGCCAGACGCTGCGGCCACAGAGGCCGCAGTGCCCGAGGGATGGGCTCGGGGTCCGCAGCCCAGGCGTCCCCCATAGCGCCCGTCGCCACCTGTCGGTCCCGGACTCGCAGACTCCCCCGGGGTGGCTTTTTCGCCAGGGCCGCATTTCAGGGCTCGGGAGGTTTAGGATTCACCGGCCTCCGCCCTGAGGGACCCAGGCTGAGAGGGTGGGGGCGGGGGGGTCTCAGAGGCCATTAAAGAAAAGATGTCTACAGCGAGCTGGGGGAAGGGGATACTCGGGGAGACGGCAGCTGGAGGCTTCCCGGATTCAAAGGTTTGGGAGATGACCTCGACGACGTGGAAGGGGATGCGGGCCGCCGGCGGCGCCCACGGTAGGCGAAGTCGCCATGTCGGAGGCCCAGCGACAGGGCTGACTCCCCAACCCCGCCCCCATCGAAGACCACTAGGAACCCCAGCTTCCCAGGGACGCGGGGCCTGCCGCCCCCAGAGGCCCGGATTTGGAGGCGGAGGCTGCGTCTCCGCGGTCGCAGTGCTCTGAGGACCCGCAACCCTCGACCCCAACCCCCAGGCCACCGCGGGGGGCCTCACCCTTCCAGGTCATTCAATGGAAACAGCCCCAGAGCCCGCTCGGAACCGCAGCCGCAGTTCCTCAGGCGCGAGCTGCGCGCGACCGGCGGCGAAGTGGGGGCGGGGCCGGCGGACCTTCCTCCGCCGTGATTGGCAGGGGGGCGTGGCGACGAGCCGGAAGCCACGCAGGGCCACGTCTGCGGTTGCGAGGTCCGGCTCTGGGTGCGGCCGTTGCCGCTCGAGCGCTTCTCCGCTTCGTGGAGGTGAAGGGGGGCTTCCTGACTGAGGTAAGCTGGGCCCGAGGCTTGGAGTTGAGAAGGGGCGCTAATGGTCGGCAGGGGTTCGGTGGGAGCGGGGCAAGTCGGATTCTCGGCCGGACCGAGGGACTAGCGGGCCGGCGGGCTCCTGACCGAGCAGCGGAACGCGCGGGACACACCTACAGGTCCTGCGCCTCGCGGGCGGGCTGGGCGGACCCGGCCGCGGTCTCCTGCGGGGACCTCACCGTGGAGTGCGGGGAATCTGGTGCGGTGACGGCGAGGGCAGGCGGGAGAGAGGCACCGAGGAGGTTTGAAGATTGAATGGAGAGAAGGGGTTAGATACTCTTAACTTTCTTAGGGAGGACTTTGGATTTGGCAAATATACTTGCAGTAAAGGCATTCGCAGACACGTTGAAAGTAGTTGTAGGACCTAAGACTCATGGAAGGGTGAAAGCTTATTATCTGGACTTTTTTTTTTTTTTTTTTTAACGGCTTTTTGGAGTTAACAGCCCTGGTTTACACTCTTAAGAATAATTATGACACATAGCTGCTCAGTTTTTACAAGTATGTCCTCAGGAAAAAGATTTGATCACTGGCTTGAACCAAATTAGCTTGCTTTTTCCAACTGGACAAAAGCAAGTATTTTTTCACCATTTCTTGTAAATTCTGTTCATTGAAGCAATGAAGGACAATAAAGAAAATAAGATTATTAGGCTACAGCTGGGGAACAGCTCCTCTTCTCTGGGCTAATTGGGAACTAACTGACCCAGGAAATGCGTAACACATGGACTACTGAAGGAAAGCTACTGCCTGAAGTTGGAAACCCCAGGTTCCACTTAATTGGAGTATCCCACCGAAAGCAGTATTAGTGGGCTAAGGGCCGATTTTGTTCTGTTTTGAGACAAGGGTCTCGCTTTGTCACCCAGGCTGGAGTGCAGCGGTGCGATCTCAGTTCACTGCAACGTCCACCCCTTGAGTTCAAACGATTCTCCTGCCTGCCTCAGCTGAGATTACAGGCACCCACGAACACGCCTGGCTAATTTTTTTTTTTTTTTTTTTTAGTAAAGATGGGGTTTCGCCTTGTTGGCCAGGCTGGTTTTGAGCTCCTGACCTCAGGTTATCCACCCTCCTCGGCCTCCCAAAGTGCTACGATTGCAGGCTAGCCAGCGTGCCCAGCCGGTGTTTGGTTTTTAAAAGTAAAGGAAAAAAGTGGCATTCTTAAGGAAGAAGATACTGCTGGTTTTAGAGCAACATTTTAGAAGGGTGTCCTGATTGTCCTTAAGAAAATGGAAAAAGATGTGGGTAGTCTTGAAGAAGAAACTGTTGCCTTTTGCTTTTCCTTTGAGAATATATGTCTGTAGCTTGGGAGAAATAGCAAAAGAACCACAAAGATTTCTCAGATATTTGGGGGTATGTAGTTTCAGTCCACTCAAGAATCTGACTTTAGCCCTCAGTCCATCACCAGCTATCCACGTTAATTTAGTTTCTCCTTTTGTAAAATGAAATGACCTTTGAGCTCATAGGAGTCTCTGAATAGGTATAAAATCTTCATTTTATTTGAGAGCGGGCCATTTTAAGTGTTCCCCAGGGTCCAGGAATAGTGTTGGAGCTAAAATGGGAGGAGAGTTGGGGGCAATCTTATATCTGCCCTGAGGCTGCCCAGGAGTGGACCGCACAAGTTGGGCAAGATCTAGTTGGTAATTCTTACCCACAGAACTTACTCTCCTGCCCACTGCTCTCTTAAACATAGGGTTCTTTAAGGAGGCTCAGAATGAGACAGACTTCTTAGTTTGGGGTGGCAATTTTTGAAGCATATAGTTCTTGAGAGATTACTTGCTATGCCTGAAATAATATTTCTTAATTTTGTAGATATGGATTTAGGTGCTATTACAAAATACTCAGCATTACATGCCAAGCCCAATGGACTGATTCTTCAATATGGGACTGCTGGATTTCGAACAAAGGCAGAACATCTTGATCATGTCATGTTTCGCATGGGATTATTAGCTGCTCTGCGGTCCAAACAGACAAAATCCACTATAGGAGTCATGGTAACAGCGTCCCACAATCCTGAGGTAATGGTTTTAGTGCCCCGATAAAGGAGACCATCACTTACAAGATCAAACTTTAATGTCTGAGCAGTTTGACCTAAAGTACAAATTCTAATTCTAGGAATGTGCCTTCTCATTTATATGTGCCTTTGAATGTGAAACAACAATTTTTTTTTAAAGAGCCTGATCATTTAGTTTGTAATTCCTTAGAGGGTGTGGAAAGAATAAAAAGAGACTGTCATTTTTTGGAGTCCATATTAAGGAAATAACAATGTCCTTCCAAATTTATTGATTTAAGAGAAAGACATTTTCAGTAATTGAAAAGTGTTTCCTTTATTAACTTAGCAGTGTTTAAAGATATTGGGGATGGGTGGGGAAGGGCAGAGATTATTATAAACTACAGTCACCAGGCTGTACGTTATTCTTCCAGAACTTACTCATCTTATAACTGCAAGTTTGTACCCATTGGCCAACATCTCCTTATTTCCCTTACCCCGTAGCCTCTGGCAGCCACCATGCTACTCTCTGTTTCTATGAGTTCCACTTTTTTACCTAACACATGTATGTTACGAGCCTGCAGTATTTGTCTTCATGTGTCTGGCTTCTTTACCTTAGCATAATGTCTTCCAGATTCAACCATGTTGCAAATGGCAGTATTTTTTTAAGGCTGAATAATCTGTTGTATATATATACTATATTTTCTTCATTTATCTGTTTATGAGCACTTAGGTTGTTTTTATATCTTAGTCAGCCTTTTGACACAATGTTACTATTCTGTATGGCCTATAGCCCATTAATACAGGTTTGAGTAATAAGCTTCTATTTGATTGCTGGAGGTGTGGGATGTTTGCCTTTGTAGCTGACTCAGCAGCAAGTTAAAGTGGAGTAGGTCTGTGAAGGATTGTAACCTCTTACTCCCCCAAATAAGGGCATTGCTTGTCCAAATATGTTATCACTAAAAATGTGTTAATGTCTAAATATGTAAGTCATCGTAATTGATTGATTGACTTATAGAAAGAGCCTCATATTTCTTTCTAGTTCCAGAGGCATTTCTCAAAACAATTCTCTTTTCTTTCGGGTGACATTCACTATGTGAACTACATTTTCTTTCTAGGAATTTGAGCAGACCGGTGTTGGGAGGCAGTTTTCAGTTTCTGTCCCACCCACTGGTTGACAAGCTGGCCAGTGTGTTCTTGGAGTTCTGAGTCATAGTGAGCAGGGTCTCCATGTGCCCTTATTCTGCTCCACTTGTGCCCTGGTCAGTTTATTGATAGCGAATGCCCAGATCACAGCCTTTTTACAAAGGCTAGTGTGGCATAGTGTTGTTAGGCGAGTCAAATAGACTCGATGTTTTAATATCAGTACTGACACTTAATAGCTGTATGATCATAAGCAGATCACCTAACCTAACCTCTCTCTGAAGCTCAGTTTTCTCAAAGTAAGATTGGAATAACAACAGGATTATTAGTTTAATTTATGTGTATGATGAGGATTTAATGAGGTTATATAAATATATATATATATATATTTATATATATAAATAAAATACCTAATCCAGGGTCTAGTGTTTATTTGGTGTTTATTGTTGAAGCTACTCAGCCATCACTGTCTTTGGTTGAGGGGAAATGGCTTTTGAGTTCTACTCTCAACTCAGCCTCATGAGTATGTGCAGATTGGTTATTGTTTGTTTTTCTTTTAAGGAAGACAATGGTGTAAAATTGGTTGATCCTTTGGGTGAAATGTTGGCACCATCCTGGGAGGAACATGCCACCTGTTTAGCAAACGCTGAGGAACAAGATATGCAGAGAGTGCTTATTGACATCAGCGAGAAAGAAGCTGTGAATCTGCAACAAGATGCCTTTGTAGTTGTTGGTAGAGACACCAGGTGATAAGAGTTACTGTTAAAAAAAAAAAAAAAGCAGCTTTGGAAACATGATATAAACAGTTGTATGAATTTTAGTATCCAAGACAAATGGAAAGAACTGAAGTAGAACCACCCTGAGTCGCATGTCTACCTGCATGGTCTTTTTAGTAGTATATTGTAGCTAAGTCACTCCTGAGCTTGGTGTTGGGAACTGACTGGTTTGAACCCTCACTCCACAACCCAAGCTGTAGAATAATGTATGTAAGATACTTCCTGACACAAGAGAAGCACTTAGTAAATGTCTCCCACCCCCTCTGTAGGTTTATTATTTTTTTTTCCCCTACGGAGTCAGAACACATGATTTGAACTCATTAATTTTAAAGATTTACTTTATAATCTATGTTACTGTTTCAAATATTTATATCATTTTCCCCATGCTGGAATTCACTGAGAAATACAATATTGTTTTCCAGATGTTACATTTTGCAGCTTTTGCCTGCCTTAACAAAAATATGTCTTTTTGTAAAATGTTAGATGAAAAGTGTACTTTGTAACAGTAGCATTTCTTTTTGCATAAGATCTAGTTTTAACCTGAGATTCTTTCAAAACAAAATTTCTACTCAGTGTCTCAATGGCCTAGACTGGTGTTTTTTTGTTTTTTTGTTTTTAACTCCCTATTGTGTTACAAGAGGGTCTTCCAGATACTGATGATGGTAGCAGGAATAGCCAAGTGACTTATGTTCCGAAGTAAATTATTCCACCACAGTAAAGCCATCCCACATGTATTTGGTTCTTAACTACTAACTAATGTAAGTGATAAAACATCTTTTCCTACAAGGGAGTTTTGTAATCTGTTTTATTTTCAGACAATTTGTTCTGACTTTAGAAAATGGAAAACAGGTTCTATATCCTTGGTGGCTTAATGCAAGTACAGTCTTATACACACCATGTATACTTAGTATTTATGGTTACTGTTCTTAGAGTTCAGACATGTTGGTGTGGTCAGACTTCAAAAGGTATTTGGGTATCATGTGGTTAGAGTGTTCTTTATATCTGTTCTCTAAATTCATTTAAAAGCTAAAATTTTCCCAAGAACTAGATTGTGAAAGGCTACTGGAAAATGCTTATAATTTACCAGTATCTTCAGAGTTTATAGCTTTCACTTCAAAATTATTATTTTGAAATTTGTAGCATGTAATTTCTGCATTTGCTTGCAGAACCAGTAATCCTGCCAGTTTCAGAATGGGCTATATTATTTTCTTCCTTTTCTTTCCTAGGCCCAGCAGTGAAAAACTTTCACAATCTGTAATAGATGGTGTGACTGTCCTAGGAGGTCAATTCCATGGTATGTGGTTATCCTGAGTTGGAAATTAATCTTTTTTTTTTTTTTTTTTGGACAGAATCTTGTTCTGTTGCCCAGGCTGGAGTCCAGTGGTGTGATCTTAGCTCACTATAACCTCCACCTCCCAGGTTTAAGTGATTCTCCTGCCTCAGCCTCTTGAGTAGCTGGGATTACAGGATTGCGCCACTACACCCAGCTAGTTTTTGTATTTTTAGTAGAGATGGGGTTTCACCATGTTATTCAGGCTGGTCTTCAACTCTTGACCTAGTGATCTGCCTACCTCGGCCTCCCAAAGTGCTGGATTACAGGCATAAGCCACCACACCCGACCAATTAAACTAATGTTTAAAAAGCTTTTAATTGACAAAAGTAATACATATTTATTTAGAAAAGTTTGAAAATACAGGTGAACAAAAAATGTTTAAAAAATGAACTCCTAGATACAAAATAATAACTTTAAAAATAATTTTCCAGGTCGTGTCTGGACAGGTGTGTTTTGTTTGACCTATGGCAGTATTATAGTAGATTACAGGTGGGAAAGGCTGAACTAATACAACTTCCTTTACTTTGGTAAGGCTGAATTTCCTCAAAAGCCTTTTAAGTACTTGAAGATGTTCACTGGGGGGAGCTTTTGTCAATATTAGGTCTTCCCTAATGGCTGCTCACCTGTGAAATCAGCTGTTACCTGTCAGGTAGTGATTGGAAATATATTTGACAGGTAGTTCTTTGTTTTATATCAAATGACAGACAATCAAATGAGACAACAGAGAATATGATCCTCACATTGTGTCTGTTGTGAAGGCACTGTCTCCACTATGTTTTGAGGTGAATATTTTCCTAGTGTGAGATCTTTCTTATTAAAACAAACATCCTCTCTTGACCTTTGAAACCTCCTCTCGAGTTCCAGCTCTTTTCCCTTCCTGCACAGTCAGTCTTGCCTCTACTGAGGGATCCCCCTGCTTACCTCCTGTTTCCTCCTTTTCTGTCATTCTTCAGCCTTCTGCAGGTGAGTGTCTGTCCTTACCTCTTTGTAAAATAAATGTCTCCGCTGCCTACCCCTGACATCCATCTGCATTGTGATTGCTAATCTGGTGGATATTAAAAGTAGGGATTCTTAACCAGGGACCTCTGTGGGATGTCTAGGAATGCTGCAGAGGACCTGTGGACCTCGTGATACGATGTACAGAGTGTTGCCCACACAAGCACTTTACTAGGGAGTGAGTATACACACACCTCTGCTCAGATACTCTGAGGGGCTGTGATCTAAAAATAATTTTAATAATTTGTGCTTTTAAGTTGTTACAGTTGAAGTCTTTGTAGCTTTCCATAGCATTAAAGCTCTTTCTTTGAGCCTCTAATTGCTTGGCCACTATTCCTTATTGGTCTTCTCCATTGGCTCCTCTCCTGTCTCTTTCCAGGAGGGCATTCCTTGGGACCCTCTTTCTTTCTGCATGATTTCTTAATGATGATCTCTACTGCCATAGCTTGAACTACCTTCATTCATTCATTCATTTATTAATTCATCAAACATGTTTTACTACCTGCAGTGTACATCCCTCTAATAGTCTATTTGTTTTGCTGTGTATCAACCCATAGTAGGAAACCCATTATGTGTCATGACATGTCAATGTATGCTTGTGTGTATAACTGAAGTACCTTCAGTAAACAATGCTCACCCATCCTACATGACATGCAGTCATTTGTTTAAAATGCAGAAATGCCGGTTGTGTCTCACCGAGTAAATTCCATGGTCCGTTGGCAGTCTGTGGCCTGCAATTTGTAAAGCATTGATCTGAGTGGTATCTTGCCATAGATGGTCTGCTCCTGTCTCGTGTTACCCTGCCCCGAACTATATTCTTTCTGTCACCTCCAGAATGCTTGTCTTTCTCAGCATTTTCATTCTGTTGCTAGAACCATCAATCTTCTAGTGTTCTAGTCTAGAAAAAGTTGAGAGTAATTTTTTTTAACTTTTCCCTCATTTCTCTCTTCAGCTTAGTGTATTTCAGGATATGAAAAAAGGTTAATGTAGCTGCAACATAGGAAGAATGGGGGCTAGGAGAAGAAAGTAAGGAGGTAAGGTGGGGACAGTTCATTTCAAACCTTGGAGGTCGTGGCAAGGACTTGGGCTCTCTTCCAGATGGAGTGGGACTCTCCATTGAAGGATTTTATGCAAGAGAGTGATATGATCATATTTTCATTTAAGCCAGTCCCTCTGTTGTAGACAGAAGGGAAAGGAAAGTTGTAAGAAAGGAAAAGAGACCAGCTGGGCCACTCTTGAAAAATGAGTATTGCATTCAGTGGATTTTGTGATATGTGGGGAGGACAGAACTGTGAAGAACACAGTCCAGGTTTCTAAGTTGGTAAGTTGGATAGATGATGCTTTTCATTGGGTATATATACGAGTCATTTAGTAAATGTTTATTGGGTAATTTTGATATTGGTCACAAAATTCTTTTGTTTCTTCCTTTAGCTTGTCTTTTAGAATAATGGGCTCCAGTAGTAAATGCTTCTGCTAAACTGATTTATGCTCTTATTTGCATTTTTTTGAGCTTCTCCATCTCCTCCCATCTCATTATCATACCAGAGCTAAGGTTGCTTTCATAAGGTATCATTTCTGTTAAATAACTTGAGGGCTCAAGAATTTAAAGTGATTGCTTTTTGCCTTCAGTCAAATTCTTGTGTTTGAGGTACAGGTCCAACTGATAGGTTTAGTAAGTGAATATTTACTTATTGGATACTGGTCCATCTTTGCTATCCATTTTTCTTTTTTTGCTCATGGTGCTTTTCTTATATGTTATATTTAACTGTAAGCTGGTTTTCTTTTCTTTTTTTTTTGGAAAATTATGGGATGTTTTTGAGGTTTATGATGAAGATATAGTCTTTAGTAAAGTTTAGTCTTTTGCTTCTGCTGGGTACCTGGGGCACTGGCTGGGTTCACTTTAAGTGATACATGACAGGCCGGGCACAGTGGCTCATGTCTGTAATCCCAGCACTTTGGGAGGCTGAGGTGGCTGGATCACATGAGGTGAAGAGTCCGAGACCAGCCTGGCCAACATGATGAAACCCTGTCTCTACTAAAAATACAAACATTAGCCGAGCATGGTGATGTGCACTTGTAATCCCAGCTACTTAGGAGACTGAGGCAAGGAAAATCACTTGAACTTGTGGGGTGGAGGTTGTATTGAGCTTAGTTTGTGCCCTTGTACTCTAGCCTGGGCAATACAGCAAAACTCATCTCAAAAAAAAAAAATTCATGACAAAGTTCTTTTGGACCCCAGTGGTTATGTTTGGGCAGGAAATCCATGCAAGGGCCTGTGCTTGGTAACAGCTCTTCAAGAATGGGTTTCCCTCTCTTCCCTGCTCAATGTTAAGATAACTGTCCTGGGAGTCGTGACATGGGGTGATTAATTTCTGACTCTTGCACTGAAGGTATGGTTCTTTGGGATTTCAACTTCATGAGAGTCTGGTCTTCTACTGGGCTCTGGACCTTTTATCAGCATGGGTCTTTTTCTTCTGAAAACCGTAGCTCAATTTCTAGTTTAGAGGAATTACCTCTGAACAAAACTGGCTTCTGAACTGTCTGGAGTCCTTGCCTTTAGGCATGTTTTGACCTGATACTTTTGAAACTTGTCAGCACTGTAGTTCTTTTTAAAAGGAGATTTTTGTCTTTTATCTAGTATTTTGGTTGTTTTCAGGAGGATGATTCATCTGAATTACATAGTTTGCAGTGTTACTGGAAACAACTCAATTATTACTTTTCTGTATTGCTTTATATTTACATTGTTACCTGTTTATATGTAATGATTTTTTTGCTACTAATAGTTTATATTTCTTTTTAAGATCTTTTTATGTTTTCTAAGATGTCGGAGATGACAAAAAAGGATTTGTCACCCTGAAATTCCTACATATGAATGAATTTGAACTTTTTTCTGTTTGTTAAGAAATGTGGTGAACTGCTTTTGGTATTTCTATGACAGATTATGGCTTGTTAACAACACCCCAGTTGCACTACATGGTGTATTGTCGAAATACGGGTAGCCGATATGGAAAGGCAACTTTAGAAGGTTACTACCAGAAACTCTCTAAGGCTTTCGTGGAACTCATCAAACAGGTGAAAATTCTCTTGAATATGGTTAGAGTTAAAACAAATGAATAAAGTAACACAGTCTGTTGAACAGATTATCTTAAGTGTGTCACGCCTCCGTCTTCCTTTTCCAAAAATGCTGTGTATATCTTTTTTTGTTTTGTTTTGTTTTTTCCTTTAGGGCCGCACAAGTTTCTGGTCTATGTATCCTGCTAACTTATGTTGGCGTTTACTTGACAAAGCACATAGTACTTTTTGAGATCCTTTGGGGAAGAAAACATGGTGGGCGTCTTGATTATGGTTATCAAATTTATTCAGATGAATTTGATCTTAGTTAATGTAGGTGCTGTTGGCTCAGTACCTGAGGCATCTACTGTTGAGAGATTTGAGAAGTATAATTCATTTGATCAACAGGCTGGGCGTGGTGGCTCACACCTGTAATCCAAGCACTGGTGGCCAAGGCAGGCGGATCACCTGAGGTCAGGAGTTCAAGACCAGCCTGACGAACACGGTGAAACCCCATCTTTAAAAAAACAAACAAAAAACAACAAACAAACATTTGATCAACAAATGTTGAGTGTATGTCCTTACTAAGGACAATTAACTAAAAGCCCTTGTTCTCATAGAACTTAAAATTAGGGTGAGGATAGCTGGGAGAGGAGACAATTAGAAAAAAACCAAATCTGCCTGATGATGATGTCACATACTATAAAAAGAATCACATGTCATTACTGCTTATTTGTCTTTGTGCATATTCTTGCATTTGAATGTCTGCCTTGTAATATTACTTTTAAGAGACCCTATTAATTAAGACTAAATTCTAATGAAGTTCTATTTCTGGGCCGGGCGCGGTGGCTCAAGCCTGTAATCCCAGCACTTTGGGAGGCCGAGGCGGGTGGATCATGAGGTCAAGAGATCGAGACCATCCTGGTCAACATGGTGAAACCCCGTCTCTACTAAAAATACAAGAAATTAGCTGGGCATGGTGGCACGTGCCTGTAATCCCAGCTACTTAGGAGGCTGAGGCAGGAGAATTGCCTGAACCCGGCAGATAGAGGTTGCGGTGAGCCAAGATCGCGCCATTGCACTCCAGCCTGGGTAACAAGAGTGAAACTCCGTCTCAAAAAAAAAAAAAAAAAAAAAGTTCTATTTCTGTAAGTTGTTCAGTCAGTGAAACTTGTTCCAGGTGTTTTTAGATTTTAGTGTTTTATAATTATAAAAATTGCTAAAATTTAAGAAATTATAATTGATAAAATTTAAAAATTAAAATAGATGAATTAACTGGATATTTACATAGGCACATATGTATACATGTTTTATATTTCACTTTTATTTTTGTAACTTGAAGTTTTTTTTCCATGTATCTTTTTCCTTTGTAGGCTTCCTGCAGTGGAGATGAATACAGATCACTTAAGGTCGACTGTGCAAATGGCATAGGGGCCCTGAAGCTAAGGGAAATGGAACACTACTTTGCACAGGCCCTATCAGTTCAGCTGTTTAATGATGGGTCTAAAGGAAAACTCAATCATTTATGTGGAGCTGACTTTGTGAAAAGTCATCAAAAACCTCCACAGGGTATGCCATACTAGCACTGTAAAAATTTGTTTTTAATGCTCTTTGAAGCCAATCTCACTTATAAACTAAGGTGGTAAAGTGAGTTAAGAATCATGCAGCTAGTCCTGTCTCTGCCACATTTAGACACCGAGAAATCTTTCCACTCTCAGAGCCATTGAAACATGGTCTGCTCTCTGTCTGTAAATCACACCACTCTTCATAGGCTACAGGAAATAAGGTGGGGAAAGCAAAGTCAGGAAGTGGCATTCTAGAACAGTGGTTCTCAAACTGGTGTGTCTCAGCATTACTTTGAGGACTTGTTAGCACACAGAAACCTGGGCTTCACTTCTGCATTTCTAGAGGTCTGGCATAGGATTTGCATATGATAGAAATTTGTATTTCTATCAGGTTTGCAGGCTTTGTTCACAGTGCTGGTCTGGGGATCCCTTTTTGAGAATCAGAGCTCTAGAGGGCACCATAATAAGTATTATTAGATAGATACTTTATCTGAATTAGGTATATTATGGAAATTGCTTATACAATTTTCAGCAGTCAGTGTTTTCCACTGAGTGCAGATTAGGAGGAAGACCTTTCTTAAGATTTTAGTTGTAGTAAGAGGTGTTCTGGATTTATCTGCATTATAGACCCTAAATTATTCACCTAGGCCAAACCCAGCTTGCAGATATGTTTTGTTTGGCCCACTGCATTTGTGTGTGTGTCTGTGTGCCAGTGTTTAAAATTCTGTGACTTCTCTTATATATTGAAATCTCTAGTATCTCTTTACCAAAATGAGAAAATGGTCACACATGGCATTAGTCCACTGCAATCAGATAGGCGCTGCCCAGCTTAAATAGGACATGCATTCTAGAACTCTACAGACTTCATCATTCAGTTGCCTCATTCATTCATGTTATTATGCCTTACTTAGTAAGCATTTAAAATGTCAGTGTAATCAACCAATCTGAGCTCCTTTTCATTGAATTGCTTGTTTTGACATGTACTTGACTGACAGCTCAGTTCTGTCACTTATTTATCCATTCATTAAACACTGAGCCCTTACTCTGTATGCTGTAGGCGTTGGGACTACCGTATGAACAAAACCATAGCCCTTGCTTTTCTGAAGCTTGCATTGTGTCCTTTAGTCAATCTTATGATCCCATTCCTGACAAAAGCCTTTTACTTCTTAGTTGCCTCATGTTGGATTTGTCAGTCTATTGTGGTCATGGCTAAGGAAGAGCCAAATTTTCTAATAAATTTGATGTGACGATTGCTGAGATTTCAGCAAGTTTATGTAAATTTCCAAGCCATTTATCTATCAAAGTTAAACTGCTTTTTACTGGTGGTACGAACAAATAAAAATCACTTCTGTTAGAATTAAAGCACGTAACTCATCTACTGCTGATTATTTTTTCTATGTAAAGGTCATGGTACTAGGTAAATGACATTCAGAAATATATGTAGCTTTAAAAAAAACTTTATGGGACACCTGTCTAGCCAAACCAACCGGCTTGTAAAATAGAATTTTATGGTAGTATTATAGCAAGTTTAAGCATAAATAGATTTTGAATGCTCCTTTTTTCACTTTGCAGTGAATGAATTTGACCTGTAAAAACCACTAATCAACTATGTACTATTTAAAGAGTAAGACACTGATTTTTAGGAGGACAATTTTAAGAGAAAATTCTAAAACTCTTTATAATAAATTTGTAGACTGAAATGCATGTTAAATTATCCTCTGTGCTAGGAATGGAAATTAAGTCCAATGAAAGATGCTGTTCTTTTGACGGAGATGCAGACAGAATTGTTTATTACTACCATGATGCAGATGGCCATTTTCACCTCATAGACGGGGACAAGATAGCAACGTTAATTAGCAGTTTCCTTAAAGAGCTCCTGGTGGAGGTATGGTGGAGGATTGCTACCCTCTGAAACAAGACTTACTAGTGAAGCAGTTCCATATTTTACAGTCATTTGTCAGAAAGGCATAATTTGTGACAAGTTCCTTACAGTAGTGGCCAGAAAATTTTAAAAAAGCAATGGTAATTCCAGTCATTTGAACACTTGAGGCATTGGCTTTGGAACCTGAAGGTACTCTTTTCTTCCTTATACTGGCCAAGTTTGTGATTTGAAGCTCTAGGAAGTTTTGCTTCCTTCATAATTGAAACTTTAATGAGAGTTCTGTGGTCACTCCCTGAAGCCCTAAATTCTAATAGGAAATCTCATCATCTGAGAGATACATTAATTATAATTTTACTAATGTGAGATTTGTTTCATTTTGCTTTTTTAGAAATCTCTTTCAGGAAAGCTTTAAGTATACGATATAGCTAGAAATTATTATAATCTGGAGAAAGTGTACTTTAAGAATTCAATAGATAACTTTTTTTTTTTTTTGAGAGGGAGTATTGCTCTGTCACCCAGGCTGGAGTGCAGTGGCACAATCTTGGCTCACTGTAATGTCTGCCTCCTGAGCTCAAGCAGTTCTCCTGTCTCTGCCTCCCAAGTAGCTGAGGTTACAGGTGGATGCCGCCATGCCTGTTCTTTCTGTATTTTTAGTAGGGATGGGATTTCACCATCTTGGCCAGGCTGGTCTCAGACTCCTGACCTCAGCTGATCCATCCACCTCGGCCTCCCAAAATGTTGGGGTTTATAGGCATGAACCACTGCATCTGGTCAGATGCTTTATTTAAAACATTAGAGAGGGCTGGGCGCCGTGGCTCAAGCCTGTAATCCCAGCACTTTGGGAGGCTGAGGCGGGTGGATCACGAGGTCAAGAGATCGAGACCATCCTGGTCAACATGGTGAAACCCCATCTCTACTAAAAACACAAAAAATTAGCTGGGCATGGTGGCGCGTGCCTGTAATCCCAGCTACTCAGGAGGCTGAGGCAGGAGAATTGCCTGAACCCAGGAGGCGGAGGTTGCGGTGAGCCGAGATCGCGCCATTGCACTCCAGCCTGGGTAACGAGAGCGAAACTCCATCTCAAAAAAAACATTAGAGAGGTAAAGATCAGGAGATACAGGCTTCTTAAAAGAGGATTTCTCATAGAATTGCTTTAAGTAGTGCTCAAAAGTATTTTAGGCCTTTTTTCTGGTATACATGTAAATTTTCAGTCAGACATTTATTGCATAAACTAAGGTACAGTTGAATAGCTGATAATTTTGTTAGCATTTAGAACTCTCATATTTGTTTTTGTAAACCATACTTTTTTTTGACAGCAAGTAACATTGTTTTTGTCTAGATTGGAGAAAGTTTGAATATTGGTGTTGTACAAACTGCATACGCAAATGGAAGTTCAACACGGTATCTTGAAGAAGTTATGAAGGTATTGAACCGTTTTTGTTTTCTGATAGTTTCTTAACATTATAAGATGTTTCTGTGAGGAAGATACTGTCCTCATAAAAGTGGTTATGTTGTGGTGCATGAAGCTGAGCTGCTGTTCATGTAAGGGTAAAGAGAAATAAAAAATAAGAAAAAATTTAGTTGTCCTTGCTGAAAAAAGGAAGACTTCCTTCCTTCCTTTTCTTGGGAGTTTTCCTGTAGAAAATTGGTGAATTATTTCTCTGCCCCTTTGTAATGAATATAAATCTTTTTAAAGGCCTAATAAGCCAGTTTTGTAGCTCAGGAATACTTTTTTTTAAGGGCTGAGAATCACCAATTTCAAGTATAAACATCAAGGAAGATAGTTCCCCTGTCTCCCAGTCTCATGAGAGTTTAACTTAGGTGTCTGGCTCCAATTTGTAACTATCTGCCTGTCACAGAGGTACAAAAAGTTTTATTACTCCCTTAGAGAGAGGCAGTTAACACAGGTGGTTATCCCTATTTCCAGGTAAGTTTAGGATAAACCATGTGTGTGACATGGTGTTGTCAGGTTTTCCTATTTGAGGACTAGTGTTAAAAAAATAATTCATGACACTTGTTAAAATGGTAAGGCAGACTTGATTCAGGACTATGTGATAGGTACAGGGACTAATATGATGGAGTTTTGTAGTGGTAGGAGAGAGATTGGGGTCAACTCCAAATGAAGTAAGGAGAAGTGGGGTTTTATAGCCAAGGAGCAGGGGGTGTGTGGCATGTGTTGTTGGTCAGTGGGTGAAAAATTACTGAGAGGAAATGAGCGTAAGTGGGTGGTATTTTGGCTAAACTGACCTAACAGGACTTTTGCTGAAGGTAGGCCAGGATAGTCAGTCACATATTACCTGGGGGACGGTGGAGAATGAGAACTCAGATCGATGTCAAGAGTGGTCATATATTAGGATGAGGGATTCTGGCTAAGCTCACTTACCATGACTCTTACTAAAATCAGACTATTGGAAGACATGAGGACCAGGCCTAGTCAGGCTCACCTAAGCCTGACTAAAGTTTGGTCAAGGAGAGAATTTTTGTCATTAGTTATCTTTTATCTTAGAAAATTGGATTGGACTGTATCTGCTTGGCTATATTAAAAGGTGAGAGTTTATCTTTGCTATCTTTTGGCAAATTTGCCTGTGATCGACCATCAGTTTGGCTTAATACTTACTCAGTAATAGAACTGTTTCTTGCCTTTATGTTTTTTAGAGTGATTTTCCGGGGTGGTGGAAGATTCTAATTATTTCCCTGGTGTCCACCAGATGACCACCCTCGGCACCACACTACTTGTTCAGAGGGTTACCAGGGTTAATGGATAAAACTGGAAGCCTGTTTCCCTTTACTCTTTTTCTCATTAACGAGTATAACATTTTCCCAACTTTTTTGTATCTTGTTTCAACTTCTGGCATTTATACTAGCTCTAGTTACCTTTCCATTCTCTAGAAAGCAGGAATTTTAAAGTCAGATTCCTGCAGGACTTGGACAGGAAAAGTGAATGAGGGTGGCAGGTGCTTAAAAACAGGGAAGTATGTGCTAGCTGATGTTAAATGTAGGCAGATTCTTCAAGAGAAGCACGAAATCTGAATTTTCATGTGAATTTCCTACTTTTTTAAAAGAAACAGTGGCTGGACAAAATGAAATTTATCTTGAGGCTGCTAGTTTGAGACCTGATTTAATACATGGTTATAATAAACTCATTCAATCAACTCCATATGGGGCCTTTTTGCCTCCCTTTCACAGGGATTAGGTTATTTCATAGCACTTGGGTTTAGTTTTTTCATTTTCTGTCTTAAAAATGTATTATAGATACAATAACCTAGTTTAAGAAACTGTTAATTCTCAACTCAGTCTTCCAGATGAAATATTTCAGCCCTCGCCATTCCTGAGGTCTCCTACATCCAATCTAATGCCAATCTTTCTTTTGCAGTTTTGCTCCTATCTTTTCTTAACCATTCTTTTTTTTTTTTTTGAGACAGAGTTTCGCTCTTGTTACCCAGGTTGGAGTGCAATGGCAGGATCTCGGCTCACTGCAACCTCCGCCTCCTGGGTTCAGGCAATTCTCCTGCCTCAGCCTCCTGAGTAGCTGGGATTACAGGCACGTGCCACCATGCCCAGCTAATTTTTTTTTTGTATTTTTAGTAGAGACAGGGTTTCACCATGTTGACCAGGATGGTCTCGATCTCTCGACCTCGTGATCCACCCGCCTCGGCCTCCCAAAGTGCTGGGATTACAGGCTTGAGCCACCGTGCCCGGCTCTTAACCATTCTTAAAGCTCTCTCAGATCCATCCATCCATCCATGACTTTCCCTATTCACTGTTGCTGATCCAGCCACTATTTCTTACTGGGATTAGTACTAGAAGCCTCCTGATTCCATTTCTTAACCTTCTAATTGAACTTGCCACTATTTGTAAACAAAGTTTTATTATAGATCTATGTTCATTTGTTTTTATGTGTGTGGTCTGTGGCTGCTTTTGCACTATAATGGCAGAGTAATTGTGACAGAGACCATATGGCCTGCAAAGCCTAAAATATTTACTGTCTGGCCTGTTACAGAAAAAGCTTGCAGAACCCTACTCTAAGCTGTTCTCTACACTGTAGCTAACCTCAGCTTTTTAAAACAGGTCATGTTAAACCCCCACTGTAATCTTTCGTGTCTTATAAGGAGACACTCATCTCTCTCACCGTGCTTTACCCTTGGTTGCATGCTTCTGGAGTACGTTTGCGGTCCTATTGTATACATACCATTTTGTGTTTTAATCATCTTCCTCACTAGACTCGGCTCCAGTACGTTTTGTTTCCCCTTGTATCTCTGGGCACTAGGTATGCAAGAAACATTTGACATTTGAGTAATTGCTGTATTTCTTTAAATGCATGTGTTATAGGTACCTGTCTATTGCACTAAGACTGGTGTAAAACATTTGCACCACAAGGCTCAAGAGTTTGACATTGGAGTTTATTTTGAAGCAAACGGGCATGGCACTGTAAGTTCTCTTGATTACAGTTGACCTTAGCTGGCACTTTTTTTTTTTTTATGATGAGACTTCTGTATCTGGGAGGTAATAGGTAATATTGTACTTTGTTGAAATAATTGGATGTGACAAAAAGATTCTTTTGTTATCTTATATATTGATGTGTTATAAAACTGTGATTCTTTTAGATTATAATGATTCTTCTTTGAATGTGAAGAGATATACTAAGGTATTTTTAATAGTTTAAAATTTGCAGTTCTTAATTTTCTTATAAGCATTTTGTCTGCATTTTCCAACTGGCCATAGGAGGGGAAAAGAAAAATTCAGTAGCTATGGTGAATTGCAAAGTGTTGGAAAGCTGATAATAAAAAGAAGTGAAAATGAATTTAAGGTAACTAGTGATAGGCATATGGAATTTTTTAGTGGCTTCCTTAGCAGACAGTATTTGAAAAACGTTTCTACTTATATAATGTAAAATTCACATTTTACATAAAATTACATTTTAAAGTGTATAGTTAAGTAGTTCTTAGTAGATTCATAATGTTCAGAATATTTTAAAAATGTTTTTATAGTGACCTCATTTAACGAATGCACTTGAGGTGGCTAATAGGTCATTTTAGCGTAAGCTAAACAATTTTCCTCATTAATTTAAAATTGGCTTTTGGAGGGCATAAATATAAAAAGGGGAAAAATAAGTTCCTACAAAATGCAATTAAGATATAACCTTAGTGATCTAGTAGGAGAAGTTGGTAAATTATTTTTTAAAAGGTAGACAGTAAATATTTTTGGATTTTCAGGCCATAAGGTCTCTGATGCAGCTGCTCAACTCTGCTGATCTAGCTTAAATGAATGGGTATGGTTGTGTTCCAGTAAAACTTCACAAAAATAAGTGACTAGCCTGTGACTTATTTTATCAAGAAAAATGTATATTATCAAGTAGTTGAGCATAGTACGCTAATCTTGTTTAGTATTAGGCCTCTTGAAGGCAGTAAAAAAAAAAAAAAAAAAAAAAGATGGGTGTTTCCAAATGAGATGAGACTCTTGAGTAGCATCTATATTATATATTGTGATAACTGTCCATGGCACTATTCGCCATATTTTGATAAATATTGTGAACTCTCTAATTTTGCCTAGCTCATACCCTTAAGTTTTAGAATAAAACTCTACTAGCTGCAGTGAATTATATCCTTCAAAGTAAAAAGAATACAGACAGGCTCTAAGTAATCTGGTTGCACAGAAATGATTTAGCTGGTTGAAGGGAAAACATGAACTCATTGTGTGTGTTCACCTCTTGTCACAGTGGTGTTTTCTTTGTAATCACGTTTAAATTTTTATTACCAGTTATATAATCCACAATAAAAATTTTTTCCCTAGTACTACCTTTGGGTTCTCATGTGATCTTACATTAATTTTAAGGCTCCCACTATTTTTCCCCAGTTTCTCCAGATTGACTAAGACGGAAAAGTGGGCTGGATAGAATAATAGAACTTATGATTAGGGCTTGGATAGTGTTTTGAGAATGATTTTGTATGCTTTTGCTGCAGGCATTGTTTAGTACAGCGGTGGAAATGAAGATAAAACAATCGGAACAACTCGAGGAAAAGAAAAGAAAAGCTGCTAAGATGCTTGAAAACATTATTGACTTGTTTAACCAGGTAAGAACTGATGGGGCAGTGGACTCCTGGTTACCTTTACATTATTCAGAAGATGGACAGAACAGAGTGTGGCTGCACACAAACTTAATGTGGAGACATCCTGGTGGCTTCCTTGCAATAGTGGTAAATTCAGTTGAGATTTATACTGAAATAGAATGACAGAACATTTTTAATATGCTTCCCCTCCCTTATTATCTTATGATGGAAAAATAAGTATATTGGGTAGCTTCTACCTAGGATCACAGATCCAGCTACTGAATTTATACATAAATATTAAATTTTTTTAACCAAACCTCGAGGAAATTCAGTAAAAGTAACTGGCTGTCTCATTGACAAAGGACATATATGTGGGTTAAATAGTTGGGGTTGGAGTGTCGTTTGATACTCAGGATGGAGGAAAGCGATTGAGTCATTTGAGTGTTTTGTACACATTGGATACTTTATATACCTTATTGTGTAATCCTTGCAGTAACACAGAGAGAGGTGTTACTGTAATTCCCATTTTATAAGTGAAGAAACAAGGGCTGAGAGAGTTACTATAGGGTAAAAAAAGAGGTCTGTCTTTAGTTATGTCTTTTACACCAAAGTTCATGTTTCTCCATTTTACCATGATGCTATCCATTGTTGTGGGGTAATATTTCAAAAGGGATCTAATTATAAAGAAAAATGAGTGATGGAATATTAGGCTGAGCCTTAGAGTTATCCAGTCTAATTTTATTTCATAGATAAGGAGTACTTACTAAAGGCAAATTTCTCAAGAGCTACTTTCAGTATTCTTTGTATACCTTTCATTATCTTCCATGGAGATTTTTACCTCATTATTCATATTCATCCATCCACAAAAACACTTCAGTTAATCATGCTGCATGTGAGAAAGCACAGTATACAGGGTGAGTATCCTTCATCCAAAATGGTTGGGACTGGAAGTGTTTCAAATTCCAGATTCACTGGATTTTGGGATATCTGCATATATATAATGTGACATCTTGGGTATGGCACTCAAGTCTAAACACTAAATTCTTTTCTTTCATATATGTTACATAAGCTTAAAGGTGATTTCACAGAATACTGTAAATTTTGTGCATGAAACATGTCTGCTGAACCATGAGAAAGCAATGGTGTCACTCTCAGCCACCCATTGTACAATCTGTGGTGGTTTGGCATTAGCATCATTCCTGACTGAATTTATATGCTACCAATAAACAGTCTTTTTTTTTTTTTTTTTTTTTAACACTTCCAAGTATTTAATAGTAAAAAATATGATACATATCTGGCATGCATGGAAAGGGTATGTCATAGCTGAAGGAAGCTGAGAGGGTCGTCTTCCCTTGGGGATGCTGAATAAACTGTGGGCCTGCCACTTTTTTTTTTTTTTTTGAGATGAAGTCTTGCTCTGTTGCCCCAGCTAGAGTGCAGCGGCACAGTCTTGGCTCACTGCAACCTCTGCCTCCCAGGCTGAAGCCAGTCACCTGCTCAGCCTCCGGAGTAGCTGGGATTACAGGTGCCTACCACCACACCTGGCTAATTTTTTTTTTTTTTTGGATTTTTAATAGAGGTGGAATTTTACCATTTTGGCCAGGCTGGTTTTGACCTCCTGACTGTGAGGTCAAGAGTACATTGTTTTTTGGCCGGGCGCGGTGGCTCAAGCCTGTAATCCCAGGACTTTGGGAGGCCGAGGCGGGTGGATCACGAGGTCAAGAGATCGAGACCATCCTGGTCAACATGGTGAAACCCCGTCTCTACTAAAAATACAAAAAAGTAGCTGGGCATGCTGACACATGCCTGTAATCCGAGCTACTCAGGAGGCTGAGGCAGGAGAATTGCCTGAACCCAGGAGGCGGAGGTTGCGTTGAGCCGAGATCGCGCCATTGCACTCCAGCCTGGGTAAAAGAGAGAGACTCTGTCTCAAAAAAAAAAAAAAAAAAAAATACATTGTTTTTTATTAAGAGACAGAGTCTTACTATGTTGCCCAGGCTGGAGTGCACTAGCTATTCACAGGCATTGTCATAGCACATTGCAGCCTCAAACTCCTAGCTTCAATTAGTCATCCCATCTCAGCCTGAGTAGCAGAGACTGTGGGTTTATGCCACCATACCTGGCAGTTGTGTACCCTATGACCTGTCATAGGAGGCCAGATGTGTAAATTTTCACTTATGATGTTATTTTGGTGCTTAAAATGTTTCAGATTCATGATGTTCAAACTGTACTGTGATTGACTGGTTTTCTAAGACAAAACAACAGTTTCCAAGATTTGCCTGTGTTAAGTGGTTTCTTTCCTTTGTTTCCCCATTTTGCAGGCAGCCGGTGATGCTATTTCTGACATGCTGGTGATTGAGGCAATCTTGGCTCTGAAGGGCTTGACTGTGCAACAATGGGATGCTCTTTATACAGATCTTCCAAACAGACAACTTAAAGTTCAGGTGTGAGAGAAACAAACTGTAAAATAACTTCTCTGAATATTAGCTAAGTAAAACCTATTATCCCAATTCTTACCATATCTTGCTGACAAATGTTTCCTAAGTATACATCATTCTATACGTTAACACATAATACATAGAAAATAATGCCTTGTGATAGCTAACTATATTCTCTTAAAAATAGAGTAAGTTCATTTACTTAACCATTCTATTGTTTGAGAAGTATTTGGTTTCCAACCTTATTACATAACACTGTGAATGACTGCATCACTTTTAAAAGAAGATTTTATTATGGAAAATTAAAAATAGATATACATGTAGAGAAACAAAACGGTGACCTTTTATGTACCCAGCTTCAACATATTTCAGTCATTGCCCTATACATTCACCATACCCCCACCCAATATTCTTTTGTATATTTTATTTTATTTAGAGATGAGGTCTCATGATGTTGCCCAGGCTGATCTCGAACTCTTGAGCTCAAGTGATCCTTCTCCCTTGGCCTCCCAAAAGGCTAGGATTACAGGCGTGAGCCACTGTGCCTGGCCCCAACGTTATTTTGAAGCAAAATTCAGATACCCTGTTATTTCAAGTGAAAGTACTTCCTCTGCATTATATTTAGTTCACAGAGTACTTCCTGAGGGAGATAATTCAGATAAATTGCTAACTGATTTCTGTACATGTTTATGCCAGTTTATACAGCAACAGAATTTGTGAAAGCCAGAAATGGCTGTTGATTGTTCAGATTATTCTTGGCATAGTTAAGAGATTCCCATCAGTCTTCTTATATAATGGGCCACTTATCTTGTTTTTATGTGTGATAATGGGACTTAAGGTCATACTGTATTTACTGGCCATTATCTTAGTGGTAACTCCATACGTCTGTGGAAATAATTTTTTGCTAAAGGTAATTCTTTATAGACTGAAGAAGAAGAGAAAAGTTGTACAAATGTTGAAATTAGTTACCCTGACCTTGGAAAAATAACCTATGAAGTTTTATTGTAATTTTATATTTAGTCTGAGACTTTACTATCTCAGTGTTGTATTTTGTGGTACAATAAATTGAAATGTAGGTTTATTACTGTGAAAATATTTTGGTAGAATTTAACAGGTTAAGCTTCTGAAAAAAAGTGTAATCTAGTAACAAATATGGAATGCTTGCACTTAGGTTGCAGACAGAAGAGTTATTAGCACTACCAATGCTGAAAGACAAGCAGTTACACCCCCAGGACTACAGGAGGCAATCAATGACCTGGTGAAGAAGTACAAGCTTTCCCGAGCTTTTGTCCGGCCCTCTGGTACAGAAGATGTCGTCCGAGTATATGCAGAAGCAGACTCACAAGTAAGCTAGGATAGTTCTATTGAAAAAGGGCCTAATATTAGGTGATGGGGAGGCAAACTATTTTAATAGTGTTTAGAATCTCACTATGATGATTAAGGCTTTATTTTGTTGAGCCTTTTAGGTTCACATTAAGACTACAAAATTATTTTCAGTAAATATATAGTTGAACAAAATTAGACCCACTTAGTTTATTTCCCCAAATATTTTTGACTTATTCTAGACTTCCTGAAAGTGTCATATTTTTAACTGGCAGGAATAACAGTTGCTTTATAAGGTAGATGATCCTTTTCTCTACTTGTAAAAATATAATCTTGTGACGTTATGAAAACAACCAACTTTGTAGTTCATTTTTAAGTCAACTGATAGCATTCTGGATTCTTGATTTGTTTTACAAAATATTTCCTTTAAGTGAACAGCCTTACTCTGCCTGTTTTCCTGATAGCGGTCAAGACTTGTTGTCTGGATTTTTATTATTTGCCCATTTCACATACTCTTTAAAGTGTGTGCAAAGCTAGGGCAGAGTACAGTGAGTGCACTGAATAGGGACTCACAAGGAGACATTTCCAAGTAATTTATACACGACCGGGCAGCTTTATTTTTCACTTTTTATTTTATTTATTTTACTTTAGGTGTATGCTATATCCAGCATTTCTCCCCATGTTATCCCTCTCCACCCTCCCCTACCGCCCGCCAACTGCCCCCAGTGTGTGATGCTCCTCTCCCTGAGTCCACATGTTCTCATTGTTCAACACCCACCTGTGAGTGAGAACATGTTGTGTTTGGTTTCCTGTTCTTGTGTCAGTTTGCTGAGAATGATGGCTTCTGGATTCATCCATGTCCCTACAAAGGATATAAACTCATCCTTTTTTATGCTGCATAGTATTCCATGGTGTATATGTACCACATTTTCCTTGTCTAATCTATCATCCATGGGCATTCGGGTTGGTTCCAGGTCTTTCCTATTGTACACAGGGCTGCAGTGAACATACGTGTACATGTGTCTTTATAGTAGAATGATTTATAGTTCTTTGGGTATATACCCAGTAATGGGATTGCTGGGTCAAATGGAATTTGTTTCTAGGTCCTTGAGAATTCGCTACACTGTCTTCCAAAATGGTTGAACTAATTTGCACTCCCACCAACTGTGTAGGAGTGTTCCTATTTCTCCACATCCTCTCCAGCATCTGTTGTCTCTAGATTTTTTCATGATTGCCATTCCAACTGGCATGAGATGGTATCTCAATGTAGTTTTGATTTGCATTTTTCTAATAATCAGTGATGATAAGCATTTTTTCATATGTTTGTTGGCCTCATATGTCTTCTTTTGAAAAGTGTCTGTTGATATCCTTTGCCCACTTTTGAATTGTTTTTTTTCTTGTATGTCTGTTTTAGTTCTTTGTAGATTGCAAAATTTTTTTCCCCTTGGTTGCCAGTTCGCTCTAATGATGGTTTCTTTTGCTGTACAGAAGCTCTGAATTTTAATTAGATCCCGTTTGTCTATCTTGGCTTGTTGCCATTGCTTTTGGTATTTTAGTCATCAAGTCCTTGCCTGTGCCTATGTCCTGAATGGTTTTGCCTAGGTTTTTTCTTCTAGTGTTTTTATGGTGTTAGGTCTTATGTTTAAGTCTTTAATCCATCTGGAGTTACTTTTAGTGTAAGGTGTCAGGAAGGGGTCCAGTTTCTGCTTTCTGCACATGGCTAGCCAGTTTTCCCAACACCATTTATTAAACATGGAGTCCTTTCCACATTGTTTGCTTTTGTCAGGTTTGTCAAAGATCAGATGGTTGTAGATGTGGGGTGTGGCTTCTGGGGCCTCTGTTCTGTTCCATTAGTCTGTATCTCTGTTTGGGTACTAGTACCATGTTCTTTTGATTACTGTAGTTTTGTAGTCAGGCAGTGTGATGCGTCAGGCTTTATTCTTTTTGCTTAGGATTATCTTGGCTATGCGGGCTCTTTTTGTTCCATATGAAGTTTAAAGTGGTTTTTTCCAGTTCTGTGAAGAAGGTCATTGGTAGCTTGATGGAGATAGCATTGAATCTATAAATTACGTTGGGCAGTCTGGCCATTGTCATAATGTCGATTCTTCTGAGCATGGAATGTTTTTCCATCTGTTTGTGTCCTCTCTGATTTTCTTGAGCAGTGGTTTGTAGTTCTCCTTGAAGAGGTCCTTTACATCCTTTGTTAGTTGTATTCCTAGGTATTTTATTCTCTTTGTAGCAATTGTGAATGGCAGTTCATTCTTGATTTGGCTCTCTGTCTGTTATTGGTATATACGAATGCTTGGATTTCTGCACATTGATTTTGTATCCTGAGACTTTGCTGAAGTTGCTTACCAGTTTGAAAAGATTCTGGGCCGAGACGATGGGGTCTTCTAGATACACAATCATGTCATCTCTGAATAGAGACAGTTTGACTTCCTCCTTTCCTATTTGAATACCCTTTCTTTTTCTTGCCTGATTGCTCTGGTTAGAACTTCCAATACTATATTGAATAGGAGTGGTGAGAGAGGGCCTCCTTGTCTTGTGCCTGATTTCAAAGGGAATTCTTCCAGCTTTTGGCCATTCAGTATGATATTGGCTGTAGGTTTGTCATAAATGGCTTTTGTCATTTTATGATACGTTCTGTCAATACCTAGTTTATTGAGAGTTTTAACATGAAGGGCTGTTGAATTTTATCGAAGGCCTTCTCGGCATCTATTGAGATAATCATGTGATTTTTGTCTTTGGTTCTGTTTATGTGATGGATTACGTTTATGGATTTGCATATGTTGAACCAGCCTTGCATCCCCGGGATATCAAGCCTACTTGATCATGATAGATAAGCTTTTTGATGTGCTGTTGCAATCAGTTTGCCAGTATTTATTGAAGATTTCAGTTCATCGATGTTCATCATGGATATTGGCCCGAAGTTTTCTTTTTTAGTTGAATCTCTGCCTGGTTTTGGTATCAGGATGATGTTGGTCTCAAAAATGAGTTAGGGAGGATTCCCTCCTTTTGTATTGTTTGATACAGTTTTAGAAGGAATAGAACCAGCTCCTTTTTGTACATCTGGTAAAATTCGGCTGTGAACCCATCTGGCCCTGGCAGCTTTCTTAAAGAAGCTTAAGCCATTTCAGAGTCGAATGAATATTCATGATGGATGAGGATAATGGTAACTGAGGCAGTAATAGTTACTGTTAGGCCAACTGTGGACTAAGGTATTATTGAATTTTTCAGTTTTGGAATGATAGCTATTTTTATAATATGAATTAAAAACTTACCTCATTTGGAAGAATTTGGCCTGTTTTCCATTTTTTTTAAAGGACTTGGAATTTGTTACTGAAAGATGAAAAAAGACTTTCATTAGAATTTGTTAGTGAAAGAAAATCAAGAATCACCCCCTCTCCCTCAGAGGTCCAAGTAACATGGTCTTGCACGTTAGACATATGCTATGTCTTTCTCATCTAATCTCTTTTAATGTAATTTGCAGGAAAGTGCAGATCACCTTGCACATGAAGTGAGCTTGGCAGTATTTCAGCTGGCTGGAGGAATTGGAGAAAGACCCCAACCAGGTTTCTGAAGATGATTTTCATAATCCTGAGAAACTGGATGTTTAAAAAGTCTTTACAAAGCAGTCAATAATAATGGCAATACCAAGAGATTTATCATAATGTTTACAATGCACCCCTACTGGATTGTCTCTAGGTCTGATTGTTATTCTTAAAACACTACCAGAATAATTCTTTATAAATAGGTAAGCCTTATACTTATTAAAGAAACATACCTCTCATTTGATTCTCACTAATGTAAAATATTGGGTTTTAAGTATACAATTCAATCACTAACCATACAGTTTTATGTGGGAAACAACTCACCCAGGCTACTGGAAAATTAAATCTTGTTATGAACTCTTTGTGCATCTTTGCCATTGCCATCATATGAGCAAGATGATGTTTTACAGCATTCCCCATTGCTGGTACAAATGGAGAGGGAGGAGAAGACTTATAACCAGTTTTTCCATTGCAGAGTCTTAAGAAAGATTATTAGATGACTTACCTGTATGACTAATGCCATTAGGTGTGAATAGGAAGGGGGTTGTCCATTCCCCCTACATACTGAGGTGGAGGTGCTCATGCAATACTTAGAAGGATGCATGGTCCAGCCTTCAGTTATTCGTCACTGCTCTTGGTGAAGGTATGTGGGAGAAAAACTAATTGTGATACATTTCCCAGCCTCTGATGGAGAAGGGACACCACTCTGATATCAGAACACAGTTAATAAGGGAAAGAAAGAGAAAAATCCCCAACCAATCTTATATTAAACCAAGCCTGAAACCAATGGAAAAAAATGTGTAGTGTATATTTTGCAGGTTTAAGACAACTCAAGACAATAAAAACAATGGACTTTACATGTATATATAGCTCTCTTAGGCACCATAATTAATATGAGCCAATATTTAAACTTATATTTAAACTTGATTCAGGCCACGCTCAGACATTTGCTCTTATTTACAAATATTTAAATTAAATACAACCTGAAATGTGTTTTGTTACATACAAAAAAAAAAAAAAAGGAAAAACTATACAACTCAGAGCAGTGTGTTTGTTTTAAATAATTACATTTACATGTAAGCTAAATGGAACCACCAGTGCTGCTCAAGTTTTTATCATCCCTTCCAGAAAATCTTTTTCTACCATCTCTTCTATTTTTTGCCTGGCTTTGCTGGAACATGGTTTGTGGTTCTCCAGTTTCATGTCCTTATTAGGGAAGGCATTTGAGTAGAGGATGGGACTTCCTGCGTGTCCTCCACATCGGCTTGTGACTTTGCTGTTGAAGACTTGACTGAGCACATTGAAGAATGGCAGAAGCTGCTCCATGCTGCGCACGGTGCAGATGGTGAGCAGCAAGTGCCCTGGCTCCCAACCCAACGTCCTCCCTGAGTTGTCGTCTTCTGGATTTTTCTGCAGAAAACAAAAAGTGAATTGGTATTAACAATGTCATGTGTTAGAAAAATTAAAAAGATACAAGCATTGGCAGTTGGTCAAGGAATGAACACAAATGACATTAAGTTTCTACTCCTGACCTGATCAGAACGCTTGCTGCTTCTGAGACCTTTTAGTGCCATATATTAGTTTTATATGGAGCAGTCTAACATTGTAGTAATGGTTCCCAACTAGAATGGACAGATAAGCTTAGTTAACAGGAATAGCTTTGAACAGGACTAGAGTCAAACAAAAAAGTTTTATGTTGTGCTTTGTATTTACTCAAAAAGCTCGCAGGTTTCTGAACTCTCACTAATTTTTGTAACCACAGACTAGGTCACAATGTGACTATAGATAAAAGGAACGAAGAGCTTTATACATCCCCTTTTATTATAATTAGTTAATTCCCATTTATCCAAATGGCCTAAATTTGCTTTTATGGTAGCAGTGTCCAGAGTGAATAATTACTGTCAGTACTGCAACACAGAGAAAGGAAGGGATCCCTTAGGAGAGACACTTGCTTTTTCCTTCTGGGTTGTGCTCAACAACACAGGGAGGAAAGCTGGACCTGGAGTCAAAGGAATTCGGTTAGTGTACTGACTCTGCCATACTTGTGACATCCTTGATACACAAAGGTTCCTCACTTATAAAATGGGGCACTGTATGAGAAGGTATATGAAAACTCTGTCAACTAAATATAAACAAATAATTTGTGTATTAAGAGGCTAGTTTAAGAAGCCACCTGAATTACACAAACACAGCCACAAACATCATTCTGTCTAGAGAAAGATAAGAGACAACTGAGGTTGGTTGAACTTAGGCAGAATCACAGATATAATACCACACTAAGGATAATGAAAATAAGCAGTGAACTAGACAGAAGGAAGAAATCATGAAGACTTAGGAAGCAGAATTATTATCTGTCATATTAACAAATGGAGTTTGCCTTCTAAGATCAGATGTTGCTGAGAAACTCATTGTTTACCTAATAATTTATCATCACTAGTTTGCTAGTGGGTAAAGCAGATGCAAAATCCAGCTTATTTTCTTCTGTGCTCTCAAGCTTGTTGCTTAAAGTAAAATCCCGAAAAAGGAAAATACTAGGTTGGTGCCCATGTAAAACTGCGGTTTTTGCATTGTTGAAATTTGCTGTTTTATATTGGAGTATGTTCTTAAGTACATGTTATGTTATACATCATTTTAAGCGCATTTCTCAGTTTTTTATGCTAATGACTTACTGCTCTTTATATTCAGACTATAGAAATGATGTTAGACAAAAATCAAATTTGAGTCATTTTCTTAAGAGTTCAAAATTGGTCATAGTGCAGCAGAGACAATATGCAACATCAACAATGCATTTGGCCTAGGACCTGCTAACAAACATACAGTTCTGACACAATGTAGTGATGGTTCAAGAAGTTTTGCAAAGGAGACTAGAGCCTTGAAGATGAGGAGCGCAGTGGCCATCCATTAGCAATTGACAATGATCAACTAAGAACAATCATCAAAGCTGATCATCTTACAACTACAAGAGAGTTGTCCAAGAACTCAACATTGACCATTTTATGGTCGTTCAGCATTTGAAGCAAATTGGAAAGGTGAAAAAGCTCAGTAAGTGGGTGCCTCATGAGCTGAGTGAAAAATAAAAAATCATTTTGAAGTGTCATCCTCTCTATTCTGTGCAACAATACATTATTTCTTGACTGGACTGTGACCTGCAACAAAAGGTCGATTTTATACCACTGACTGACCAGCTCAGTGGTTGGACTGAGAAGCTCTAAAGCACTTCTCAAAGCTGAACTTGCACTAAAAAATGGTCACGGTCATTGTTTGGTCGTCTGCTCTCCACTACAGCTTCCTGAATCCAAGTCAAACCATCACATCTGATAAGTATGCTCAGCAAATCAGTAAGATGCAACAAAAACTGCAATGCCTGCAGCCAGCACTGGCCAACAGAAATTCCTTTGCATGACAGTGCTGGAGCACATATCACACAACCAATACTTCAAAAGTTGAACTAATTGGGCTATGAAGTTTTGCCTCATCTGCCGTATTCACCTGACCTTTTGCCAAACAACTACCACTTCTTCAGGCATCTCAACAGCTTTCTGCAGGGAAAATGCTTCCCTAACTAGGAGGATGCAGTAAATGCATTCTAAGAATTCGTCAAATTTGGAATCATGGACTTTTATGCTATAGAAACAAACTTACTTCTCGTTGGCAAAAATGTGTTGATTGTAATGGTTCCTATTTTCATTAATAAAGATTTGTTTGAACCCAGTTATACTGATTTAAAATTCAAGGTCCCAAACCGCAGTTACTTCTGGACCAAACTAAAGATTTACGTTAAAATGGAAGAATCCAGGAGTGAACCAAGAAAAGATCACCTGCTTTATCTGTCTCTGGTCAAAAACCATAAAACTCAATTGCTATCACTTAAGTTTGCTGCTTAGTAATTATTTAACTTCCATTCTAGATTATAGGATATACGAAACTATCTTTCTTTCTTAACTGACACTGGCACCAATGAGAGTCCTGTGACTTTCACATTTCTACTATTACTCAAGTACTGGTACCATACTGCCTCTAATCCCCTAAATCAAACTGCAATTCAACAATAGTGTACAAAGATAATTTTATCCTGAAGGAAAATGAATAATAACCTTACACCTTCTATATGGAGAACTATGGGGAAACCTTTTGTTTATATTCTTATCAAGATGAGCCTTTAACAGAAGGACTTTTATTAAGCTCTTGACAAGAATAATACACTTGATTCAGAGCTTCTGATGCTCTTAATCAGAACTGTGTCTATCATTTCAGTATTTAAAGTCAAACATTTCCATACAAATGATTTCTCCTTGGACTTCACCAATCTACACTTGAAAAAAGACTTCCTTCCTGTTTACCTCTTGTATTTGTTGACATTCAGACCTGAGTTTGTGTCTAGATATTTGGCAGCTTTTACTGCCATATCACAAGCATGAAACAGCCACCCTCACCTGATTCTTGGCCATCTCCAATCCCTCCAAAACCACTGTCTTAAAGTCCTCCTCCTTGTCCTGTGGAAGGAAAGAGGAGAAACAGCCTTTGTTCCAGTGAAAAGTATGCTTGGCCATGAAGACCTTGTTTAAAGTGATTTGGATGAGCAGATGCCTTTCAGTCAAAATAGTTTTCTTACTCTGTGGGACAAATTTTGGGCAAAAGACTGTCATATTTATTATTTAGATAAAGGAGGGGGGGTCTTATAAAAATTCTCATTACTAATGAAAGGCAGGCATAACAAAGGACATGTGGCTAGGGTCATATTTGCTTCTAGATCTGTCATGATTACTTGCCCAAACTCTGAGATGTCAAAGTGAAAGTACCAAAGTCCTATCGTAAACTCAGGACCCAGCTTTCATCCTCAGCTCTGTCCTTTTATCAATCCCCTACAGAAGCAACTGGGAATTTAAATCAAGCTTCTCATGTAAGTTTCTTCCAGCAAAACCTCTTTAATCATTTTCTTCCATTCCGTATCTATAGTTAATGGAATTCAGTTTTAAGAGCTGCTGCCTGATTACGACTCCAGAAGACTGGAAAATATCTGAGCACTCAAAAGCACACACTGCAAACTAGAGCTCACCAAACAACCAAAATCACTCCTAAATTGTACAATTTGTTTTTGAAATTTGTTGAATGCAAAAGAAAATTTGACAAAAGGTTAGTAACAAAGACCCAGTAGCGAGCATACCAGTGTCACTGCTGGTAGGTTCTTGGGCAAAGATTTGTAATAAATTAGCATGATTAGGGAAGATAAAAAGTATGTAAGACACAATATAAATACATTTTACAAGTTATATTTTCCTACACCTTTTAGTGCTATATGTTTTAAGTAAATTCCTACTTTTCACCTTATATAATTTCTCTAAGAAGATGCTTTACATTAATGAGTCGCAGAGCCAGTTTAATTTCGAGCAATGTTTTAAAAACTGCAGGTTGGGGGTGTCTTCAGATCTGTAATCAGCATAATCACTGAACTACAAAAAGCAAAATACCTCATATGTTAAGGGCAAGAATGGTTTTGTGAAACTTTAGAATTGGTTATATAACTGTATTGGATCAGGATAAGGAATGCATTTCTTAATGTCAGAAAGTGAAGAACACTTGGAAAATCAATTTTTAGCATATACATTTTATTTCATATAAACAGAATGAATGCTAATGATTATTTCCTTTGTTTTGACTGACGTCTAGCTCATTCAATTTTAATGAAATTTGACTGAATTTTTACAAATTTAAAATGTATAATTTTCTCACCCATTGATTAGTTCTGTTGAAACAACTGACAGGTTCTAAAAATCCCTTTTGTATTGCATTTTTCTCAAGCTATATTTTCCTGTTTCTCATCATGGTGTTAAGATGAACGCTACAAATATAGTACATTCTCAAGTTTTTGACATGAACACTGTTCAGGATTACAGTCTTAAGTAATCATGTGTATGGTTCCAAAGTTATTTTCTTTTTCTAGAAGAAAATATTTTAAGGTAGATGTTATTAATGTAGAAAAGACTTCCTTTTTCTCTTTAAAAAAATGATAACCACATATTCCTTTAAAATACGTATGATGTTTTCTAATGTCCAGAAATGAGTCTTATGGACATTAATTCACAAAACGGGGGACTTGTTTTCAAAATAGCTGAACTTGATAATGTTCTCAGTTTCCCATGAAGTATTTAATAAATACTTCACTAATGCAACATGTAGTAATGTAAAACAACCACAAAAAAATGCAATACCTTTGCTCTTTTCCGAAGAAGTTTTGCTAGTCGTACCACGTAAGGTTTAAATTCTCGTTGATGTATACCCTGCCTTCTGACTTCCAAACCTGAATCATCTGAGGCTTCTGGAATAAAGGCCCATCGGTACCTATGGATAGAATAATGACATCAGCATCACTAAGACAGACTTTATGCCATCTAAGATAAGGCCACATAATGTAGTAGAAAGATCATGACCCCACTGCTTATAAAAATCCAAATGCCAGTTGTGCCACTTTTAGCCTTGTCACTTTGGGTATGTTTCTTAACGTCTCTGAGCCTTCATCAGTAAGTTAAGGTATTATTAACTACCTCATAGGGTTGTAAGGAATAAAGGATATGAAAACTTGTAAAGTACTCTCATCATGACTTTTTTCATGAGCACAAATCAAGTACTCAAATGTTTTTCTCATTAGCTAATAGGCAAAAAGTCCTTAAAAGGAAATTTTTTTCATATAGCTTATTATTTCTTTGTACTGTAACATAAGTCTAACAAAGACTTGATTTTTCAACATATAATTGACCAAATGTTCCCTAGCTGCACAGTAAAGGAGTAAAAAATTGAATGAATTTAAGAAAACTTCAAGTAGGACTTTTTTTACATTTGTATTTTTGTCTTTCATAACTAAATAATATCTGACCATGGGAAAAATTCAAACAGTATAAGAGGGCATACCAAAGAAAGGTAGTCTCCCTCCTCACACAGGATCCATCAATGTCAGCTTCCTATGCCCTTCCAGAGAGTTCATGCCCACATAACCAACCCTCTCCTTTAAAAAAAAAAAACCATGATTGCTGCCTGTTTTAATCATACATGTAGGATATTTTTGATGTAATTTATTTGATATCTTGGAGGTAATTCTGCATCATATAAACTTCATTCTTTTTAACAGCAACATAGTCGTACACACCACAGCCAATCTCCTACATTGTCCAGTCTCTTGCGCTTAGAAAAGTGCCACAATGGATACCCTTATATAATGCTTATTTTTATGCATATCTGAGAGTATAGAGGCAGGATAAATCCTTGGATGTAGCAAAATTATAGGCTTAAAGAAAATATCTATTTTAAATTTTGGTAAATAGAACCTCTGAACAATGTTGGCCAATATCTGTATACTTCCAACAAGAGTAAGAATGCTTCTATTACTAAATGTTAAGATGAAAGCCATTTTCAGATCTTTACCATTCTGATGGTTATCTGTAATTTTAATTGGAAACTCAGGAGAGCAATTGAGCAGCTTTTCCTATGTTTAGAAACCATCCTATAAATTATTAACTGTGTTGCTCATTGGCCCATTTTTCTACCAAGTTATTTTCATGAAGCATTTTAGACCTGTGTCATATACATTAAAAATACCTTTTGCCAATTCATTGCTATCTTTCAAACTTTACAGTACTGTTTAGTTACATGGCTACTTTTAAACTTATGTATAGTAAACTTATCAAATATTTTGAACTTTCCAAATATGGATCATGCTAAGATACTACTCTTTCAAGATAATTAAAACCTTCACATTTTCTACTTCATAGGTTTTTATTTTTAGAAAGACAAAAGTTTTTAATAAACTAGTTAATAGAATGGCATGTTTCCTTCCTTTTTGTAGTAACATGTTGACAAGAGGATAAACTCATTTTGGTTCTTGTCAAGAAAGGTAAAAAGTCAGTATCATGAGCATACTATGTAATGTCCCTCAAAAAGCACTACAGAGTAGTTTCTATCACTTTTGTGAAGCTAAGTATTATCTTGGTTAATATTGGCCATTTTCCTACAATTCTGTTTAATATTCTTTTCTGGACTTCCTTAGGAGTAACATCTGTGTAACAGATACCAACCAATGAAATTCATCAAAACATAGATAAATACGGTTTTCAAGTAGAAGAGAAAAATTAAAGGAAATAGACTAACTCTAAAAGTAATTTCTAGTTCTTACCATTAAGTGTAATGAAAAGTAAGCTTGTGAAAATAAAGCATGTCCAAATAAAAAAGAGAAAAAGCTCTAGTACTCTCTTCATCCTATTATTTCCATTCCAGAAAAAAAGACACAATATAATAAATCATATTAATACATATTTGATCTTGTGGATAAATTCTCATATTACCTTAGCTACATTTTGACAAGACAATCTTATACAGCTTGCCTGTTATTTTTTAAATTTATATATGAAAAACCATAAAATATTTTTGCCACTTACGAACCAAGGCATTGTGAGATATTATCAACTTTTCCTCTGTTTCTTTCAGTTCAATTCATTATCATCTAAGATAAAACTGCCTCCTTCGTTCTAGTCTTGCCCATCTCCAGTCCATTCTCCACACTACATAGGCAAAATAAGCATTCTAAAATTCAAGCCTAACAAAATCACTTCCTTCCTTAGCTGTCCAAATTCTCTAACCCAGCTAAGAAGGTCTTACATGGTTTAGTTCCTTTCCAGTTTTGTCTCAACATTCTGCTCAAGCAATACTGATCTCTCCACACTTCACTTATCATGTCTGCTCCTGCTTGTCTTCACAGGTGTGCCTCCTCCCATTGTCAATCTTTACCACCTGAGGTTAAGACTCCCCGCAGGGCCTGCTCTGACCCTAAGAGCTAGTAGGGGTCTCTGCTATGTGGCCTCACTGTGTCTTGTACGTGAGCTGCCATAGTATCTATCATGTGTTGAATGGTCTGTCTCTTTCCCTGGACTTGAAGCATGTGTGTTATGTACCCTATTGTCTTACAACTGGAGGGTATTCAATCTTTTGTCCCAATAGCCTGTTAATGTATCCACATCAACCATTTACTTTCAATAACTGTGCTGTGCCAAAAGAATTACATTTTATTAAAAATTATGAATATTTCAACTTACACAAAAAACTTTTTAATTAGTCATAGATGTCAGTGACCAAAGCAAATGCACTTTAAAAAATACACATTTAATATCCTTGATTTTACTTACATCTGAAACTGAGGAAGGTTTTCAGAGGGCAATGCGAGAGCCAAATCCAAAAATTTGCAAGCAGACAGATAGAGGTTTAACCACCGCTGGCTGTTATATGAAGTAGAGAAGCCATTACCTCCTGTATATGTTGTCTCCAGACCAGCTACAGAGGGGCCTGAAGTCCTGTAAGCAGGAGACAGTGCTGTCAGCAGCTGGACCCATTTACTCAGGAATTCCTGGAAAGATCTAAAAGTGCCAGCTAATATTTTTCATAATCATCCTGAGTTAAATGTGCCAGTAATTGCTAAGCAAGGTCATAAGGAAATGTCACCGTTTTCAAGTCAAAAATTTACTTTTCTTCTTGAAGAATGTAAAAGCAGTACATAAACTGGGCGCAGTGACTTAGGCCTGTAATTCCAGCATTCTGGGATGCCAAGGAGGCAGATAGTTTGAGCCCAGGAGTTTGAGACCAGCCAGGGCAACATGATGAAACCCTGTCTCTATAAAAAATAAAATAAAAATTAGCCAGGCATGGTGGCACACACCTGTGGTCTCACCTGCTCAGGAGGCTGAGGTGGGGGGAATCACCTGAGCCTGGGAGGTTGCGGCTGCAGTGAGCCATGATCACACCACCGCATTCCAGCCTGGGTGACAGAGTGAGACCCTGTCTCCAAAAAAAAAAAAAAAAAAAGGTAGTACATAACTTGTATACTTGTATTACATTCAAGAAATATAAAAATATAAACTGTAAAAGCAAGAAACTTCTTTACTACTCAGTTTCTTTCTGCAAAGATAAGACTGTTCTCTATAATAATAAACATAGTTATTAGTACAGGAGAGCCTTTTTATAAATCTGCTGAAAAATAAAATGTATTCAACTTGGTCTTGAACTTTGCAATTTATAAATTTGTGTAAAAATTTGTATAAAAAATTATATTTAGTAATATATTAATAAACTGCCTCTACTAAAAAGAATAAAATTAAAGTATATTAAATTGGGACCATCTGTAAGATCTGCACATATGGATAGCCTGGTTTCAGGTTACCTACCGTAACAGGGTTTGCTGTATGTTGCAATGTTTCAGAGACCAGATCTGACTTACCCAAACCAATCTAGCTCATGTAGCTGAAACAATACTGTACTGCTTTAAACTAAATTTGTGTCTAGGGGCCCGAGGCAATGAATGCTGATGGCGTAATTCAATCTAAAGTGCTTAAGGAATAAGTAAAACTACATTATATCCAAATGGGATCAACTAGATAACAGACTAAGCATTCAGAAAAATACTATCTATATTCTCCTAGATGCTGAGTAACATTCTTAATTTCAGGATATTAAATAATGGACAAAAATATACTTAAATTACATATTACCGTGAAATATCTTCATCAGCAGTGAGTTCCTGCTCCATCAGTAAAAATACCTGTACCTGAAAATGGTGAAATAAATGTTAAATGTTTATTTAAACTGGATATTTAATCCTTTCAAGTTATCTTTAAGTTATATTTTCATTAACACAAAAGCAGATTTTAGCATACACTTTCAGAATCTTTTAAATTATACTTAGTTTCTGAAAGTAAAACTGCAAGTTTAGCCACATAGAGCCCTGCTAATCATTTGGTGGAATCCAGTGAGATGAAGGCAAGCTTTGGTTTTTAGTGATGATGGAACAGTTAAAATTATTAAAAAAGTAAAAAGAAAAGAAATATTGAAGCAAATATATTTGTAGGAAAAGTGTAAAGCTAGATTTTCAGATAAATAGATTCCTTTTCCTGTCTTTACTCATTCCTCTTTCCTAACTCCTCAAATCATTCTGATGAGAATGAGGATGACTGGGTATGGTTTGAAGAGGGGAACAGAATGGTGTAGGTGGGACTTGGGAAGGTTTTACTGTCTGGTAGTTTACAAAATCTTTGTGAAAGTCTCTGAAGCAAGTTTAACTGGTGCTGCACTTCAAGAGTGAATATATGTCAGAGCAGTTAAATCCAGCTCAGCCATCTCTATCACTAGAGGTACTGCTATGACTATTGTAAATGGCTCCAGCTGCAGGACTGCAGGCCATGACAGAGTTAAAAATGTAGTGTAGTACAGACTAAACGATAAACCAGATCCAAGAAAGTAATCATTCATAAGGAGCTGGCCATCCACCTACATTGCATATTTGTAAATTTCAACTGTATGAAAATGGAATCTGACTTGTTTTACTATTTTCAACTATAAAAAGTATATGTAACTGATTTAACTGCAGTTCATTTCTCTCCCAAGATTCGTTTTTATCTAGTAAACACATGGAAACAAATCAATGTTTTATCATTTAGATTTATAATCTGACTGAATTAAAATTAACTCACAAGTTCTGTAATCATGGTAGGCCAGAGTGAGGTAAGATGCTGGGGAGACATTCTTAAAAGTAACACTCTGAAAAACAGGAACACTTGAGAATGGAGAGTTGGCACCTGAGGCAAACGGAGACTCTCAACCAATCTCTCTGAAAGACATGCAGAGCATTTTCAATAACTAAATAATCTTTATCACATAAAACTTTCTATATCATCTGATCCAGTACTCTCAAACTATCTGTAGTGAAAGATAAACATTAAAAAAATTCCAAACTGTTGTATTTTCATAAAATAATGAATTATAAGAAAACTCCAATTAAAGATACACAAAATACAAATGTCATTTTCTTATTAAGCAGATTCTGTCAAATAGCAGAAGTTTAAAATGTTTACTCTAAATTTCTGTACTTAATGGATGGGGTAACAGACTCGTTACTGGTCCATGGACCATACTTCGAGTAGCAATGATCTAGTCAACTTAAAAAAATCATAGGGACAAAAAGTGTACATGCTATAAATCTGAAATTAAGCATAAAAGGTTAGGAAACAAGGAATCATTTGTCTTCTGGGAGAAAAGAAAATTCTCCCTAGAGAGATGACAACTATCATGTTCCCATGTCAGCTACTGAGGCTGGAGACTTTAGAGTACACTGACTTGAGCAGCAAATAATTCTGCTCTGGATAAGTCCTCTTTGTGGAGCTGTTTGGTGGTACAGGGTGAGGATGTGTGTACTGATATCCTTCTGCACACAGAAGTTCACCAAACCCATTTGATGAAGGTTATCAAAAATGTTACATAATCCCCCATGCAGTCCCCAAATCACAGATCCCCGGATATTACTTCTAGCCACAATCTCCTGGCTTTGCCTTATATTTTGGTCTTCTCAGAATATACAAACTCTTGTCCACAAGGAAAACATGCTAACATGCTCAACCGCAAAATCACCTTATACCTCATCCTCAAACATGAATTCCTAAGAAATTTGACCTAAACAATAAAATAGAGACCACATTTAGGCACATCTTACAACTCAGTGATGATTTCTTTTAGATACCAGCAAATTGATAATTTTTGTTGTTTCAGTAGAAAAATTTCTAATTCCCCATTGATCTACACTTGATATACTTTACCCCAACTTAGAGAAGTATTTTCTAAGGAACAAAAAACCTAAAGTTAGAGAAAATGAAGGATTTTTCATTTGTTACCTTGTATATCTGGAAGATATTTCTGGTACTGGTCAATTTCACTGCTAAAAATAGCAAATGCTAATCTTTTAAGAAGCATGGCTCTCTGTTCTAGCTCCACATCACGGTTTGCAAAGAGATTAAGTGAACTGCTTTGAGCCACTGCTACACGAGCTGAAAAAGCAAGTGAAAGAGACTGTGACACTGTTATTTGAAAAAAGATTATTCTGTTGTTTTTAAAAATAGCGAGATACTCTAGGACATCCAAAACTGAGAGGAGCTTGGGGTACAAAACTTGATGCCCCTCTCTGGGGCAGATGGGCTGGCAAACAGATCCAGCATATGTAAGCCAGAGGACCAAAGTGGTAGAAGTTGTGATGTAGAGAGGAAATTTAGTACTGTAGGTCTTAGAAGGTAAAACCACTAATAATACCATTTCATAAAACCTCAAGGAAACCCTTTTATTAACTGAGGCCATCTGCTTAAATCCTTCTCATTACTTTAAAAATACTTTATGGTGTAGCCTTGCCTACCTCCCTCTCCTTCCTCATGTCATTACTTACCCTCGACTCATTCTGCTTAGCAACATTGTCTTGCTTGCCATTCCTTCAATGCACTAAGCTTGCTCCCATCCCCAGACCTTTGTAATTTATATATATATTTTTAGAGATGGTACCTTGCTCTTGTCACCCTGGCTGAAGTGCAGTGGCACAATCATGGCTCACTGCAGCCTCAACCACCTGGGCTCAAGCAATCCTCCTGCCTCCTGAGTAGTTGAGACTAATTTTTAATTTTATTTTATTTATTCATTTTTCTTTGTAGAGATGGAGGTCTTGATATTTTGCCCAGGTTGGTCTCAAACTCCTGGCCTCAAGCAATCCTACTGCCTTGGCCTATCAAAGTGCTATGATTACAGGCGTGAGCCACTGTACCCAGCAAACCTCTGTAATTTTTGTTCCCTATTCCTGGAATATTCTGACCCTAGGCCTTCTCATGGTTGGCTTCTTTAGTTTCACCTTGTTATGAGCTGTTTAGCTGTTATTTCAAATCCATCATACACTGTCCTATTTTCTTCATAACTTCTTATTCCACGAAATAATTTTTAAAAATTTGATTAAGGTTAGCACAACGCATGGCCCACTGCTGTCTTGTAATAAACATTTGTTTAATGGATAAATCTGAACCTTAAAACAACCTTATGAAGATAAAACAGATACGCTGCCATTTTTCTAAATGAGAAAACTGTAGCTTTGGCTAAAGGAATTTGTTAAAAAATGTATTACAGAATCATACAATGTCACTGCTATTTAAGTTTACTTAGTAACTTTCAAACATTTTCTAAAAATTTTTCAGATGAAATTATAAATAGAATCCTAAACTATAAACCCAATCAAGACAGAATAGAAAGAGGGGATGGAAAGTGATTCTGTCCTTCTTGGCACCCCTCTTTCTTCCTTAAGATGAAATAAACAGAGCCCCAGAGATTTAAAGTGACTTGTCTGATATGCTGGATTCAATTGCCTGCCTTTCTCTGCTTCACCATCTGTCAGTCTCTCATTAACTGAATAATTATTTATTGAGTATTATGTGCCAGTTATGATGCTGTGTGCTGAGGAAATAATTTACAGTCAGATTAGAGATGGCCCCTTCCTTCCACTAGTTGCTTCAAAAGGACAAATAGTTTTACTTATTTACTACTTAAATTTTCCTCTGTAAATTTTAAGATTATATTCCCATAGGGTACTAAGTATAACTTGACAAAGAACTAATTCAGTAGTCTCCAGAAAAGAGTAAATAGTAAGAAGGAATCATGCATAGGAAAGAAATTGGATTGTCATCCCATAATACTCACTCATCAAATCTCTAAATGTTGTTTTATCATGTGTCATCAGATTGTCCATAATTGCTCTCCAACTGAAAGAGATAAAGGTTGCAACATGTAATTAAGATTATGTTGTTACTGTTAAAGAACAGTATTCTGACGGTCCAAGAGAGTAGCTGATTTCAATAGACTGTGAGGTACATTATCATGCTGCATACAAACAAGAGAAAAACTTACTGATTAACACAAGAGGCATCCATCTGAAAGAAACTGGGATCCATAAAGAGGTCAAAAGCTTCTTTCTTCCACGCTCTTCGTGTATACTGATATCCGCTAAGACTGCTGAGCAGCTGGACACAAGCTCGATAACTAGGGGCATTATGTGCACTATGAAGAAGAAAAACAACCTTAACCTGCTAACTTTAATCATCCTATCAAGTTATAGATAAATGTTCACATTTACCTAAGACAGTGACATGAAGATATGAAATAGAAAGTACCATAAGAAAAATAACATGATTTTAAACAATTATAATTTCAAGGTAAAAATAATGTCATTTTGTAAAAATTCAGTAAGGGAACAGAACTTGTTTCTAACAGGTTATGAATTAATTTTAAAAAACTATTTAAATAATAATAGTACCTGTGATTTCTGAGGTAGGGCACAACATAATGCATAATATTTACAAGTAAAGGAATAACCCGCTCCTTTTCATCACTATAGAAAACCATATCCAAAAGATGAGCCAAAACCTATAAAAACATAAAAATGAAGAGTAACCTATGAACTGAAACTGACATCATCCCAAAGTACTGATTTTCAGTTTGTTAGAAAACTCTGACTACTTGAAATTAAAAAATCTAAAATTAAATACTCCTGAATCATTTTTATGTTAATGGGTTTTGCCACCATCTAGCTTTTTTGTATACTATTACTATAGGATATAAATATGGTTAAATTTTGCCATTTCCAATGTAGATAGGAAAGTAAAACAAAGAAAATAGTTCAAGAACCTAGTGAGTAAAGTGAATTTAGGACTAGAAACTAAACTATTTTTCCCTGACTCAGCTAAAATATGGCTTAGGAAAAAAACAAACAATTGCATGGGGCTGTTCAAATCCCAACACTGTCAATTAACAGCTATTTCACCTTAGCCCTATTGTTCTGATCTTTATAAAGGCCACTAGCCACATCTACAAAGAAGAAACAAAACGGCATGTGAATAATAGGGTATAAAAACAGCCTGTCAGACAATGTACATAAAAATGTTAGGTAAATTGTAAAATACATTATAGTGACAGGCATCATTAGATTACCTCACCCCTCCTCACCATAGTGATACAAAAGCACTTTCCTTTCTTAAAAAGTACACTTTAGGCTGCGTGTGGTGGCTCACGCCTATAATCCCAGCACTTTAGGAAGCAGAGGCAGGAGGATTACCTGAGGTTAGGAGTTTGAGACCAGCCTGCCCAACATGATGAAACCCCGTCTCTACTAAAAATACAAAAATTAGCTGGGCATGGTGGCACATGCCTGTAGTCCCAGCTACTCAGGAGGCTGAGGGAGGAGAATCGCTTGAGCCTGGGAGGCTCAAGTTGCAGTGAGCCGAGATTGTGCCATTGCACTCCAGCCTGGGCAACAAGAATGAAACTCTGTCTCCAAAAACAAAAACAAAAAAAAACCATACACTTAAAAAAGAACAGAAAATGGAGAAGGGGAGCAATATCTAAATTTACCACTTATGTTTGGCAAACTAAATAATCCAAATACATACAAGGCAAAAACTCTGTTAATTCTATATAGTGATTTCTAGAAGTAAAAAATAGTTTCTCAAATTAAAAATTCCTCTATAAAAATTCCTTGCTAATTTTTAATAATGAAACTGTCTACCTCAAAGTTCATGTGAAAAAGCTTGATAATATTTACCTCAGACAGTAATGTCAATGCATGGACACTATATACAGAAGGAGTTATGTTTGCAGTTTCCATTGCAGGTGATAACATATCTATAAATAAGAGAAAATTAAAGTTATGGCTAGTTTCCACAGAAAACAAGTTTTGTGTGTGTGTGTGTGTGTGTGTGTGTGTGTATTTTATATATATATATAGTTGCCATGGGAAAAGAGCTACTTGTTGGACATGAGGGATAAATTTGTGCTACTTACAGAACCAGCCAAAATGATTTCTTAGTAAATATATGCCTACTTACAGATAATAAACCTAAATATTTGACAGGAATACCTTCCACATCAGATTCCAAATTGGTTCCATCCACCATTATTTTGGGAGAAGGCTTAACTTCAAGATTTCGTCGCAGCCATGTTGTCTGTTCCAGAGAAGAACCAGCAATTGCACCAATTGCATCCACTATTTTGTGAGTTACATCCTGAAGAAATAAGGAAGAACAACTATATATGTACACACACACTACTTATGAACGTCTGCAGTTTATATTTCTGATAATAGATATTTTACAAAAGACAGTGCTGATTCCCATAGAATGTTTGAGTTGAAAAAACTTCACAGCTTATCTTATTTGACTCTCTCATTTTCAAATTGAGGGCACTGAGAAACAGTTTTGGCAACAGTTCTTAACTCAGACTGCCTTACCTGAAGGTCTCTTTGGTCTTTTTTATTTTCCAGACTAGGGTTTTTCATGATAAACTCATTCAGAACCCTAAAAGGGCCGAAGAGAAAACAGAAATGGGAAATATCAGTCTAAGAGAAAATAATTTGACCTAATTTCTCACAATGAGTAAGTGCCTTAGTGGTCTTGATTTCCATTTTAAATATTTAATATTTATATACATATCCTATGACTCAACTGAAACACATAAACATATGCATAAAAAGACACTGTATAAGAATCCTCAAAGCAGTATTATTTGTAAGAGCCCCAAAATGGAAGGAACCCAAATGTCCAGCAAGAGTAGAAAAGATAAATTGTGGAATGTGGCCAGGCATGGTGGTGTATGCCTAAAGTTCCAGATACTTGGTAGGCTAAGACAGGAGAATTGCTTGAGGCCAAGGCTGCAGTGTGCAATGATCATGCTGTGAATAACCCCTGCATTCTGGCTGGGAAACTTGGCATAATCCCATATCAAAGAAAAAAAGCACAAACTGCAGAAGGTTCATAAAAATACCAAACAACAATGGAAATAAATTATAGATAAGTGAATTGCACAAATGAATCTCAAACATATGTTGAACAAAAGAAGCCAGACACAAAATATTTATAAATACTTATAGTTCAAAAGCAAGGCAAAACGCATCTGTGGCGTTAAAATAGTGGTTACATTTGGGGAAATAAAATAGTAACTGGGAGGGGTGCAGAGGGACACATGGTGTTTTATTTCTTAGTTTGGGTTTGTAATGTATAGTGGTATGTTGACTTTTTACAAACTTTTTATTTGTAGAGTTGTGCACTAATTCTTTGTATATTTTTCTACATGTGTTTCATATATAAACAGAAAAGTTTAAAAAATCTTAAATTGTAACAAATGATTTCTTACCATAACGCATTAAAAATAGTTCATGAAGAAAAAAATTTCCATTTTCATTATTTGCTAACAGTCTACTCAATATTTACTGACATGATTTTTTAAAAGACAAATTATATGCAGTTACTTCAAAACTAATAGGTAAAATGAAACTAAAGAGCAACCTTCGTATCAATTTCTATTTTTTAACTAGGTGATTTTATAGGATCAGTAGAATGGTAGGCCAAAGGGTAAACTGAAAATTTCAAAAAGAAATTAAGTTTCTAGTATAACTGAAAATATTCAACTTTCAACTTTTTGTTTTAACATTCAGAATATGCACATGTTGTAAAGGAAGAGGATCCTTCATTCTAAAAGGAAGAAAAGGCATGTGAGGAAACAGTAAAATCTTATAGGGGAGCAGCTACAGATCATAACAAATGAACTTAATTTTTTAATGAAATTAGCCAACAGGGTTATTTGGTGATGATTCCAAGAACTGTACATACATTTGCTCTTTGAACCTTATGACAACTCCTGTGTAGCTGGGACTACAGGCATGTGTGACCACATCTGGCTAATTTTCAATTTTTTCATAGAGACAGGGTCTCCCTATGTTGCCCAGGCTGGTCTCGAACTCCTGGGCTCAAGCAACCCTCTTGCCTCAGCATCCCAAAGTGCTGGGATTACAGGCAAGACCCACTGCACCCGGCTTTTCATGATCAAATATCCTCAAAGAAGAATCAACACTTACTTTCCCACACTAGGCATTTGCTCTTAACATGTGTGCTTACTACCTCTCCAAACCCTCTCTCCTTTATGACCAGATAACTGGTGATTAGATAATTAGGATGCCTGTCCAGATTGTCAACAAACATAGCCTTTCATTGTCCCTCACCTTCCTAAACCTCTCTGAAGGTGTCAACCATGCCCTCTTAATCTCCCTTTGCTTCTGGAACAACTAAATGCTTAGTTTTCTTCTAACTTTTTGATATTTCCCTTTCTATCTCCTTTGCTGGCCCCTTTTCCTTCTTTATCCTGTTCTTTCAATACCATCAATAGTTGAAACCATCCTCACACTTCCCACTTGAAATAGAATTCCAAGCCTAGCCTCTTTCCCCTCTGATCTCTCCTCAAAAACCTGCCAGTCAAGTCTCTCCTCAAAAACCTACAACCACTTCGACTCCCTTTCAAGACCAAATTCTTTAAAATTCAAGATCCTTCCCCATCTAGCTCCCATTTCCCTCTTCATCCAGCCTTATTTTTCACTATACCACTGCCTGTGCCCTGCTCTATTATCAAACCAAACAATGTACTTTGCCCCAGTATACTCTTCCCCTTCCTCCTTCCACAAAGGCTTTCTGCACCCACTGCCTCTATTCACTGAATAAGTATTTACTGGGGACCTATTAAGAATCAAGAATAATGGCAAGCAAAAAACAGAGACTGTGCATAACATCACAGTACTTGCAGTCATGGGTGACTAGCATTTATCAGATAATCATATAAATCATTAAGATAAATCAGGAAACTCCAAGACAAAGAAGAAAAACTTTCCCAGCTTGTTTAGGTTTGGGATCCAGCTCAAGTGTCCCTCCTCTATGAAGTTCCCCTTCAGACACGCTACGTGATCTTCCCCTTTCCATCCCATACTCTCCACCACCACCAAAACTGCTGTTGAAACAGTTTTATGTTAGTGTATTTACATTCTGTATATGTATAAACATGAGAGTATTTCTTCTTCTCACCCTGCCCCTCACTCTTTAAAAAAAAACAAAAACAAAACAGGCCTTATATATCTAGTTTTGCATCTCAAAAACAGTGTCAAAAGGTAGAGAGATCACACTGTCATCTAAAACAGCTGTTATTAATACTGGACAATAAGGACAATGAACATTATCCTTTTATTTGAAATAATATTTTTAAGTGAAATTGCTTACCCAAGTATAAGAAACTGCCCTGGAGCTGGAAGACTCAGTTGTATAGAGTCTTTCAGAAGTATCAACAGTGATGCCCAGCTATCCACTAAATTGGGCACTGGGATCCTGCAAGATAAATATAGTTTGTATATATCAAAAGCCACAACAAATTACAGTTTTCTACTAGTTTCTGGAACATTCCCTACATTTATAGACAATGACAGAACAAAATTCCTAAAAGCTTTACATTTTTACTAACATTAATACATTAATAAATAATTTACTTTATAAATTAATAAAGCAACACAGTTAAAATACCACTAATAAATAAACATTAATAAATAAACCAACACAGTTAAAATACCAATGCAATTTCGTTTTTCTTTTAATAGAGATGGAGTTTCACTATGTTACCTATGGTGGTCTCAAACTCTTGGGATCAAGTGATCCACCTGCCTTGGCTTCCCAAAGTGCTGGAATTACAGGCATGAACCACTGTGTCTAGCCCCAGTGCTTTTTCTTTTTCTTTTTTTTTGAGACGGAGTCTCGCTCTGTTGCCCAGGCTAGAGTGCAGTGGCACGACCTTGGCTCACTGCAGCCTCTGCCTCCTCGGTTTAAGCAATTCTCCTGCCTCAGCCTCCTGAGTAGCTGGGACTACAGGTGTGGGTTAGCCAGGCTACTTTTTGTATTTTTTGTAGAGCTGGGGTTTCACCGAGTTGGCCAGGATGGTCTTGATCTCCTGACCTCGTCATCAACCAACCTCGGACCCCCAAAGGGCTGGGTTTACAAGCATGAGCCACCACACCCGGCCTGCAATTTCTTCATCTAGAAATTATGCTATTGAAATCCCATTTATCACATGGAACCTCAAAAGTAAAATACAACTGCAATAATTCTCAGTTTAACTACTGACATCGCAGTCACCTACTCCCTAAGCTGGTCTCTCCACTTCCCCCTTATATTAGTTCTTTTTCCTTCACCTTATAAGTAAGTCTCTACCTCATGTTATGGAAGGCTGTCAACTGAACATTAGTCTTTAACCTGCAAAAAGAATGAAGATTATCTTTGTTTCAGTCTGACCTTAGACCTAACACCTCTGTATATAAGTTCAGATTTTAGGCATTCCTTGCTCTAGGTCACAACCAGTTTAAATATGCTAAATAGCATGATCTTATAATGCTAGTCACAGATTACAAATGGACACTGAGTTTGGTGATTAAAATGAATTATCCTATAAAGGAAGATTAAGAGTCAGGTTCTTAAGTAAGAAGTTACAAAAACTCAAATCATAACTTCTGTTCATAGGTCAGTTAAATGCAAAATGGAGTACGACAGCAAGAAGATAATTTTCATTTTTGTTTTTGAGACAGAGTTTCACTCTGTCACCCAGGCTGAAGTGCAATGGCACAATTTTGGCTCACTGCAACCTCTGTCTCCCAGGTTTAAGCAACTATCCTGTCTCAGCCTCCCGAGTAGCTGCGACTACAGTTGCATGCCACCGTGGCAAGCTAATTTTTGTATTATTAGTAGAGATGGGGTTTCACCAGGCTGGTCTCAAACTCCTGACCTCAGGTGATCCACCCACCTTGGCCTCCCAAAGTTCTGGGATTACAGGCGTGAGCCATGGCACCTGGCCTGCAAGAAGATATTTTCACATTGTCATTCCTAATATTAAAAAGCAAAATGAATTACTGTATGTTCACCTAGACCAAAATAATGGATTCAGTGGCAATATGCATAGTTTTGAGAGTAGGTTCAGCTTTTCATTTATATTTAAATGATTTTCATCACAATTCAGTGTTTTACTATCTAGGAATCTTCAATATTCTTAGGTCTTTAGGTTTGTAGAATATACATGGCTGGGTCACTAAGATACTCACGACTCATATTAATATACCCATAAATAATGTTTCTCTGTTTCTAACAACATAGTAAGGAGAGCTCATTATCAGTAATCTTACCTTTGAATATAAGCATAGAAAAACTGAAGCATGCAGACTTCCAAAGAAAGATGTTTCTATAAACAAAAGAAATCAATTTTATAGTGAAGAATACTGCCTTTGCTTTTTCACTGTTGCAACTACTCTGTATCTTACTGCCAATTTTTAATTTAAAAAACAGGAAACAAAATCATAATTTTTTCATTAATGAGCGATGCACCTCTCTTCCACTCAGTAGGAAAAATTCATAACACAAGAGATATTTTAAAAGTTAAAAATAGATGGTAGGAATGGAAAGATTGTCCATTTTTCCTTCCATACCACTCACTTTTAAATGATTCATGTACTTTATAACTATCAACACTATCTTAGGTAGCTTATGCTTGGTGCTGTCAGAATTAGGTTGAGATTTTTAATGAAATGTGTATTTAAGTCTTTACTTATTACACATCTGTTCAATTAGTGTAGTTCAAATTTGTGATCCAATTCCTAACAGCTTCAAATATAGCCACTAAATTAAAGACAGTGTTGAGTGTAATATATAATAAAACACCTGCCCCTGGAAATTACTAAGAGGTCAGAGAATGATATTGATGTCCACTGACGTTTACCAATTTGTTCTTTTTTAGTCCCAACTATTCCCTTGAAGGTTTCCTGTTTTACCACACAAGGAAAAATCAAGTGTCTAATAGATTCAGAACTTAATAAGGGGACACAGGTTGGTGGGGCAGAGGGTGGATTGGCTCTAATTTGTTTTCATATCTGTCACGTGCAGCCCAATGTCTGGCACAAACAGGTACTCAAAATACAAACTAAAAATCCTATGACAAATGCCCAGGTTTTTATTAAAAACTTGAACACTGGCTATTCACATACATCTTACTGCCTTTGGATTCAAGATAAAAGGAAAACACAATTCAACATTTTCAGATACACATCATAATTCTTTAAAGGATGTGATTAAGTCTATTTTGGCTTGTCTCAAAGTATCAGGTCTGGAGTTGGTATATACTTTGAGAAAATATGACCTCTTGGTATTACTTGAACAAAGAGCAGAAAAAGTAGAAAAGTCCATAATATTCCTAATTTGTAGACTTTTATTTTTGCATAGAGACAAAGCAACATATGTGCAGAGACTATGTCATTCATAGTGTAGCCCTTGCATAGCACAGTATTATACATGTTCAAGAAATAACATTGACTAGAACTAAGGTTATAGCAAAATTTGGGGGAGTTCACAGAATTAAGACATTCATTCAGAAAAGCAAGCAATAAGGAAGCTGTGAAAAATGGCAACAACTAAGGAAACCTGACCTTGAGCTCTGGCTTATGTTCTTTAAGTGACCAGAAAAATCTCCCCTGAGAATTCAGTCATAATGGTTCCTGACTGCCTTTGATGTACATATGAAGATATGAGCAGTTAATGGCTCTTCACTGGCTACTGAAGAATCAGAATAGCAAGTCACTACAAATATTGATAATTGTTTTGATTGAAGTAGTGTGAGACCCACATGCAGTCATCTCTGCAATCTGTACCATAATGAAAGGACATTACTGTACAAAAAAAAAAAAAATCTTACCAGCATTATTTCTGAAACAGAATTGTAAACACATGTGAAGAAGAGTTTTGTCTTACCTTGTCCTTGGCTATGGCTGGTGGCTGCTTTAAAACTTCTTTTACAGTCTGGATAACAGTTTCTGCTCTCATGACACTGATTGAACGAACCAGTTCCACTAATAAAAGCTGTTCTTCGCTGGCTGCAGGAATGACCTAGGTAATACATCATTGTATTTATGTATTTGTGCATATAAGTCTTTTAGGGGAAGTTACAGAATTAAGAGAATATTTTGTGAACTTTTTAAAAATTTATTATTTATTTCACTGTCGCCCAGGCTGGAATGCAGTGGCATGATCTCAGCTCACTGCAATCTCTGCCTCCTGGGTTTAAGTGATTCTTCTTCCTCAGCCTCCTGAGTAGCTGGGACTACAGTTGTGTGCCACCATGCCTGGCTAAATTTTGTATTTTTTGGTAGAGATGGGGTTTCACCATATTGGCCAGGCTGGTCTTGAACTCCTGACCTCATGATCCACCCACCTTGGCCTCCCAAAGTGCTGGGATTACAGGCATGAGCTACTGCATCAGGCTTTTTTTTTTTTTTTAATTGTATTTGGGCTCTGGGGTACATGTGCAAGTCCTGCATGCTGCAGGATTGTTGCATAGGTACATACATGCCATGGTGGTTTGCTGTCTCCATCCTCCCCGACCATTGCCTTCATCAGGCAGTTCTCCAGGTGTTATCCCTCCCCCTCCTCCCCAGCCCACCGAATGTGCCCCCTCCCCTCCTCTTCAACCCCCACCTAGCTCTGTGAGTTCTGTTCCCTATCCTGTGCCCAAGTGTTCTCGCTGTTCGTCACGGCCTATGAGTGAAAACATTTTGATAGGGTGTCGATTTTAGATCTTTCCTCGCTTCTCATGTGGGCATTTATTGCTATAAATTTCCCTCTAGACACTGCTTTAAATGTGTCCCATAGGATCTGGTATGTTGTGTCTTGATTCTCATTGGTTTCAAAGAATGTTTTTATTTCTGCTTTCATTTCACTGTTTATCCACTGGTCACTCAGGAGCAAGTTGTTCAGTTTCCATGTGATTGTTCGGTTTTGAGTGTTTTTCTTAATCCTGAGTTCTAATTAGATTGTGCTATGGTCCGAGAGACTGTTGGTTATGATTTCCGTTCTTCTGAATTTGCTGAGGAGTGATTTACTTCCAATTATGTGGTCAATTCTGGAGTAAGTGCAATGTGGTACTGAGAAAAATGTGTAGTCTATGGATTTGGGGTGGAGTGTCCTGTAAATGTCTATTAGGTCCGCTTGGTCCAAATCTGTGTTCAAGTCCTGGATATCCTTGTTGACTTTCTGTCTCGTTGATCTTTCAAATATCGTCAGTGGAGTGTTAAAGTCTCCCACTGTTACTGTGCGAGAGTCTAAGTCTCTTTGTAGGTATTTAAGAACTTGCTTTATGTATCTCAGTATTCCTGCACTGGGTGCACAAATATTTAGGATAGTTAGCTCTTCTTGTTGCATTGATCCTTTTACCATTATATAATGCCCTCTTTGTCTCGTCTGATCTTTGTTGGTTTGAAGTTCATTTTATCAGAGACCAGGATTGCTACCCCTGCTTTTTTTGTTGTTGTTGTTCTCCATTTGCTTGGTAAACCTTCCATCCTTTTATTTTGAGTCTGTGTGAGTCTTCGCATGTGAGATGGGTCTCGTGAATACAGCACAATGATGGGTCTTGTCTTTTTATGCAGTTTGCCAGTCTGTGTCTTTTGATTGGGCTGTTTAGGCCATCCATGTATATTCAATGTTAATATTGCTATGTTTGAATTTGATCCTGCCATTTTGTTGCTGGCTGGTTGCTTTGCCCATTAATTGATGTGGCTCCTTCATTGTGTCGTTATTCTTTACCATTTGGTACATTTTTGCAGTGGCTGGTACTGGTTATTCCTTTCCCTGTTTAGTACTTCCTTCAGTAGCTCCTGTAAGGCAGGTCTTGTAGCAACGAAATCTCTCAGCAATTGCTTTTCCGTAAAGGATTTTATTTCTACTTCACTTATAAAGCTTAGTTTGGCCAGATATGAAATTCTGGGTTCAAAGTTTTTTTCTTTAAGCATGTTGAATATTGGCCCCCACTCCCTTCTAGCTTGTAGGGTTTCTGCTGAGAGTTCTGCTGTGAGTCTGATAGTCTTCCCTTTGTGGGTGACTCGACCTTTCTCTCTGGCTGCCCTTAGCATTTTTTCCTTCATTTCTACCACGGTGAATCTGACAACTATGTGCCTTGGGGTTGCTCTTGAGGAATATCTTTGTGGTGTTCTCTGTATTTCATGGATTTAAATGTTGGCCTGCCTTGTTAGGTTGGAAAAGTTCTCTTGGATAATATCCTGAAGAGTGTTTTCCAACTTGGATTCATTCTCCCCATCACATTCAGGTACGCCCATCAAGTGTAGATTAGGGTTTTTCACATAATCCCATGGTTCCTGGAGGCTTTGTTCATTTCTTTTCACTCTTTTTTTCTCTAATCTTGCCTTCTCATTTTATTTCATTGATTTGATCTTCTGTCTCTGATATCCTTTCTTCTGCTTGATTCGGCTGCTGAAACCTGTGTATGCCTCGCGTAGTTCTCGTGCTGTGTTTTTCAGCTCCATTGAGTCATTTATGTTCTTCTCTAAGCTGGTTATTCTAGTTAGCATTTCATCTAACCTTTTTTCAAGGTTCTTAGTTTCTTTGCATTGGGTTAGAACGTGGTCGTTTAACTCAGAGAAGTTTGTTATTACCTACTTTCTGAAGCCTGCTTCTGTCAATTCATCAGATTCATTCTCTTTTTTTGTTCCCTTGATGGTGAGGAGTTGTGATCCCTGAGAGGAGAAGAGGGGTTCTGTTTTTTGGTGGTTTCATCCTTTTTATGCTGTTTTTTGGTGGTTTCATCCTTTTTATGCTGTTTTTTTTTCCATCCTCGTGGATTTATCTCCCTTTAATCTTTGAAGTGGGTGATTTCAGGAAGAGTCTCTGAGCAGACGGTTTTCTGTTGAGGATGGTGCTGTATCTTTTTTGGCCTGTAGAGGACATTGCTGGGCTCCCTTGGGTTCAGTCAGATTGTTGGGTGGGTGGTCCTTCCCTGCAGCTTGTTTGCAGGTGAGATTGGCACCACCTTCCCAATGGTGTCTCTCCCAGAGCTCAATATTCCTGGTTGGGGTCAAGCTGGTGTATTTGCTGCCAACCTCTCTAGCGAGGGTTTCAGTTAGAGTTATGTAACCTGCCGGCCTTATGGCCTGTTTCCCTGCTTTCAACTCTGCCTCCCTCTGTGGGATGGTCCAATCTGCTGGCATTACTTCAAACTCCTGCCCAGGTCCCTGCAACAACTTGCCAAGCCCAATGGTAGCTGCTGCTCAGACTTGCATCGACTACCCATGGTGCCCCACCATCTGGCAGGGCCCCTCTGGACCGCGGGTTGCAGGAAGGATAAGGCAAGCATAGGATCTGAAAAGGCACACTGAGGGGGTTAAGTCCCCCGACCCTCCGAGCTGGCTGCACGTTTCAGGTGGGGACGTGCCCACTCCGTCTTAATTTGCCCCCCTGGGAGGCTCTTGCCCTGCAGCTCCTTCCCTGGGCCTATTTTCAGAGAAGTATCTGTCCCACAGAAAAGAACCCGGCACCTCGTTTGGAACTGTGAAGTCCTCCAGCCCTCTGCGTCTCATTCACTGGGAGCTGCGTTTCAGCACTGGCTTCTCTTGGCCATCTTGGCCCGCATCAGGCTTTTGAAAGATTTTTTAAAATAGAGATGAGGTCTTGCTATTTTGCCCAAGTTGGTCTTAAACTCCTGCACTCAGAGTGATCCTCCTGCCATAGCTGCCCCCAAAGTGCTAGGATTACAGGCATCAGCCACCGCACCCAGTCCTGGCCTCTATTTAATATAAAGACTTCTTCAAGTCCCTTGACTACTTTAGGCAAATTTTACTTTTATATATATATATATATATATATACACACACACACACACACATACATACATACATATATATTTTTGAGACAGGGTCTTGCTGTCATCAAGGCTGGAGTGCAGTGGCTCAATTACAGTTTACTGCAGCCTCAACCTCTTGGGTTTAAGTGATTCTCCTGCTTCAGCCGCTTGAGTAGCTGAGACCACAGGCATGCTACCATGCCCAACTAATTTTTTTATTATTTGTGGAGACAGGGTCTCCCTAAGTTGCCCAGGCTCAAATTTTTTTTCTAATCAATACATGTACATCCTCTCAAAAAACTAAAAGAGAACAACGAGCTTTGTAAGAAAAAACACTATTTTCCTATATCCCTTACTACGCCCCAAAGTAACCATGCTCAATTCTTTAAGTTCTTTTCCATTTTGTCTAAATAACATACACTGCCATTTTTCCTATTTCCTGATTTTATTTTCCATTTTAGATATCATCTATTCATTATTTTAGCAGACAAAAGATGTAGCTCTCTTACACTTTTCTACCTGTCCTCCCAACATTGTTATATTTTATTTAAATCCATATCCAGTGTTCACATGATTATGTGTGGCTGCAGTGTGTATTGTACTAGCATTGGTTTTATGGCACAACTTTTAGTTTTTCCTAGAGCTAATACATTGCTTTTTTTGTTTGCTTCATTTTCTCTGTACCTATCAAAAATTCGTCCCTAAATGCTTCAACTGTAAATTTCTAATTACATATTCAAATACTTCAGGTAATTAATTATGTATCATTTCCTCCCTCTCTTCTCTTTTTTCCTGGAGACATTTCTGTTAGATGTCTTTTTATTCTACCCGGGGTTGCTACTCTCTACATTTGCTACAGTGTCACCTTGATTATCTCTCATGTTACCATTATCCCAGAGATTCCCCTTGCTCTTTCTTCTGTGTGGGAACCCCTGTTTCTTGGATCCCCTGTCTTCTTCATTCTTGGTTTATTCTTCCTCTGGTGGAGTTACATCTTCCAGTAGCTGAGAAAAAGTGAACTGATGGCAATTTTCTGGGTTGTTGTTGTTGAGACACCACATAGTTGAAAATGTTTTGAATGACAGTTTGGCTGGAGATAGAACTATGGGTTGAAACTGGCTTCCAATCAATATTCCCAGTGTTGCTGTTAACAGATCTCATCTTCATTCTTTTGAGTGTGACCAGTATTCTTTCTTTAGATTTTAGGATCTCTTCATCACCAGTGCTCCGAAATAATATGCTAATCTTTGCACACATCACTTTTCACAGTGCTAGGCACAATCTGGAAATATATTTCCTTCATTCCTAAAAAATTTTATTGTATTGTTTCTTTCTCTTTTTCTCCTCGTTTTTAAATTTTGCAGGAAGACACTGGGTGTCCTCTAATATTCTTATCTCTTTCTCCTATTTTCCCTTTCTTTAAATTTACATTCTGCTTTTGGTATGTATCCACTTTCTGTTCTAACCTTCCTACAAACATTGCTGTGTTTCTGCTGTAGAATTTTTAATCTCCATGAAAAATTTTAATTTTTGGAATGGTCTTTCCTATAATCTCCCTTTCTGCTTCATAGTCTCACTCACTGAAGGACATTATTGTTATTTACATTTTCTTCTGTTATCTGCATTGTTTGACTTTTTAAAATCTAGATGTTTCAATCTTTGTCTATAACATTAGAGACTTTCTTCATGTGACTGGTAATCCTTGGCTCCCCATTTCTATTTAAATATGAGGAATAATATTACAGCTAATATTTGTGAGTGATGATTAAGTACCAAGCATTGCTCTATGTGAATTACATGTTATCAGCTATAATATACCTGATAATCCTTCTGCCTCAGCCTCCTGAGTTGCTAGGTCTACAGGGACATGCCACCACACTTGGCTAATTTTGTAAAAAAGTTTTTGGAGAAACAGGGTCTCACGAGGTCCTGAATTACAGGCCTCAAGCAATCCTCCTGCCTTGGCCTCCCAAAGTGCTGGGAGCTCTGAGCCACATTGTGCCTGGCTTCAACATGTTAAATCACAGGTCCTTAACTGCTTTTAAGTGGTCCAGGATTTCAATTTTCAACGTGAGTGATATCGACTATTGACTCTTTACATGCAAAGTAATGTAATAGGGTGTGAATAGTTATTTTGGTTACTTTAGAAATGTACTGTGAAATCAAAACAAAATCATACTTTTTTAAATAAATGTAAGCTATATAATTTAGGTGGAAAAATCATATTTTTAAAATAAATATAAGTTATATAATAGCCTTACTATTCTAATGTGCCATTATTTATTTCCAATATAGAGCATTTCTCTTGAGCTTTGAAACTCAAAGCAACAAAATTCACATATATATGACCAACAGCAAAGTGACACATCTCTACCAAAAAAGTAAAAAAAAACAAAACTGAATTATATTCAGAAACATGAACTATTTGAACTATCACATAATAAAAAAAAATAGTCAAGATGAAAACTTTTCCCTATATCCTTGCTTTGTACCCTAAATGACTAGCACTTTAAAAACATACTGTACCATATTACCATTTCTATTTAGTTTTAGTATCATACTAAATTTTTTCCCACATAATATCTTTTATATTTGACCTCAAATTTTATTTTTATTTATTTATTTATTTATTTTTTGAGACAGAATCTCGCTCTGTTACCCAGGCTGCAGTGCAGTGGCACAATCTCAGCTCACCACAACCTCTGCCTCCCAGGTTGAAGCAATTCTCCTACCTCAGCCTCTTGAGTAGCTACAGGTGTGTGCCACCATGTACGGCTAAATTTGTATTTTTAGTAGAGACGGGGTTTCATTATGTTGGCCAGGCTGGTCTCAAACTCCCGATCTCATGATCTGCCCACCTTGGCCTCCCAAAGTGCTGGGACTACACACGTGAGCCACTGTGCGTGGTCTTGATCTCAAATTTTAATCAATACTTAAACACATTAAGGCAATAATTTATCTAACCCTGTTGAAAAACTTTTGCTTTACACTCCAATCTTCCCCAGCCCCACTGCAATGTATGGAGGGGTAAAAATTAGCATGTACTCATCAAATGCAAAAACAAAAAGCGCCAAATATCTAAATACATACCTTAGTCCTGGTGGTTGTTTTATTCTGTCTTCTTTCATTCCACACAAATGCAATGGCAGCCATAAAATGAACACCATGATTCATTGAAATTGGACCCAACAATTCAAGAATCTGTTGTCTCAAGTTCTAAAACAATTTGAAGCAAATGAAAGTGAAATTTAAAACAATAAAAACATTCACAACTAGACTGCATTTTTAGTTTCTTTTAAATAATATAGTTCTTATAGGTTTTCCCACCTAAATAATATAAGAGGAACCTTTAATAACATTAAGAGCAACACCATGACTATAATTCTAAAAGAAAAACAAATCCTACAAAATGACAGCTACAAATCTGCCAAATACAAGTCTATTCACTGTGAAAAGATACTAGAAAAACACAACATATGAAATTCGACTAAGTTTGATATACAGTACTTTAAAAAAAGGTGAGGCATTCTGTAGTTATACAACATCTTATGTTTTATTTAAGTAAAACAAAACTAAAAAGTATACTTTAATCCAAGCATCAAAACTTAGATTAAATGTTCTAATGGTTCCCATCCTTATCCTTCTGCCAATTCCGTATGTGTTCCCATGGATTCTAGATCCAGGTGGTCTGGTTTAGGAGTAAAATTAGGCTATTGAAGGATGTCAGTTTGACAACTCGACATGACACACAGCATTTGGAAAATTGATCAGAGTGCAAGGAAGAAAAAAAATTTAAAAATAATTAATCTTATCATCTTGAGATAATTACTGATAAAATGTAAACTTTCTTTATTCCTTTTTCTGCAGATTTAATTTTTACATAATTGAAAATATGCTATTTGTTCAATTTTGTAACATCCCTGTTTCACTGACCTTTTGAGCCCTTCTCCATCCAATGAGAATTCTTCAAAACCATGATTATTACTGCCTATTTAATGAAGCACCAAAAGGATAATTTAAACATTCCCTAATTTCTTGTTTAGGATCTCTCTTCTGCCATTAAATAATACTGTAACAAACACTTTGCATATATATCTTTGCATAATTTTGATTACCTCAGAATTCATTCCTAAAGTACATTACTAGGTCAAAGACTATGAAACCTTTAAAGCTCTCTGTACAGATTGCTAAACTGTTTTCCAGGAGGGCTTTGCATATGAAAATGTCAACTTAAAATGTCCTAAAAAAAGGAACAAAGTATGAATAAATCTTAAATCATCTGAAAGAAGCTAGACACAGAAGACCAAATATTGTTATCATTCCATTTATATGAGCTTTTAAAGAAAGAGCAAATCAATATATGGAGAAAACAGATTAGTGGTTGACTGGGATTAGGAATGGGAAGAGGAAGTGGAAATAGCCACAAAGAATCTTTGTGATAAAATACATATTCAAAAATTTGCAGAGTTCACAACTCTGTAAATTTACTTTAAAAAATTAATGAATTATATACTTAATGGGCTAATTCTGTGATATGTCATCCATAGCCTAAGAAAAATGTTAAAAATTATTTGATAATTACTTCATCTATGCAGGTTCCTATAAATACCACACAAATTATTCATATATTCTGAATATAATCTTTGGGAAGGTTCTCAAACAGCCTCTTGAGCGCTACAGATTGAATATTAATTGTCTAACCTTTGTAGCTCCAAGATTAATAGTGGTAACAGCTGCAGATGCAGCAAGAGTCATCTTTTCTGAAGAATCAGCTTGATGCAGTATGCTCCAAAGCAATGTTACAGAGGACATGATCATATGAAGGATTGAGAGGATTCCACTGCGTGCTTCAAACAAGTGTTTCTGGTCTACACTGACCAAAAGCTATTAACAGTGGAGGAAAAAAATATAATATTACTTACTTAGATTTACAAATGGAAATTCATTAGACCTCATAGTCTTTCAAAAGGAGTCAAATATATGTACAGTCTTACTTGGTGATACTGTGTAGTTGGATCCAACAAACAGTAATGAATAATGGCTGTAATCCCTTCCAAAAGAGTAAGAATCATATCTGGTGGAATAATTGATGCCATCCACAGAGGCCTGAAATAAAGTTCATTCACTTAAATCCAAGTTTTACAATAACATAGTTCATATTTTATAACTAGTAAATACAACGTGTCAGGCACATAGTAAATGTGCAATAAATACTAGATTAATAAATGGCTAAAAGAATTAATCAGAGGCTTTTACTGCTGCATATATAAAATAAGTGAGTTGAACTAAATGTACTAGAGTTCTTTTGGCTACAGAACTCTATACAAAATAAACAAATAATGGCCAGTGAATCTCTAGCTATTGGGAAATGGGAGGCATATTAACATTAAACAATACAGGCAGTTTTATTATTTTACACGTAGAAACTGAGGTTACTCTAAAGAAAAATAAGACATCAGTCTACTTGAACTAATTTTTCAGACTTCATTTTGAGCACGGGGACTCAGATCAAATTTGCCTCTAAACAATGAAAATCAAAAACAAGAAATAAAATTGCATGGAAAAGATTTGTAAATTTAAATTATTTTCAGTTTTAAATGTATTTGCACTTAGATAAAATACAAAACCTGGGAAACCTTTTCCTAAGCTTCCTATTAGTTTTGCCAGCTCAGGCAAGAAGAGCATTAAAATTAATTTCAGACCTTGGGAGAAAATAGGCCTGTTTAAATTGTTCTTCCCTTTCCATTCTAGATTATTTTATTGATACTCTTCCTCAAGCCAAATTTTCTTTTTTTTTGTGGAATGTAACATACTATTTGTAACCTACCAAAAACCACTAATTTACTCAAGTTGTGACCTACTTTCCAGACATTAAGCAGTCATATGTGAAAAATGTCAATAAAGTTAAAAAACACCTCTTACCTACTATCAGATAATCCTGTTTCGTATTTGTACTGCTGAATTAGATTATCTAAATTTCTGCACAGTTGTAGCGTCACAGAAACAACCACTCTCTGTAGAACTTTTCCCATATAAGGCAGAGTAGATGTGATTAAACCAATCCATTGTGGGTGCATCTTACATGCACAGTGTTGATGCAAAGCTCGTATTACCGCACAGAGGAACATGCCTTGACACGTGATTGGCTGAGCATGCAAATACTGAAGAGAAGTCATGGGCTGATGGGGACTAATGTGTTCCAAGTCAGATACAACAAAATCAAAACCTGTTTCATTCTCTTCAGGAATAGTCATTACTCTGTGTTCTAAAACAATCAGTCTCTGAAGCACCTTAAGAAGTTGTGATTGTAACGTGCTGCCATTGTCAAATTCATCCTCTGAGAAATTAATAAGGCTGTCCTCTGAGAAACCTTCTTCCACAGCAACCATGTTCTTACCTGCAATTTTTTCACTATGCCATTTCTGAGCACTAAAGATAGATGACAGCAAACAATGAAGAATCACTTTCTGAACTTTGCACTTAGATAACATATCAGAAATAAAACTAGGGAAACCCTTCGCTGAGCTTTCTATTACTTTTGCCAGCTCAGTAAAGAGTAGTGTCAGAATTTCTATGCTCATCATCTGCATGTTTCGATTGCCTATTAAATCTTGTGGAGTAACCTTGACATGAGTTGGGTAATGGCTACGCACGTAATATAAGCAGAGGGAAATAAGAATTTCTATATACATAGAACTCCGGAAATTATGATTTGAGTCCACTGGAATGTGACTATAAAAATCTTTGCCCATAACAGAAATCCGGTGTCTAGCCAATAGATTCTGAAGGAGAGACAACTGAGGAGTATATGCGTTATTTACACTAGTAGTTGAAATGGCATTTACAAAAGCTATAGGGTTCGTTTTCAAGATGGCTTTGATGGCAGAGAAAGCATACAAAGTCCTGGATGAATCATACAGCTGGAGGTACAGGAGCACATGTTGATAGAGAGGATGAATATTGAAAATGGGAGATTTCCGAGATCCTGGAGAACCCATGTCACTCTCAATTTCAGAAATGTCTCCCTCTCCACAGCTATACCAGTTCTCTAAATCCAGACCATCACTAAAGAATACACTGGTTTGTTTGAGTTTTTCATTTGAAGATTTTTTCTTGTCATCATCCTTTTTTCTGGCAAGTTTTACTTTAGGTTTTGCTCCTGGTTGTTTACCTGACTCCTTAACTATTGTTTCCTTCTCTGAAACTTTTTCTGATAATTTTTCTTTGAAGCTGAATTGAATACTACTGTGACTCCTCTGTCTAGATTTGGTTTCTGTGGAAGCAGTAGAACCATCATGAAGAGTGTGTGTGGTTCCTGAAATACAAGGTGAGGAGCTATTCCTGGAGATTCCATTTGCCACACACTCATGGCCTCCCTCTGCAGACACAGACAGAAACTGACAACTTTCATTACTTAGCAAAGCATTCTGACTCTGTTGACTGGAGTCATCTTCAATTTTAATCATCTCTTCACCTGGATCTGTACCACTGCACTTTGGAGGCATAGCTTCAATTTCTAATTGAGATGTAACTGATGCAGATTCCACTTCGAGGCCACTTACAACTTTACATATCAGGTCAAACACTACCTGCTGAACATCATCATCTGGGGAGCCTTCCTTTGGCATCTGAGAATCCTCTTGGGCATTCACAGTTTCAGAATCAACTTCATAACTCAAGTTGTCCCCTGCAGAGGACTGTGAACATCCTGAGTCAGAACTCTGAAGTATTTCTATCTGTTGGTCTGGAAGATCAAAATCAGACACAACCATTGGAATTGTCTCACTGCTGGTACTTAGGAGGGAAAGTCTGTCACTTAATGGATTAACGGTGAGACTAAAGTTCTCTATTTCATCCATGGTAAGTGGCTTTTCTCCATTTCCTTTTAATGTGATGAGTTGTACTTGGCTCACTGATAGAGAAAAACAGTAAAAGAAGAAAAATTCAAAATGCATTAAAATAACTGAAATGCAGAAATGTATAGTGACCAAGATTTTTAATCATTAGTGTCAGCATCTACTTATATTTTCCTATTAAAATTACATTTTATTGCAGGTAAAAATTTTACTTTTCCTTCCTGTGTAATATCTCACTTTAGTTATGCTGTTTCTAAACTCTCTGAAGTTTAAAATTAGCAGCAAACCACAAATACATAATTCATTTCTGTATTTTTTAGAGGGCACACAATGATGACAACATTCATTTAGAAAAGGTGAAAGGCTTAATGCCATACAAAGTAGTACACAGCAAATGCTAGCAAATTTAGGGAAAGAATCATATTACCATTGATGAGGTCTGATACTGATCTCAGAGAGGAGGTGAGAATTCAGTACAGTCAGATAAAGCATTAACACAAAGATGTTTTGGCAATACACAGGGTAATGCAAATTCTTAGAAGACTCAGAAGAGGCAGTGGAAAAGAAGTCAGAAAGAAGAATCAAGCTGCTGTAGGAACACACTAGAGATGAAGTAGGTATATGACAGTTTGGTTTCAGCTTCATCACTTCCCAGCCATGGAACTCTGAGAAAGCCACGGCCTTCTAGGCATCAACGACCTGCTTAGTAAAATCATCTTTTCAATACTGACCCCACAGGGTTATCCGTCAAGAGACAAATGACATATATGGGAGTCTTTTGTCCCTTAAATAAATTAATTCAAGGGGACATTATCACTGCACAGAAGGCATCACTCAACAGTTTATAAAGTGTGGACTCTGTAGTAATGTTGGAATAGTGAATATTTGGGCATGTCACAAATATGACTGTATCTGATGGTCATAATAAAACCTTGAAAGTTGGGCATTATTATTCTCTTGAAAGATGAAGAAAATGAGTCATGAAATGCAAAATGTGTATTACAGGTTTACTATACATTCCCAATAAAGTATCTACAGAGCCTTGTAGGACCAGAATTGCTAACTAAGCTCTAAAGGTACTTCCATCAAAACTGAAGAATGCCTCTAGCCAGAGCTGTGCTTGATTCCTACCCTGAGTCAACTGAGAAACCCACATCCTCTAAGATGGTCACTGATGAGGTATATTCTGACATGGTCCACATGGCATTGCTAGTATATGAGGAGGGAGAAAATAAGCCCATGGAGAAAATCTCACATGCAATTCTTCTGCCAATTACGGTTGTATTCACTTATCACTTTATTTTAATAATTCTAAATAAAGTTGTCTACTTCTATGTCATATTCACCATTGCTGCAGGCAAAATTTTGCATGAAATGCTTGTCACTCTCCTCTCCTGGATAACAGGGAGCCTTATTCCAGTAACGTTCTGCTTGTACGCGCTGTACTGAAACTCTCTGAGTTTTTGGATGAAGCAGGAGCAATAGCAATGGTTCTAAAACTCTTGCAATATCATGTCTTTGTAGGACTTGGTTCAGCCAGGCTTGTCCCACAGAGCTAGTAGTACCATCAAGACTGTTAAGGCTATCTAACATGATGAACAGCGACCTAAAATAAACACAAATAATTAAAACAAAGAAACAAACATCTACCTTAACTGTCACACTCTTTTCTAAAATAAATTGTGTTTCCTATTTTGAATTAACTATTTTGAAGCAGTCATACTTCAACATAAATTTTACATAAATTTATGCTTCAGCATAAATCATAGCATTTTAATAACCTTAATCCCAACATTCTCGGTAGATATAATAAGAAAGGAAAAAAACTTTTTGCCCTTTAAAAAATATACTTATGCTTTGAAATTTCACAAGCATACATTACTTTTATAAGATTAGTACTGAAAAATAGAAAAAAATATAATTAGTCTTGCTTTAGCAACATAAACTGAGCCTTCTGCAAGTCAACATTACTCCATGTTGGTCCATGTTCCTCTGCTCACACTCTCTTTGTGAGTCAAAGCTATACGCTTAATTCAAGTAAAGATCTTCTGTGAAAGGTATGAACGTGTGGCTTGCAATCAGAAAATGCAAGATCTTTTGTATGGTGTTGGCCAAGTAACAACTTTTCCTGACCTCTATTCCCTCACTTCTAAAATTAGGAAAGACAGTTGTCAAATTAGAGATGATTATTTACAAAGTAAAGGTTCAACATATTCAATACATTGTAGGGGTTCAATATCAGATCACTTAAAAATAGTAATCTTCATTGAAAAGCACCAGCTGAAATTATGTTCAGTAGAGCACACAACTGATCTGACTGAGATCTAACACAGATTCGTGGCCACCACTATGAGACCAGCTGGTGAGACTATCTTATGACAATATGTGAATTCACCTATAAATGGCAGCTTGGAATTTAATGCAGATCTGGTATTTGAAGTCGCCTATGTAGTCCAGACAAAAACTGAAACCACTCTTAGGCAGCTACAAGTTCTCTGGATTCAAGGAAAGAATCTGTTAGTGTTTTCAGCTGCAGATTTTAATAAATCTAATTTAGGCAAAAGTTCGAAAATAATTGCTTGAGAAACACACAATCTATTATTTATATGCAATTTCACTAAACATGAATATAGACTCAAGAAAGCTGTATCCATTGCTTTATCATTGGCACCTAGAATGGTGCCTGACATGTAGTAGGAACATGATGAATAGTTGTCCAAGGAAGGGAAGGGGAGCTGGGTAATATAAAACCAACAAGTAAAAATCTGGTGATTAAAAATACCATGCATTTTAGTACAGCTTACAGTTTTCAAAATAATAAATTTTCTTTAAAAAAGTTATAAATTGCTATTTCCTACACTTGCCAAACTAGACAGTAGACTCAAGCAAAGAGACAACATTAAGATATCTGACTGTGAAATCTTAATATAAAATGTAACTGACCTGTCAAAAGAACGTGCAAAAGATGAAGATTTATTTATATGGAGATCTCTTGTTAGATGCCAAAGGACTGCAAACTTGGCATGTGCTTCCATCCTTATTTTCTGAGGAGAAACATGGGACTTTAAATTATGTTATCCTCTCTTGAAGATATTAAGTGATTTTAGCAAAATCAAAGTATTTAGGAGTAATGTAATAAAATCAAACTATTTAGGAGTAATGTATTGTATTCAATGTCCACAATATTCGAACACACATTGCAATAAACTTGACATTCTTTATGGAAGTAGAAACATAGAAAATAAGTAAATACATACAGAAATATTGAACCTGAAGGACCATCTCATCCTGTCGCATAAATAATTATTACTGAGTTTAGACTTTAAGTAATGAGTTTACTAGATTATTGTTTAACAGAAGAAAAAAGTTAATTACATGTCACATCTAGAATCAAGAAAGTACTTCATCCTTCATTTAGCATAAACATTTAGTTGTCAAAATTGATTATATTGCACTATATATTTTTTGTCCCAGAAATGATATATTAATCCCAAATAGTTCTTCATCACTTATAAAGCTGATTTAGTTGACTCAAAAAAAAAATTTAAACACTTAAAAATTATTTCTACAAATTAAACTACTTTTGAGATTTGGGAAAAGATTAACATAATAATGGGTAGAAAATGTAAAATAATTTAGAAAAGCAAGCACATTTGGTATTAGATAACAAACATGTATGAATATAAATCAAGTAGAAATTGTCACATTATCCAAATTTCTTAAAGCCTTTCCTTAACATTTATGGATCCTCCAAGCAACAACCCCAAGAAACCAGACTGCAACTTTCTAAATTGCTTGTGATAGGTTAGAAGAGTGCTTGTTTTTTATTATGAGCTTAATACATGCTTTTCTTACAAAGCCTGAATTTCTATCAACCAACAGAAATGTAAAACTTAAGCAATAAAAGATATTTTAATTATTTTCATGGATGTATGTCTTTATTTAGAACTTGGGAGTATTTCTTTAAAAATGAAATGCTACCCAAGTGAACATAGGCATATAACTGGTCCTACATTTATACTAAAACTTAAATTCTTAGAATATAGACTGCTTTATCTAAAATCTTATTTCTGAATAATTTTGAAAAAAAATGTATTATAGCAGAAATAGAATTTTAACATTTTTCTTGGAATACAGTTTTCATTCCTTTTATTTACTCTATCATATACCACTTTCTCCTCTGCCAAATGTTTCATTTATTTAACACAATTCCTTTTTTGAATATGACCCACTCAAACTCACTAGCATTTTGAGTTTTTAAAAATAGGACAATCCACTTCTAAAAGTTCTTCAATAAAATCTTTAACTTATATTACAGAGCAGCACAGGAAGACCACAAACATCGTTAAATTACCCTGATGAAGTTATCAAAATGCTTATTACAGTTTCTTCTCAGGCTGACAAATAACTCAGCCACCTCTGATTGATTTATCACACTTCACATATATTAGGATAAAAAATTCTTATTTTGGATATGTAGTATAATAATGCAAATAATATAATCTCACATACTAGCATTCTCTGGCTTATAAATGTACTTTTATACATTATTTCATTTCATATATATTAGTTAATATATCCATAAGTTCCCTAACTGAGGCCACTGGTTCTTCTTTAAATGACCCAAGAACTGAGACCACCAATACTAAACATCATTATCCATAAGTGGTGTCGTGAACAAAGAAATAAACTTAGCATTTGATTTTTGTATTACTTAATTTTTCATATTACTGATGCTTTTGTAAAGAACTTGCTTCTAGAAAGAACTGAATACATTTATTTTATAGATATTAAGATCACTGTGAACAAAGCTATTTTCTCTTATTCCCATGTTAACTGCAATAATTTCCCTAAAGTTTTCTTAATTTACTTTTTAGTATTGTGTGTGTGTGTGTGTGTGTGTGTGTGTGTGTGTGTGTGTGGCAGAAGGTCAGTGTGCACAAGATAAGAAGAGGATTTACCTTATCTTTATGGGTTAACTGGTGACTTATAACATCCTCACAGATGCTAGAAGAAGGAACTAAGTTATGTAATTGATAAAATAGTTCCACACTCTTCTGGTGATGCTGAGGTGTCCCATCTCCCAACTGGTCCCACAATGTTGAAGCTACATGCTATAGAAAAAAATGTAAAAGTGACAGTCACAATACCATACATGAAAATTTATTTAACAAGTATTTCCTATTAGGTACAAATGAACGCCTGCTCTCTGTCAGACCTGAAAGGTTTTTAATATTCTATTCCATGGCGATGAGATTAGTAAGTGCAGTCTTCTATGTGCCTACTTTTCAAGCCCTTGGAACTTTTTATGACAGTCCTTTAATGATATTTATTTTTAGACATCAGATATGTTGGCTGGGCGCAGTGGCTCACACCTGTAAAACAAGCATCTTGGAGGCCTAGGCAGGTGGATTACCTGAGGTCAGGAGCTTGAGACCAGCCTGGCCAACATGGCGAAACCCTGTCTCTACTAAAAATACAAAAAGTTAGTTGGGCACAGTGGCATGCACCTGTAATCCCAGCTACTCAGGAGGCTGAGACAGGAGAATTGCTGGAACCCGAAAGGCGAAAGCTGCAGTGAGCTGAGATCACGTGACAGAGAAAGACTTCGTCTCAAAGAAAAAACATTAGACATGTAAATGTTTTCTGCAGGGCCCAGATAAGACCCTGTTTCACTATTTAGTGATGTTTGGTAAAGTGATGCTAGAATAAATTATCCTTAATAAGATACAAATCCCACACTGAATGCAATTTAATATTTATGGTTATATATTACACAGTGAAAAATAATTCATAGTCCAAATAACTACTTAATAAAATAGATAATAGGTATTTCAGAGCTACATATGCTAACACAGCACTTGATCTGTGACAGTATTAATAATAGTGCAATTAGTAATAATAATGCAATAATCTTCAGGGTTCACCACAATACTACAGAAATCAACTCTAGCAGGAGGAAATATCTGAAGGGGCACAGTGACATGAAATCAGATTTTAAAACTTTTTTTTTAATGTACGGTATAAAGAATCTATCTGCTTAAGATGTACACAATCCAAATCTACTTGATGTTTGCTATAGAGGATAATATTTATACCATTGTGGTAGAAATCAAAGAAAGAATTTTCTGAATTTTTTTTCTGAATGACTTTATATACCACAGATGATAATGAAACAATATGAAGAGTCAGAAAAAAGTGTTTTGGAGTGCTGAGATTTCGCTGTATGAAAAGCAAAAGTGTCACAACCACTTAATTTGAAAGTACGTTCTACTGCTTTCCTCTTTTAGCTGAAATTATTTCCTCCACGGCCTCAGTGCCCTAATACTTCTCTTTCTTTATCCTAATATACCTATTTCTTTATCCTTACATTTCTCCCCTGCTCACAAAATTGGGAATAAGACGGGGAAAGCAGTATATATATCAGCTGTGGCATCATTTTCTACATGGTATCACATATTAAGAGGTGTTTAATGAAGCTTTATTATCATCTTTAAAATAATTCTTAAAGCAAACTAGGCCAAGTATCATACATGGCTGTAATTTTCAAAGTCATGTATGCATTTCTTAGAATTTTTACCTTGAAAAATTCAGTCTTCTCAGCTATGTACCTCAGATTGCCCTGAGTGAGGGGAGGTCTAATAACCACAGCTACTCTTCCCTGGTTTGGACTTAAGGGTTGTGCAGACTCCACACTGTTGATGTTTTCCCCAGTGACCATGGCCACAGACTGTGTCAGTCCCACCAGGTCCATGACTAGTGAAATAGCAACACTCTGAACACTGAAATCACTTGCTTGGCTGCAAGCATTCATCAGAGTCTGGAGCCACTGTGGAGGCTGCACATGCTCACAGTCTGAAACAAAAGACGGTAGCAATCAGAGTTCATCATACTAAACATTTCACATACACTCTAATTTTGAAAAACAAAGCCACTAAATACTTTTAAGGCCTTGACCTGTTAGCAAAACCATGGTTTCTCACCTAGTCTAGAGCTTTAATTAAGTAGCAAGAAGAATTTCTTATATTTTTTCAATATACATTTATCTTATGCCTAGTCATACAATCTATTCTCCTGTTCCAAAAATCAGTATATTGATAGCATTATGCAGTAGTCACTGCACTATGTGTGTATATATAAAAATCAGGCTGGGCATGGTGGCTCACGCCTGTAATCCCAGCACTTTGGGAGGCTGAGGCAGGCAGATCACAAGGTCAGAAGTTCAAGAACCAGACTGGCCAACATGGGGAAACACCCTCTCCACTAAAAAGTACAAAAATGAGCTGGGTATGGTGGCTCGTGCCTGTAATCCCAGCTACCTGGGAGGCTGAGGTAGAAGAATTGCTTCAACCGGGACCAGGGAGGCAGAGGTTGCAGTGAGCCGAGATCGTGCCACTGCACTCCAGCCTGGGTTACAGAGTGAGACTCCATCTCAAAAATAAAAATAAAAAAAAAAAATAAAGGTAAACACATATATTACTCGTAATAATAAAGAAAAGCAGAACTACTGCTACATTACTTTTCTCCAGAAGATTTCCTTTTCAGCTCCGACTTACTTGCAAGAAAACTGTGAAAGATATCAAAATCAGAAAATCTTCCAATGTATCAATCTCTGCATAGTGACAGTATTTAAAAAAAAAAAAAACTTACAAATTAAAACCTTAAAAAACTGGCTAAAAAAACCCAGTTTTAATGAGTGCCTCTTTAAAAAAAAAAAAAAAAAGCATACTACAGAAAGTACTGAAATATAAGCAAAACTGAGATGATCTTACCAGTCTCCAATTTTTCAGAATGTAACTCTGATGTATGGTTCCCCTCAGCAATGTAAACTGGGAAACTTGAGCACTCTAGGAAGAGCTGACAGGCAGCAAGGAAGGCAGCAAGGTATTCTTTAGAAGTTTTTTGTTTACTTATGTTTCCCTCTTTTACATCTCCTTGTGAATTTCTGTCCCATTTTGAAGTCTCTCCTTGTTCTCGACCAAGATCCCCTTGATGCTCTGTAGCCAAAACCTGAGAAAAACAGTTACTCTGAATGATGTAGAGGTTGATAAGTCTGGTAAGAAACTGTTGGACATATTCCAAGCAGCACTGCATTGCAGTCTTTTGGGCTGTCTTCCCACTTCGGGTTGTTGTCCCCTGAGTGACTAAAGAAGGGGTCTGAACGATGGTTTCTTCAGATCCCACAGTGGATGCTGTTTCTGTCTCAGAGGATGTGCTACCAATTGGGATGGTAGCTGGTCCCTGCCCCTCACTCAGTTCTCTGTCAGTGTCATCAGTTCGGTCTGCTTGATATTGTATAAACTCAGTGAATCCACTTTCTGATGATTGACTACTTGGTGGATTTTCTCCATCTTCAAACACTTCAGTAGGATTTTCATGAGAAACTGACACCTGTTAGATTAAGAAAGCAAAAGGCTGAGTAGCAAAGGATATATTAGGAAATAGAAATGGCCATTTTTGAGAGACATTTTAGATTATTCACAATTTAACCTACTCATTCTGTTAACTCTTAAAGCAGCCCCTACACTGATTTATATGTAATCAATAGGAAATACTGATAACAGTTCTAATACATTAATGTACATTCATTCACCAAGTATTTATTATGGACTACATACATAGCATATGTAAGGTTAGATTGAGGACAAAAATACATACATATAAATCTCTAGGATCTATATGCTTGTTTTCAAATGACTATTTCATTTACTTCATGAAATCACTTTCCCAATGTCTAAACAATACAAAGAATGAGATGTGTAAGGTTAAAAAATAACATATTAATAACAATAAATAAAATATAACAGGTCATCTGTTTAGGGCCACATGAATGTAAAATTTTTATTGAAATATGTAAAGTATTAATTAAATCTTTGCTATTAATCTTACATTCTTTCAGTGACTAATTCCTGAACTTTTATCATGTGCCAGACACTGTATTAAGTAGTAGGAATAAAGGGAATAGTTTATAATCCAGAGGGGAGGATAAGAGACAATTACAATAAACAAACAAATGAACCAGTTCCTGGCGTAGAACTAGAGTATATTAGCCTCTTCCTTCCTATAACGGAATAGAGTAAGTATAAATATCAAGTATATTTTCTGGCTTAGTTTAAGTAAAAGTTATACCTAAGAATTCCTTGGGTGACTGTGTCAGAGTGTAATTTGCATTTGAATAAGATCACAAAAAATTATCTTATTAATATATGAACTAAATGCTCTGTTGCCCAAAGCTGGGTGTCATCCAGTGTTCCTTGCCTCAGTGAATGACACACTTTTCCTTGAGTCCGTAACATAGAAATCTAGGGGTCATTCTTGGTACCTTCTCCAACCCTCCTTCCCTTCCCCACTTTCGTATCAGTAGAGGGGTTAGGGATGCAGGCCTTGAATCAACTAGGGCTCTGCCATTCACTGGTTATGTGATACCTGGCAAGCTATTTAACCTCTCCAAACCACCATTTCCTAATATGTATAATTGAGACAATAATTCTTACATTCTACAGTTGCTATGAAGATTACATGACGGTATATATAAAGCACAAGGCACAATGCTTAGCACTAGTAAACACTCATTAAGTGTTAGCAATCATTACCCTTATCAATCTATTATTAAGTCTATTTTTCCTCCTAAATATATTGCTAATCCATCCATTCCTATCTTTACTCCTCATATCTTGGTACAAATTACCACCACCCCTCACCTGTGCTACTACAGGTCTTCCCACATCTATTTCTGTTTCTCATCTACATTTCACAAGGCAGCCAGAGTAACTTTTCTAATATACTAACTTAATTATGCCATTTGCTTTTTCCCCTTCAGGGCCTTCCCGGCGTTCCTAAATAATAAAAGCCCTAGAATAGCTCAAGGCCCTCTAAAACCTGGCCTCTGCCTATCTTACAGCTGCATCTCTAGTCTGCTTGGTGCTTGTCTCTGTCTAACAGCCTTTGCAAAATCATAGCTGAGAATATTACGACAGTGAAAGATATCACACCTAACTGACTTCATCTTGCTTCTAACCTCTCAACTGTCCTTGTTCATTCCTGGGTGTAGGCTGAACTAGCCTTAGGAAAGAATTTAGTTTATACTTTAAAGCTATATTGTTCTTGCAAAACAAATGAAAGGCTACCAGGTTAGAATCAGGTTTGGAATTCTACATATTACCAGCCATTATTCCAGAGGTCCTAAGATTTGCAACTTCCCCAATTACTCTTGTAGGTAACATCACTATGTGAACCTAAGTTTTTGCATTTCTAACAACTGAATGGCCCCATCTGGACAAGCCAACCAGTTCTGCGGCCCCTACCCAGGAACTGACTCAGCATAAGAGAACAGTTTCAACTCCCTGATTTCATCCCTGAGCCAACCAATCAGCATTCCCAATTCACTGGCCGCCCCCCACCTACTGAATTATCCTTAAAAACTCTGATCCCCAAGTTTTCGGGGAGACTGATTTGAGTAATAATAAAATTTCAGTCTCCTACATAGCCGGCTCGGCATAAATTACTCTTTCTTCATTGTACTTCAAGTCTTGATAAATCGACTCTGTCTAGGCCAGGCGTCCCCAGACTTTTTACACAGGGGGCCAGTTCACTGTCTCTCAGACCGTTGGAGGGCCACCACATACTGTGCTCCTCTCACTGACCACCAATGAAAGAGGTGCCCCTTCCTGAAGTGTGGCAGGCAGCAGATAAATGGCCTCAGGGAGCTGCATGCGGCCCGCTGGCCCGCCGGCTGTAGTTTGGGGACGCCTGGTCTAGGCAGTAGGCTAGGTGAACCCACTGGGCTGTTACACTTCTTCCTCTGTCAAGTGCTGTCTTTTTCCCTCTCTCACCACACCAATCTCTCTAGGGCTTCACTCAAACATTCCTTCCTCAAAAAAGCATTCTTTGACCCCGGCCTAAGTCAAGTCACCCCATTTTCCCCATTCTTACCATTTGATTATTTTCCTTTGTACATTTATGACAACTGTAATTAAACACCCACTTACTTGTTTAATATCTGTCTCCCAATTAGAAAGAAAGGATAGAGAAGGGCAGAGACTATGCATAGCTCATCACTGGATAGCCAGCAACTAGCAGTGATAGGAGCAGGAGGCAGACAAATCCTAGGCAGCCAGGAATGGTCTGGTGAAACCCTACCTTCAAACCAAAGACAGTTTAAAGCCTAGCTGCAAGTCCTGGATAAATCCACAGACCAGATTGAGAACGTCTCTTCCCATGTGGCATGGCTCCCTCTGATTGATCCCCACTCTTCACCTATTTTACATATACCTACCCTTCCCTAATTGGCTATTTATACTGTTGTGCCCACCTTTGAGTGGTGCCTTTGTTTTAGCCTCTTTTGTATACTCAAAAACCAATTAGCATGAAGATGTGCTGTAAGTGTAAAATGTACACTAGATCTTGAAGACAGTACAAAAAAGAATTTAAGCTACCTCACCTATTTTTTTATATGACATCAATTTTATGTAGATCACACTGAAATAACATATTGGTTACAATTGTCTAAATAAACTATAATTAAAATTAATTTCACCTGTTTTTTACTTTAATGTGGGTACTAGAAAATTTTGAATTACATATGCCATTCACATGATACTTCTATTGAAAATTACTGATATAGATTAAACTGCCCTACAACCAAAAGCCTACAAGCCTACTAACACTGCATTTGGATCCAAGAAAGACTCACTATTATTTAAATGCTTATGTATAAGTGATTTTACTAAGTAACTGTTCTGCTTTGAAGAAATGTAAACGGTCTAATAAAAATAAGAGTTAAAATCACCTTTTTGTCTTCCCATTCTTTGACTGAATTGCTCTGCCCACTTGGAAACTGTAACACAACTCCAGTGCTAGCAGATAACAGTGGAGGCTGAACCTTGCTAAGGATCTTTGAGCAGAGTCTGAGTGAATCTGTGAGTTCAGATAAGTGCAATGTCTGGAGATGGCTTGTCAAGGCAGAAATCATTCTGAGCAGCAACTGAGGCAAGTGTTCTGTCTGGATTTCAATATAAGTCTCCTGAAAATAAAAGTGAAATAAAAAAAGTTTAAACAATGTGTAACCCAAAAGTTACATTTTTAAAATCTATATAAGGCAATAATTTTACTCTTTAATGTTTTACATGCATCATGCTCTTAATTAACACTGTATATTTTATTATTGATGCCTTATAAAATTTCTAATCCCAAATTCTCAATTTAAATATTACAAAGCATATATTATAAAAGAACCCCAGTTTTATCTGCTACATTATTAAAATTATAACATAACAAAAGTAAACAGAATTATTTAAAAACAAAACAGGCTGAATGCCGTACCTGACACAGCACCCTCATACTTCTAGTAGGCTTCAAAATGAGAAAGCAAAGAAGTGAGGAGAGAAAACAGAAGGGAAAATATTTCCAACAGTCTTCATTTAACAGAAATATGTTAATATAAATGCAGCATTAGACCACTATACACTAAACAGTTAAGATTTTATAACATGCAATTATGATGTATACTCCATATATTTTTATGTGTATATGTCAAAAGACAAAACACTTGAAAGATATTATGAAAAAAAGCTTACCAAAGAGGAAAAATCAATTTAATTTTAAAGATGAAATGTATCTAAAGACAAGGCTTGCCTCTAACATGAAATATTTTAACTGCATTATTAGATTTCCTTGATATTTTCTTACCAAGGTAGTCTTACCAAAGAAACTATGTCCAACAAAAAATCCACCAGTAAGCAGAAATTGGTCAGCTGTAATTCAGATGAGTTGCTACTATCTCCAGGCCCAATCTGAAGTCTGGCATGCAGTGTCCTCCTAAAAGGACAAAATTCACTTTATTAAGTATACTGTCAAGTGATGTGAATACCTGTGACAGCATCAACATCCTTCTAATGAAGGCCAAGTCAATACTGGGTCACACACAGTAATGTTTTTGTGATGACATAGTCTAGTTCCCCTGGGACACTGTACCTTTATGTGGAAAATTCTCAAAGCAAGATTCCTACGCTGAACCTCTCCCTGCAACTCCCATCCTGCACTTCGAAGTGTTCTGAACGGATCTCACTTTCTGGGACTTATTTCCCACTGCTTCTACTACAGATGTCACCTCCCAGTTAACACTGATTAACTGCTACTTGATTTCTAACACTGGGGTCTTAAAACATGCTCATTTGTTCTTCTGTACTACTTTCCTCCCCAATCTCATTTTCCCATGTTCAGAATGCATCTGTCCTTCAAGTCTGAGATTAAATGTTACCTCCTCCAGGAAGCCTCTTTTGATCCAAGTAGCAGAGATCATTCCTCCAACAAACACTCATATTAAATCACAGAAATCCTATATGACTATACATTGCCCTACACTCTGAAGACAAAGTAAGAATATAATATAGTCTCTGACGAACAAGAATATAAGCATGTAGACAAATATATGCAACAATGTGACAGTGTCAGAGGCACTGATTCTGATAGGAGATTCGAGGGAGTCAAGGAAGGAAAGGTGCGTAACCTCTACATAGGCTCTCAGCAGATGGGCAAGGGCTAAGAGTATTTTAGAAAGAATAGCACAAGTGCAGCCTCAGCAGCATGAAAGATAACTTTCTTTCAGAGAATGGTTCAGATTGGCTGAAGAAGTGTGGATGTGTGCATTTCTGAATGTAGAAAGAAAAATCCCAGGATAGATCAGGTGGCACAAAGATACGATTCCTCTGTATTCCTATAATCTATGAAGACATATGTAATTTTTCATTTAATACTAGGAATATACATGTGCATGTCTTATTTGTTCTCCCTATAAGATCTCTGAAGACAGGGACTGTCTTTCTGCCTAGCACGATGCTTTTTAGCTGGGTGTTCAACATCTGCTGAATAAGCCAAGAACTTTCTAAACTATTAAAGACATTAATGTATAGGAGCAATAATTACATTTTTTATTAAAAGACTTCTAATGCGAGATCATACACAATTACATTTTGACTACATGTTTCTGAGCATTGAGCGATAAATCTGGTTGAGAGGACATGGTGTAGCAGCCAGAGATTCCACACAGGCTCACTAGTATCCCAAGGTTTTCAGACATATTTTTGGCTTTATTTCCTAAGGGGTAGAAGGCTTTTATCACTTGCCAGTGACAGTATGAATTAGTTCTAATGGCTTTAAAAACACAAGTCAGGCCAGGAAGTTTTTTGTTAATCAAAGTGGAAATTCTTTTGGGAAAGTGTGCTGAGGCAGTAGCCAAAAATTTGCTATCTTTTCTATACAATAAAAAACTGGATTACTAAAGACTGAAGAGGGAAAATCTTTATTCTGGTGTATGAATAACTGATCTCTAAACTCCTTTTCAATTCTAAGATTATATGATCAGTGAGTTTATGTCCTATGTGACAACATAGAGTCAGACTATGGATAGTAAGTAAACTAATAGTTGTTAGTAGTAGAACATGTAAAAGAACATTCACTAAATTTAACAACTTAAAAAAAAACTCAAGGTTAGTTTTGGATGCTACTCAATTAAAAGGAATGAAAGTTCAACATACCTACAACATTCCTCAAACCAACGTGCAACATAATCCCACATATAATAAGGTTCGAAGGAATTAAAGAGAAGGTTGGCAGTTTTAATCAGCTCTGCTGTTTTCTTATTTTCTCTTAATTTACTGAAAAAAGAGAAATGAAAACAAAACTAAAAAAATTAACATTTATTTTTTCAAATTTAAATTTGACTGCAATGCCAGTACATATTCCTAGGTAGTTGCTAGAAAATGTGCTAGTAAGAAGACTGCAACAAACAATTTTTATTTACTGCCACTCCCCTATTACTTTACGTGCAGTTATTTTTCCAAATTTAAATTTTTGTAACTCAAATATGTGGTCAAGATCGGAAATTAGCCTTGCATAATTTCTGAATAAAAAGACAAAGAACAAGAGGTTCTTTTTGAATTATTAGAGTGTGGGACTGTTAATTTGGCAAAATTCTTTTATTTCCCTTGGCACATATAAACTGAGTAGTAATTTGATTTTCACAGCCTTGATTCTCAAGAATTTTATCTGCTTCCCTGTGCCATTCAGGATTTTCTTAAGAAAGGTTTAGTTTATTTTGACCAGCTTCAATCAAATTATTCTTAGTTTGAAAAACAACCACAACAAAACAAACTAGTGCTGTTAATAACCATTATTACTGAAATTGCATCAGGAAAAAATAACTTTGTTATTTCAAGTGGCAACCCTTTAGCCTATTAGCTATTTTCTCTTCCTGTCTTTTCTAACAATTAAAACAACTGTCATTATATACTGAGGTACTGTCAATACAACTAGTATGTCACGGAAGAAGACTAATTAATTACTCTATGGGTGATATCAATTCTCAGATAGATAGCATACAGAATGAAAAAGGATACCAGGTTAGTTAATGCTAACTTCTACAACAAAAAATACAGGGCATTATATCGTCAGAAATTAAAAACTGTCTTAAAACATTTACATGTATATGTATGTTTCAGGAAAGCCCAGGGTGGCTCCAAAGTCTCACCAAGAAGACACCAATGAAATGCAAATTATATAAAAAACAAAACTGTAGTTTTGGAACCTTTGCCATATTACAATGACAGATGATACGGGAAAAGAGTTGGTCAGCTTAATGTAGAGAAGAAAAAAATCTTGTCAGCATCTTTTACTGATTAGAAAACAGGACACAGTAATGTTATATGACTTGTCCTATGTATGCATGGACACACACACACATACGCCTGATTTGTTACAACTCCAATTATTAACTAATATGTGGCAATTAGTTTCTTGTGAGTTTGGTAAATGTAAGCAAATTCCTTGGAGCCAGTATCTTCAAATTAACTAGTAAAATTTAATTTTTCTAAACAGGTGAGATTAACAATCAAACCTGGACTGTGGTGGTTCTGACATCGTGCTGTTAAATGTCTGTTTGAAAGATTACAATGCAGTTAATTATAATAAATTATCAAAACACAGTTATATTTTAACTTATTAGAACACAAATTTCATAGAATATGATCCCCAGTTATTACTAACACTTCAAGTTTCTATTAAGAGAATACATACTATATCTTTAAGTCATATTTAATCTTTTTATAATCTACCTGCTTAACTGAGCATGATCCTTGCTGAAGGGTGGTTCCGTTTGAAGATCCAACTCTGCTTTGCATTGAGAATACAATGTCCTAAACACTTCAATCAGGACATCTTCTAGAATTACAGGTCCTAAAATTAATATGCAAATTAAAGGCACTAATTAATTGGCATGAGCAAATCATGCTTATCTGAAAATTGGCCTAATTAAACAATGCTTTAAAAACAAGTATTTTTTAAATAATATTTCTTCAGAAGCTAAGCTAAATTCACATTTTTTTGAGATGGTAATATAAAATATTACATAATTGAACAAATATTTACAGTGCAGGTTAACACAACAGAAGTTACAGAATCAGAGAAAATGGTTTTGCTAGTTAATAATTCTGTTATCTTGGACAAGTTATTTAACTTTTTTGAGCTTTAGTTTCCTCACACAAAATGAGGGCAATACCAAAGCTTACAGGACTGTTAAGGGTTAGAAAAAATATTTGTAAGATGGGTAGCATAATTTCTAAAATATAATAAATATTCAACAAATGCTACTCATAATTACTGCTATTAATACTAAAATGCATAAGGCTAAATTTTCTTGCTATTACAGATATCATTTCCTTAAAGAAGTTCCTGAGTTTCATTTGTTATAATAGCTAAAAAACCTCTCAAGACAATTTATATAACTCAAGTTATTCTTACATTTAAAATTTTTTCATTTTTAAGAAATGGTTAGAAGACGTCTGCTAACACATCTGTATATAATTTGAAGAAATTAAATACTTTATGATTTCATTTTATCGTTGCAAATATTTACGATTTTTCCTGATTTCTGTCTCAAGTGCCATAATATATAAGAAATACACAAGAATAAAGAGACAACATACTAAATAAATGGAATGTGGAGAAAAAGTTCATATAACAAATATTTTTTCTCAAGTCATTGGATTCTGTGAACTATAAATTGGTCATGATAGATAAATGTTTCAATTTCAGTAATATAATCAGGATTAAGAGAGGCTTAAATAGCATCTTTAAAGTGATTCCTTCAGCTACATACATAGCACAGGACAAACATGTAATAATGTATCAGCTGGATGAATACCTGTATCTTAACTTCGTAGAGTAAACTTTAAGAAATTGTTGAGAACTTTAACAGTCACCTCAAAATTTAACAATTTCCTTGATGACTCTTTTTATTTTCTTATTAACATAAAGTACCACACATGACCTTATGCCCTAGGACAGTATATATTACCTAGCTCAGGTTTGTCCAGTAAACTGATCAAAATTCGAAAAGGCTTTAGATCCTGCATTAGAGTGCTCTCTTCTCCATATCCATTCACTTGTAAGATTCCCACCATTGCCTTTAAAAAAGGAAAGTACACACTGGTCATTTAAATGAACATATTCAAAGATTTTTTCCTTAAGAAAAAATACTTCTAAATGTAACCATATGTAATGGAGATTTATGCGCCCATTGCTTTTCTGAAGCTTCACCAACCTTGGCCTTCTTATGCTGCTAGGAAAAAAATATATTTATCTATATTCATAAAAAAACTTTCTAAATTTACTTTAAACATAGTGGAATATCAAACTAAATTTAGAAAACATATTCATGAGCCAAGTGTTTTCCCTACAGATGAATTTCTATTTAAGATAATCCTTCTCAAACTATGCCACATTATCATTGCAATATCTGCTGTTAGGCGATTATTTTCCCACTAGTGACTTAATAACTATATTCTTACAACCTCACTCCTTTAAAAATGCTTCAGATACCATGTATTTTCTTCAGTTTATTTGAAATATCTTAAATATAATTCAAATAAAAATAATATAAAATAAACTCCTCCATAGCTTCACAAGAAAAAGCACAGGTCCTGACTCATTTTTGGAAAAGCTCCAACTTTCACAGGGCAGAGAGGTGAGAAGCTGCAAGTATGTTTTAATAAAGTAATGAAAACAAAGTAAGAGAAAAAAATCTTTTGTCTTACATGGTAGTCTAATATATGATTATTTATCATCTTACATGCATTTGCATGTTTTAAACATTCTTGGGAAATTTTTAAGTTTTGTATCCACCCTTTCAACTATAAAATCAATTAAGGGAGGACCTCATCTTACACTTTTGCAGTAACTCTAGTGGTCACTAAGCGACCAAATAATAATGAAAATATTCATTACCTGGACCAATAATTCTTTTGAAAATGTAGTGAAATAGTAAGTGGCATGTTCTTCAGGATTACTGTGTCTTGTGCTTCTGGGTCCTATGATAGCACCATTGTTATCAAAACCTCCAGGGAAACAAATCACAAAATTAATTAAAAAGGAATTCTCGAAACTGTTGTTCACTAAATACCAAAACAGCAAAATCTCAAAAACAGCACTAAACACTTACCAATTAGTAGCCCATTCAATGTCAGCAAGAGAGATCATTTTAGATAGTTTAATAAAGGGAAACCAATACATAAGTATCATAGTATTCTTCCAGAATTATCCTTTTTTTTTTTTTTTTGGCCAATTTTACTAACCGTGAAATAACTGAATATGCAGAACATCCACAGTAAGTTACATTACATCCCCTCACTCTAGGGAGTGAAGAGTTGTGAAGACAGGCAAAACACACAAAAAACATGGAAGATCAAAGTGTACACATGTATTAATGCCTCAGTGGGACATTCGTATGATGTATAAGACAATGGTACTAGTCCTGATTCCTTTGATGACTTCAGTTTTGGACAGTATGCCCGCATTTTATTAGTTCATCCTTGTTTGCCTACTAACTTAAAGTACAACTACCTCAATTTGTAATGGGAAAAACAAATTAAGGACTGGGCAACATGACTTTATGGATTCAAATAGCCTATTCAACTATGAAGCTTCTGAAATTTCTTCATGTAATACACAACTAATACTGTTTATATTTTTATTGTCCATTTATACAAGAAATCTTAGTGTTTAAATTTAGGACATACATACAACTTGGTAATCGTGATACATGACAAATCTCCCTCCACTTTTTCCCAATTATGACTGAAGACATCAAATACCTACCAAGAAGCCATGCATAAAGTCTTCGGTTCAGAGACATATCCCTCCTTAGTACTACATGAAGGGCTGCTGACAAGATCCTAATCATATCCGGTCGAGTGGCCTGAAAGAGTTAGGAATATGGTTGTACTTAATAATATATAATATATATTAAGTTTTTCCTCTTTAAAAAATGTTTTGCAATATGCTCAGAACATTAGGGTGTATGGAGTACTTTCATATATTATTTCAAACACAGAAATTATTAATTCCATTTTATGGATTAGGTAACATGGCTATTTAGTTGTATAACTGAAACTCTAACTTAATTATTTTTATTTCCAGTTTAAGGTTTTTTATATAAAGGAAATTCTAACATAAAATAAATACAATGGAGCAAGATGGGACAGACATAAGAAAATCATATGCCATTAGTCTTTCACATTTACAATGTTGTCAACTGACTATAAACTTAGAAGGTCACTAACTTCATCAACTCAGTCATTTTTTTTTTTTTTAAATTTTATCCTGTGTTATTTTAAACATAGAAAAATACAGAAAACAACATAATAAACCATTTTCCACCAACCATTCGGCTTTAACAAATCTTAATTTTCCTCTCATTTTCTTCCAGATCTTTTTAAGAGACTTTTTTCTTCTTTCCCAATATTCTTAATTCAATATTTAAAAAATGATTAAGGGAGATCTGGTTATAGCTAAAAGAGGTAAAGTTATAAAAATCAAAATAGAAGAAATGCAACTAACTTGCTATTAATTTTAGGATAAATTACTTTACAATAGAATCTTGGAATCAGAATTAGAAGAAAATATGGAAACTAATTTAGCAACCACTCCATATATAAAGAAGCTAACACTCACAGGTTCTGGAGGTTTTGGCTAAGTAGTTAGCCAAATTCAAATGCCTGGTTAAGTGCCCCAGCTAGATGGAGAACTCACTTCTCCTTAATCATAGACCAGTGAACTTTGTCCTACAGCATGCTTCTTTGGTAGAATTAGAATTAGAAAAGATTTACCCAGATCATTTATTTTGAAGGAATCTTAGAAAAATAACTGAGATGATACAGATCACCAACAATTGACAAATTAGGTTCATTCCTTTGAACACGAATGTCTTCTATTGAACTGTATGATTCTGAAAGTACAGTTCAAGACGTATCTCTAAGACTTTTTCAGGGGGTCCACAAAATAAAAACTAATCATATTCATAACAAAATAAAACTATGCATATTCATAACAATACCAAGATGTTATGGGGCTTTTTGTTCTGTTGACATTTGCCCTGATACACCTTAGCATGAAAAGAGGCAGCACAGCAGTGGCACCCACTATACTTGTAATCATTATATTTTTCTGCCATGTACTTGTAGTAATATCAAAAACTAAAAAAAGAAGTCAGTTCCATTTAAAAGTGTTGTTAAAACAGTATAAATTTGTTTTCTTAAAGATCAACCTTTGAGTACATGTCTTTCAATATTGTGTAATAAAGTGAAAGATACACTTAAAAGTACTTCTGATGTATACTGAAGTATGATAGTTGTCTCAAGGAAAACCAATTGTGAGCTTAACTACCAGCTTTCTCACAGAATGTCATTTTTTATCTGAAAGAATTACTAACACCAACTATGATTATGCAGACTTGGGCATTTTGTAGTCATTTTCTCAAAGTGAGCCTGTCATTTCAAGGAAAATAGTATTAATCGTGACAAATAATAAAAGTTGAGCTTCCAAGAGAAAAGTAGAATTATAGAAAACTTGCACTTAGATTGAAACTGTGTGTGTATATAAATGTGTGTGTGTGTGTGTGTGTGTGTGTGTGTGTGTGTGTATGTGTATTTTTTTTTTGAGATGGAGTCTCGCTGTATCACCCATGCTGGAGTGAAGTGGTGTGATCTCGACTCACTGCAACTTCTCCCTCCCAGGTTCAAGCAATTCTGCTGCCTCAGCCTCCCAAGTAGCTGGGGTTACAGGCATGTGCCACCACGCCCAGCTAATTTTTGTATTTTTATTAGAGATGGGAGTCTCACCATGTTGGACTTGAACTCCTGACCTAAAGCAATCTGCTCGCCCAGGCCTACCAAAGTGCTGGGATTACAGTTGTGAGCCACCACATCCACTGAAATTGTACTATTTTGATTTGAACTAGCTTGAAAGCTTCTCAATACTGGGCTTAAAAGTTTCTCCCCATATCTAAGAATCTTTACTGATGAGATCAGTGGCAACAGTAATAGACATGACTGGTATTGTATAATAAAATGTGAAAACATTTGGAAAATCTGCATAATTCAGTAAGCCAGTATTTCCTAAATATCCAATCATGACGTTACAAAAGCATGTATGACTGAATCCACTGAAAGTACAAGATAAATCAGTGGATTTTAATGAAATAGAACATGAAAAGTTCATTTATATGCTTTAAGACTCAATATTGTAACTAATATTTAAAATCTACAGCTTGCAAAATTTGGTATAATATCAAAGAACCTGTAATTTTAACACAACATGCTACTGAAATACTTCTCAATTTTCCAGCTATATAGCAATGTGAGAGCAGATTTTCTTCATACACTTTAACCAAAAGAACAAATCACAAAAGACAATGCAGAAGCAGATGTAAAGCACTCTGTTTTCTATTAGGCCAGACAATAAAGAAATTTGCACATATACAAAACAATGCTTCTAATTTTTTTTATATGTTGGGAAACAGTTACTTACATAAAATGTTATTTATGCTAATGTCATAACTGTTATTGTTAGATGAATCAGTAAATATTTTAAAATTTGCCAGTTGTAATTTCTAATATGATAAACATAGACAGATCTAACCAATAGAAGCAAAGGATTTTTGAGGACCTTCAGTATTTTTAAAGAGTATAAAGAGGGGCTCTTCAACTAAAGCCATCTGAGAACTTCCGATCTAACCAACATCAGATAAAGGATTATATTGTCACAAAATCTGTAAAAGTACAAATGTCTCCCCATCTTATTTTGGGAGAAAAACTACTCTTAAGAAAGCAGGAAGCAGAAGATTTTAGTCAAAGGATAAAAAATTTCAGATAGAAAAAATAAGTTCAAAAAGATCTACTGTACAACATGGTAACTATAGTTGTTAGCAATGTACTGTATCCTTTAAAACTGCTCCGAATACATTTTGTGATCTCACTGTAAAAATTAAGTGTGAAGCAATGAATGTTAATTAGCTCAATTTACAGATTCCAGAATATATACGTATTTCAACCATCATGTTGTACAGGATAAATATATACAATTCATATCCATTAAAAAATAAAAAAAGTTGCTTCTCGATTACAACTGATATCACCATCTATTTCTAATATGAAAAAAGTCTACTATAATCTGAAAGGTAAGTACTACAGATTTGGGTGTGCTTTCCAGGAAACAAGTAAAAGATACGTAGCAGTCCATACTACTGCTAAAGTTCCTAACAAAAATCATCCTTTTGGGATATGGTAATGAAGGTTACTGTTAAGTCACAATTATAATACAATCCATACTTGCCAAGAATCTGCCAGACACAGAAAGAGGGACAGTGGGAAACTAAGGTGACTACATCTTAATCCTTATTCAGTTTGGTACAGCAATAGGGAGAACTGTATTAGAATTGGGTGGAGTAGCGGGGAGTGTTAGGTCTCCATGTGCAAGTTCGGACCCAGAAAGGCTAAAATCCTGCCTGCCTCAGCTGATCACTCCCCACCCCAAGCCTGCAGAGCTTCCCCTGGACATAAGCTTCCCCTCACCCTATCCTGTCATCTTAACTGTTCTTATAATAATGTGAATATTCCTCACCCAACCCTGCCATCTAAACTACTCTTAAGCCTTACCCCACCCACCACTGTAACTGAAATTATGGTAATGTGTACTACTTGCCCCTACTCCTGCCACTGTAACTGATCTTATTCCAACACCCCTGCTCCCTCCCCAAAAGATTTGCCCCAACCTATAAAACCAATTCCTATCCCACCACCCTTCACTGATGCCCTTTTTGGCCTTAGCCCGTCTGTACCTAGGTGAATAAACAGCCACGTTGCTCACACAAAGCCTGTTTAGGGGGGGGTCTCTCCATTGAAAGAGTGAGTTTTAACAGGGAGAAAAGTATTAGAATTACAAGATTATTAGAATTGGGTGTGTATTTTTAAAAAGCACATTCAACAAAGCTACTGTTTTCATAATACATATTACAGAATGTAAGAATCTAGAACATTTTGGCTGGCAGACTTTCGGATTACATGTGTTGCTTTGGCATATTCTTTGTTTTCTAGGACAAAGCAGAAACCTTTCTTATCTTTTGGGCTGTTTGGCCATCCCTATACTAGAGATTTGCTAAATTTAGATTATGCTGAGTTGACTCAACAGGTGTTTTTTGTGAAAAGCCAAAGGGTAGAATAAAGTCCCTTGGTTTAAGGGTCAAAGACTCAAAATAGAAACAGAGTGATTTACATTCCAGTTAGTGACAGTATAGACAATGAAGTGTAGAATTATTTAAGTTATTAACATTTCAACATCAAAGTAAAAGAAAAATCTTAATAGAGTAATGAATAAAAAATTATCCAGTCATAATGAAAATTCACTACAGTTATCAATTAATCACAGTTCTTATGAAAAACTCAAATAATAGTCTCTTCAACTAATATCTTTTTAGGAATAAATTTACTTTTCCAAAGTAGTTAGTCTCTATATCTTATTACTTTTGTTAGGTATGTAGTTCTACCATTCTGAATGCCTATATTCTGGTGCTGTAAGTCACCTTAATCAAGGTTTAGAACTCAAAGGAATTAAGATAATCTCTTTTAAAATGAGGGCACTGATTAAGTTTTAGGAATGATCTTCATTTATGATTTGTCAAATTAGTTGCACTTATTTGTAATAAATTTATTACAAATAAGTTGCACTTATTTGTAATAAATTTATTACAATAAGTTGTACTTATTTGTAATAAATATCACAGTGACAAGGCCAGGCGTGGCAGATGACGCCTGTAATCCCAGCACATTGAAAGTCTGAGGCGGTTGGATCACAAGATCAGGAGTTCAAGACCAGCCTGGCCAAGACGGTGAAACCCCATCTCTACTAAAAATACAAAAATTAGCCCAGTGTGTTGGCAGACACCTGTAATCCCAGCTACTTGGGAGTCTGAGGCAGGGAAGTGCTTGTACCTGGGAGGTGGAGGTTGCAGTAAGCTGAGACGGTGACACTGCACTATAGTCTGGGTGACAGAGTGAGATTCTGTCTCCAAAAAAAAAAAGAGTATCACAGTGAGTAAACATGTGGCTGGCTCTTAAGTTATAGTCAACTCTGCTAAGGGTCTGGCATGCATGTTAAAATCACCATAACGAGATAAAATAACATCAGTACAGATGATGGCTGGGAAGAAGGCCTGTGTCTCAGTCTTGGCATACTCAGAGTTAGGAATGAGAACCTCTTGCTTTTTATATGTTACAACTTTTTTCAAAAGTATGAAATAATCTACTTGAATTACCACATTCTTATCAAATCAGTGGAGCTTTTTTCTTTAGTTTTTCTTTTTTTCATGACAAATTCCACTCCTTAAAAAGGAACTTATTTTCTATGTGCTTACTGATTTATACAAGAATTCAATATACATGCCTTTAAAAAATAACTATACATTTATCAATCTATAGTTTTCCAAGAATGCTTTATATTAATATCAGCATTAATATTTTACCTGACTCATGTGGAATGGAAAACAGAAGAGTATGAGGTCCAGTGTGCTTCTCTGTACAAGGACACTTGAGTCCTGCACCGAAGTACTTACTGCTTCTACCTGAAATAACAGTATCTTTAATATCTATTGTCTATTACACTGGGAATTTTTTGCCATAAAAATGTAACAACTCTTAATTTTCTCAAAAGTATGCTTCTGAAGATCTAATCAATATTTAAAGATATTTACATTATTTTGAATAGTAAACACATCGTAACAGTTTAAAAATTAAGACGTACAAAAGACTATACAGCAAAACTTCCAACTATCCAATTTCCCTTTTGTAGGCAACAGTTTTGCTAATATCTTCTGCAAATACAAGAAAAACACATACATATATTATAAACTCTGCCTTTTTCATTTAACATGTTTCAGAGATCTTCCCTTATTATTACATAAAGAGCTTCATTTCTTAATGGCCAAAGTATTTTATTTTGTAAATGAACTCTAATTTATTCAACCAAGCTTCTAATCATGTGCACTTATACTGTTTATAAGCACTTACTATTGTAAATAATGTTGCAATATATATTTACAAAATATACAACTACATCTCTAAGATGAATCCCTCAAAATAGAATTGCCAGGTCTTGGGGGTATGTGCAGTTACAATTTAGATAGCATAATACTGCTGGGCGTGGTGGCTCACGCCTGTAATATCAACACTTTGGGAGGCTAAGGTGGGTGGATCACTTGAGGTCAGTAGTTGGAGATCAGCCTGGCCAACATGGTGAAACCCTGTCTCTACTAAAAATACAAAAATCAGATGGGCACGGTGGTGCATGCCTGTAATCCCAGCTACTCAGTGGCTGATGCAAGAGAGTTGCTTGAACCCTGGAGGTGGAGGTTGCAGTGAGCCCAGATTTTGATGCTGCATTCCAGCCTGGGTGACAAAGTGAGACTGTCAATAAATAAATAAATAGCATAATGCTTTCTATTAGGTTTCTATAACTTTATATTCCCACCAAGTTTGCATGACAATTTGTTTCTCCACATGCTTGCTTAGGAATACATTTTTTTTCCCTATTTTTTTTTAAGACATGAAAACTGCCTTGGAGTAGTTTAAACTTTTATTTCTTTATTACAACATAGATCATCTCCTTATATTTGAATTATGTTTATTTCCCTTAAGTTAATTATCTACTCAAATCCATTTTCTACTTGGTTATTCATATTTATCTATAGCTCTTTGAATATTAGAATATTCCTTTGACTGTGATATTTTCACGTTTTTCCATGTGTGTCATTTGTTCAATAAGTAAAAAAAGATTTGTTTAAAATTTACATTAAGTCATTAAAAATAAATGTAACAGTATATTTTAAAACCTGAATTTAAAAAGCATAAAAAGCATAGCCATTTTGGAAATAGTTTGGCAATTTCTAATAAATTTACACATTAGAAGAAAAAAGAGTAAATCTCTGATACCTTGGATTAGACAATGGTTTCTTAAATATAATATCAAAAGCATAGGTACCAAGAGAAAAAAAATTAGATAAACTGGACTTGATCAAAATTAAAACTTTTTTGCTTCAAGGGACCCTATCAAGAATATGGGAAGATAATCTACAGAATGCGAGAAAATATTTTCAAATCATATATATGATAAGGTTTTAATACTGAGAATATATAAGGAACTCCTACAATTTAACAACAAAAAGGCAAATAACCTAATTTTTAAGATGGACAAACCATCTGAACAGAAACTTCTCCAAAGAAGAAATACAAATAGCCAATTATCACATATGTTCTTCATTAGTCATTAGGGAAATGCAAATCAAAACCACAATGACAATACTTTATACCCACTGGGAGAAGTGTAATAAAAAAGACAAGTGTTGGCAATGACGTGACAAAACTGGAATCTTCATATACTCCAAGTGAGAATAAAAATTGGTGCAGTCACTTTGGAAAAAAATTTGCTAATTCTTCAAAAAGCTAAACAGAGTTACCAAAAAACTCGGAAATGGCACTACTAGGTATATACCTGAAAGAAATGAAAACACATGTCCATACTAAAACTCATACATGAGTGTTCAATGGGCATTATTTTTAACAGCCGAAATACAGAAGCATCCCAAATGTCCATTAGCTGATTAATGGTATATGCACACAGACCAGGTGCAGTGGTTCATGCCTGTAATCCCAGTACCTTGGAAGGGCAAGGCAGGCATTTAAGACCAGTCTGACCAACATGGATCTAAAGACCACAAAAAATGAGTACACTTTTATACAGTATGATTTATGTAACATTCTAGAAAAAACAAAACTACAGAAACAGTAAACAGATCAGTGTTTCAAAGGGCTTGGGAGTATAGAGGAAAGGGAGCGACTAAAAAGAGGCACGGAGGACTTTTAAGGGTGATGGAAATATTTTGTATTTTAAGGAGTATGCCACTCTAGAGATCTGAAAAATGTAAGCTCCATGAAAATGGAAACTCTGTTCATTATACAATCCTCAATATATGTCTGGAACAATGTCTGGTTCTAAGGAAATATATGTGAAATGAACAACCATATTTTTAGACCTACCATTAGCTCAATATCACTGCCAATGATATAAAGTTGATCTTCCATAGAAAGCTTCCTGTTTAAATGGGCAAGAACATATGTGATTCCAGGTAAACGCACAGCAGGACTGGTGAGAAGACTACCCCACAGGGCACTGTAGAATGCTGACTGGTCCACAGCAGCAGCAACCTTTTCCAACAATGTATTTGTTCTGAGGTATAAATAAAGTGGTTTAAAAAGGGAAACATTTAATTTCATATTTTTAAAGATAAATCACTTTCTTCCCAGAATGTATGCAAACATCCATGCTACAGTCTTATGCTCCATCCTAGAAACAAGTGTGATGACTGAAAGAAGTCAGAAGACTGACTTTAAGCACTGGCTCCACCATTTACTAACTTCATATGTTGAGGAAGTCACTTCACAAGACAAGACAAACATCACAAGACATCACAAACCTATCTCACTGGGCTATTAAAACACCATATACATTTCAGTTAATAGTAATCCTACAGATATATGTTCTGTTGACTTTCTACAAAATCTTAAAAAGACATTTTAAATATTTCTTTCTGAAATCATTATATAGTTCAAAACTTCAATGAATTAGATCTATGAAAAAATCAAAGATACCTCATGTTTTAGTAAGAAATACACTTAAAGATTACATTTTAGGGGAGGGAAGAAAGGGGAGTGGGCTAAAAAAAAAAAAAAAAAAAAAAAAACCTATTGAATAGTAAGCTCACTACCTGGGTGAAAGGATCATCCAAATCCCAAACTTCAGCATCATGCAATATAACCATGTAATAAACTTGGACATGTACTCTCTGAATCCAAAATGAAAGTTGAATAAATTACTTCTGATTTGTTTTTAACATAAACAATGTAATACATGAAAGTCTATTACACTGTAGCATAGTGAAGAGAATTTGATGAGTTCTACTGTTTACTTGCTACTTAAAACTAACCCTGTAATTTCTTCTGGCCTCAATTTACCTATACAGTAAAAGAATAACATTTACAAATCCTTTTATAGAACTTATATGAAATAACTAGCAAAACATTAACAAGGTAAATCATGGGAATACCACAGTTACAAAGATCATTATTCAAATTCTATAAAATTTTAAATTGTAACTAACAGAGTTATAACTGGTAACAAGTCCATACTTCCTTAAGAGAAAAATAACAGTTTTAAACAAAACTAATTTATAAGCTAAATGAAATAATTTCGTATTACATTTATGAAACTGTAGGAAAATAAGTAAAAAAGTAAAATTAATCAAAACAAGTGATAAGCTTTAAACTTTGAGGACAAAATGATTTTTTCCACAGGGAGCCTATATAAAGGTAATTCAATATATTAAGAATTAGATTCTTACTGAATGATGGGAACAACTGAAAAATAATAACTAGGCAATACACTTAAATAAAATATTTAAATTTAATAATTAAGTCTACTTATAAAGTTTGGTATTTTCTATTTTTGCTGCCTCAACTCAGTTTTTTAAAATAAGAATATTAGTAATGAGATATTAGAGATACTTAATGCCATAATGCATTGCCTACAATTATTAACTCCCCCAAAATAATAATGGGCACCAAACAGATCACATAACAGTTAAATACCAAGAGTACCATGCCAACAGCTAGCAAAACAGCACTGTACTGGCACTAAGCTATTTTCTCCCATTAGCAATTTAAAAATTGTTACTGCATGAACTAATTTTTCATTCTTTTCATTAATCTAAATGTCCTATTATTTTAAATTATCAGTCACAATTTTCTTCAGTGACTTGTATGTGCTTGGCAAAGGACTAAGTGATTTCTTATTATAATAACACAAAGAAGTGCATGCCTGTAATCTCAGCTACTCAGGAGGCTGAGGCAGGAGAATTGCCTGAACCCAGGAGGCGGAGGTTGCAGTGAGCCGAGATCGCACCATTGCACTCCAGCCTGGGTAACAAGAGCGAAACTCCGTCTCGAAAAAAAAAAAAAAGATTGCTAACAGCCAGTGCCAGCAAAAATGTGGGGGAAATACATATTCATATACTGTGGGAGGAAAAACTACTACAAATTCTGTGGAAAATGATTTATTTGTAATATCTACTGAAATGCAAAATATGCATACCTGGCAAGGCTGTTCAGTGAAGAATTGTTTACAATACCAAAAAGAGAAAAAAAATTTAAGCAGGGATTCAATGGCTCAGTGATCAATAATATCAATACAAAGTGTTAATAGCACATTTTTAGTAAGTAAAACTCAAAATACATTCTAGATAAATATATTAATAATGTTCTAATTTAGGGTATAAAATGTATGTGTGTGTGTATATATATATATACATATATATACACACACATTTTATATATATATATATACATATATAAAATCTCAACTAACCAATAGTTATTAACCTAGAGAGGAGAAAATGTATGTAAGGAATCCTCAACTTCTTATTTTATAAAATCCAAACACATCTGAGATGACAGTAAATTTATTTTTATATTTTTATATTTTTATATTTTTATATTTTTATATTTTAGTACATTTCAAAACATTTTTAACCTAGAAAAGTACTTTAGAAATCAGAAACCTATATCTAAGTAAATATTAAAAGAAGTAAATATTTATTCTTGTCATCTGCAGATAAAACCTCTGCGAAATAAATGACCTCTTAATTTTGGGGAAACTACATTTGTTAAAATAAATCATACCAAGTTGAACTCTGCCTTTGCCATTTTTGTGGTGTCCAGTTAACCTAAATACACATGCATAATTCATTTATTTTTGTATATATGAAATACAAATTTGCTGAAGGGATACATGCACTGCTTAATTCTCCTCCCCTGTGTTATAATAAGCTTGCATAGTAATTGCAAGGGTTTCCTCAAGAAACTTTATTGTGTTGTTTGGTCCACTGAATGAATATTTTCTCTTCTTTTAAGTGAGCTTGTAGAGGATTAAGGGATAGAATATTAAAATAGTTGCAATAAAAAAAATAACACAAAGAAATAGGTATTACGTTTATTTTAAAGATGAGGAGACTGAAGTTCATAGACACTAAAAAAACTTGCCTAAGATCAGTGTCTGTACAGACAGGACTTCAACTCAGTACATCTACCTCCGAAGTCTATGCTTTTAACACTAGCTATGTTTTCTGTATGATACACAGACTAGATAAACTATAATGTTTTATTGCTATAAAATTACTCATGTGATACACTGAACTGTCTAGAATAATTCATTTGTGATGTTAAAACATTTTTACCTAAAGACGCTTGCTGACAAATCCATGACTTCAATTACCTAACTGCACCAAATACGATCTTACCTCTCATAGTACTCTGATCCTTCTTCTAAGCCAGGAAGAATACCAGTAAGCAATCCCTGTAGACCAGGTTTCAGTGTTTTACCCAAAGGCAGATAATATATCTCATACAAACTGAGCAATGTTGGTTTCACAGACATGGCAGCATTTGCAAGAAGAGGAAATAATCCAGAACTGTTAAAAAAAAAAAAAAATAAGGACAAAGAGGGAGAGGGAAGCAAAATAACTATAAAATACTAATTCATATGCAATTATATGTATAAATATTTTACTTATTTTTGATTAAAAAGTTATACTGATTGGCTTAAAATGATACCTGTGTATTAATGACTACATCCATTAAAGCAGACCACTTCTCTCACCTAAGTTTTATACTTATAAACCCAATAGCTACCTACCTGTTTCACAAAGTTCTCATATTTCACAATTCCAAAACAGGATTCCCCAACATGCCCCAGCAAAACACATGCCTTCCCTGTAATAACTGTCATTTTAAAATATCACTATCTATCTGGCTTCTATCTGGCTGATCAAAAGCTATAAATCTAGGACTCATCCTTGACTCATGCCATCCTCCTGCCTCAGCCTCCTCAGTAGCTTTAAAAATCTTCTACTCTAACCTGGCTAAGTTGGCTCAGACCTGTAAACCAAGCACTTTGGAAGGCTGAGGTGGGAGGACTGCTTGGGCCCAGGAGTTTAAGACCAGCCCAGGAAACATAGTGAGATCCCATCTCTACAAAAAACAAATCTAATTAGCTGGGTACAGTGGCATGTGCCTGTAGTCCCAGCTACCTGGGAGGCTGAGAGTGAAGGACTGCTTGAACCTGGGAGGTAGAGGCTGCAATGAGCTGTGATCATGCCACTGTACTGCAGCCTGAGCGACAGAGCGAGACCCTAGATCCAAAAGAAAAAATTTTCTACTCTAACCCACAATCAGTCATCAGGTCATCAAGTTCTCTCTGCAAGTCACTCTCCTAGATAATTTTTGAATATAATAAATTGTATCTCCACTAGATAGCTATCTAGAAGCTGCTATCATATCTTGCTCTTCATGTTTTAACATGTATTGCTTCATTATTGCCCTGAAGCAGCTCTCAATAAAACCTTTCACTGATTTCCCATTGCCAATGTGGCCTTTAACATCTTTTAAGAAATGAATACTACATACCTCCGTACAGTACATATACACTCACCAATTTTACTCCTGTAACCTCTGCTCCAGCTATACTGAAGAATTCCTTTCTAGTTTCTTTTAGAACCGTCTATGCTCTTTTTAGTGTCTATACCTTTCCATATGCTGCTCTGACAGATATAATTTCCAATCTCTTACTTATAGCCTTTTTGCCTGGGTGATTCCCAAACTTTCAGGCCTCAGCCTAAGAAGCCATTTCCTTAGGGAGACTATCTCCTAATCAGACTAGGTTAGGCACCGTATTTGATGTTCTCATAGTACCCAATACTTACTAAAACATTTATTATTTGAATTGCTTAATGTACATCTTTCCTTTTTTTTTTGAGTCAGAGTTTCGCTTTTGTTACCCAGGCTGGAGTTCAATGGCGCGATCTCAGCTCACTGCAACCTCCGCCTCCTGGGCTCAGGCAATTCTCCTGCCTCAGCCTCCTGAGTAGCTGGGATTACAGACACCCGCCACCATGCCCTGCTAATTTTTTGTATTTTTAGTAGAGATGGGGTTTCACCATGTTGACCAGGATGGTCTCGATCTCTTGACCTCATGATCCACCCGCCTCGGCCTCCCAAAGTGCTGGGATTACAGGCATGAGCCACCGCGCCCGGCAATGTACATCTTTTCTAACAGACTGTGAATATCAGAAAACCATGACTATCTTTTTATTTCTGTATCCTAAATTTCAAGCACCATGTCCTGTAGTTAGCAAGTGATGAACAAATGAACTAAGAATCTCTCTTGCTCCTAGTTTATAAAAAATAGAATCATCAAGAATGGCTTCAGTTTTCTAGAAATCATCAAGAATGGCTTCAGCTTTCTACTCTTCCATCTCTCATTTTAGGTACTGTTTGATCTAAAGATACAGTCATAGTCTCTCAGTCTCTTCCAGGGTACCTTTTTTTCTATGTGCCCCAGGGCCATGATCTGCCTATCCAGAGACCTACTTCATCTATTACCTTTTTTCTTTTCTGTAATTTCTATCTTTCTGCCTCAACTGACAACTTTGCTTTTTAATACAAATGTACTCACATCTTTCCTCAAAATTCTAAAATGAGAAAAAAATAACAGCAACAACCAAACCCCAAAATCTTTATTTTTTTTGAGATGGAATCTCACTCTATCGCCCAGGCTGGAGTGCAGTGGCATGATCTCAGCTCACTGCAACCTCTGCCACCCAGGTTCAGGCAATTCTCCTGCCTCAGCACCTGAGTAGCTGGGATTACAGGCACTTGCTGTCATGCCCAGATAATTTTTTTTCTATTTTTAGCAGAGACAGCGTTTCATCATCTTGGCCAGGCTGGTCTTGAACTTCTGACCTTGTGATCCATCTGCCTCAGCCTCCCAAAATGCTGGGATTACAGACATGAGCCACTGCACCCGGCCCCAAAATCTTTATTCTAAGTAACTTTCTGGTTTAAAGCCACCATCCTCTATCAACTGTTATTACATACATACATAAAAATACACACACACACACACACACACACACACACAAAACACACACACACACACACACACACACACACACACACACGCATTTCTTCTATTTATTACCTTCCATCATTAATCAATCACAATACTTCTAGCCCCTCTACTGAAACTGTTCTCATTTTGGTCACCAATGTCTACCAATTGCCAGATCCAATGCTCTATTTTCAACCCTTATCCTATTTTATTTAACATTTGATACTATTAACTACAGCATTCTCTTGAAGTATTCTTCCCTTTTGACTTCCAGGATGGCTCTGTCTCCTGGTATATTTTCTTTTCTTTCTTTTTTTTTTTCTGATACGGAGTCTCTGTCGCTCATGCTGAAGTACAGGGGTGCAGTGTTGGTTCACTGCAACTTTGGCTCACTGCTACCTCCACCTCCCAGGTTCAAGTGATTCTCATGCCTCAGCCTCCCTAGTAGCTGGCATTACAGTCACTCACCACCACACCCAGCTAATTATTATATGTTTAGTTGAGATGGGGTTTCACCATGTTGGGCAGGCTGATCTTGAACTCCTGACCTAAGGTGACCCACCTCAGTCTCCCAAAGTGCTGGGGTTACAGGCATGAGCCACTGAGTCCAGCCTCTTAGTACATTTCCGATCTCTGACTCTCTTTCACTGGCTACTTTACCCCACCTAATCTTTAAATACTGAGACTCCTAAATACTCTCAAAATGCCCTCTTTCCTTTTTCCCTCCTTGTTACTTACAATGTGCCTAGGCAATTTCAATTATTCTCTTGGCTTCAACTGCCACCTAAATGCTGATGACTCTACAGTATCTGTCTAGTTTGCAGATACTGTAGGACATTAAAGATAGTATGTAAAGCCAGTAAAGGTATTTTTAATAGTAATAAATAATACATTCAAAGGATAGTGCTAAGAAAACTAAGCACTGCTGAATCATGTTGTATGTTATTAACATTTTACCAAAAACTTACTTTACATGCCCATCTAAATATTTTAATGCATTCAAACTCCACTTAAAGTCTTCTTAGTAACATCTTTGTGCACTGTATCACATTAAAAACCTTGACAAGGCAATACGGTACTCTATCATGTAATAGGTTATAAAACTTTAAAAGTATTTGTATTTATGTTAAACCATAAACCTTGAGATGAAAAAAATCATTAATTAAAAATAAATGTATCCACATTTAACATAAACTTTGGTTTTTAAAATAGCTATACTTCGAAGTAGTATAGAACCATGATGTAATTTACTCCATAACATTTGTTTGTGCATGTGTACAAGAATATGTGCCATACTTAGAAATAGTATTCTAGAATTTAATCTTACATAACATACTGAGGATAAAAACAGGTACACTACAACTGAAGAATAACTGTGTTGCTTAAGGTAAACTTTCTCTTAAGAGTTAAAAAGTAGCAGGCAGGAATTATGTAAATCTTGCCTTGAGAAAGGAAAATCTATCAACTATTAGATAATTACATGCAACACTGATTCAGCAATGCTGAGTTTTCTTAACATCACTCTAGGAATGTATTATTTATTACTATTAAAAATACTTTAACTGGCTTTACATACTATCTTCAAGACATCCATGCTTGGCTGGGTGTGGGATTACATCACGCCTGTAATCCCAGCACTTTGAGAGGCCAAGGCAGGCAGATCACGAGGTCAGGAGTTTGAGACCAGCCTGGCCAACACAGTGAAACCTCGTCTCTACTAAAAATACAAACATTATTTGTACTTTTGTATTGGTGGCAGGCACCCATAGTCCCAGCTACTTGGGAGTCTAAGGCAGGAGAATTGCTTAAACCTGGGAGGCGGAGGTTGCAGTGAACTGAGATTGTACCACTACATTCCAGCTTGGGGGACAGAGTGAGACTTTGTCATCCCCCCCGCCCCCGCAAAAAAAAGACATCCATGCTCATTTTTAAATATATTTCCATGCTAATTTCTCTTTAATAATATTTTAAAATATCTAAGAATTGAGTACAGCAAATCGTGTTTCTTTATTCACTAAACAAATGTTCATTAAGGGTCTACTATCTGTCAATTCTTCAGGATACTGAGAATAGAGCACTTAACCACAGGAAGAAATCCCTGCTCCTTAACCTTATAAAGTTTTTTTTTTTTTTTTTTGGAGAGTATATATGAATGTATTTTAATTGCTTGGTTATTGTATGTCTTAACACATACATACATATCAGATGGTGATAAATGTAACAGCAGAGGACAAAAAGGTACAGGGGAATAACAATGAGATTGGAGCAGAAGCGGGTTCTAAACAGGGTGGTCAGAGAAGGCTTAACTGAGCAGAACTGAGAAAGCAAACACATACACAGTAGAAAGGATCAGTAAAACTAAAAGCTGGTTTTTAAAAGGCTAACAAAATTTAAAAGGATGGCTTGAGTCACCAACATCAAGAGTGAAAGAGGAGGCATTACTATAGATCCTACGTGTTACAAAGAAAGACCTATATTATGAACTCTGGGCCAATGCACCTAAAAATTTAGTAAAAATTGGTAAATTTCTAGAGAAAAAAATTTACTGAAACTGACAAACAGATTTGAATAGTTCCATATCTGTTAAAGAAATTAATCTGTAATTACAAATCTTCCCATGAAGACAAATTTCAGGTAGAATTTTCTAAATATTTCATTATACTAATGATATAAAAACTGTTCCAGAGAGCAGACTAAGAGAGAACAATCTGAAATTTGTTTTATGAAGTTAGCATAAACTTGAAACCAAAATTAGATAAAAATTTAATTTTATGGCCATTCTCTACTAAATAAAGATTAAAAACTACAAATAAACAAGATTAAAAACTACAAACAAAAAAAAAATCCAGTGATACAAAAAGGATTCTAAATCATGAACCAACTGGATATATTCCAGAAATGGAAGGTTGACTGAACATTTCCTACCTGAAGTGAGAAGTAAGACAAAAATATACTTGTCCCTACTCTCTTCAACACTTTACTACAGACCCTAGTCAATACAATAAGGAAAAAAAAAATTATTAAAAGTCAAAAATAAGAAATGTAACTTGCTATTCACAGATAGTGTGATTGTATATCTCAAAATTCTAAAAGCTATTAGAAAGAACAAGTAAACTTAACTAAATTTCTAAATACAATGTCAATACAGAAAAACACCTTTATATTTCTTAATTCTAACACCAATATACCAAGGAAATATTCCTTAAACCAGAAGCAAATAGGACCACTCAATAAAAGGTTGATAAATCAGACTTCATTAAAATAAACTCAAAAGACAGCATAAAGAACTTTCGGTTCTTCAAAGATACCGTTTAGAAGTTTTAAAAGTTAAGCTGCAGACTGAGGGAAATATATGTAGTTAAATAGTAGGCGTTTTCAGTAGAAGGGTGTAGGAGGGAACTTTCTGGGTTGACAAGAATGGTCCATATCTTATTTTGAATGGTGGCTACAAAATTAACTAAATTTGTCAAAACATCACTCTGAACACTTGTGATCTGTTCATTTTACTGTATGTAAATTATATCAACAGTTTAAAAAGAAAAGTTAAGTGGTTAAGAAAAGGGGTGACAGAATTAGGGACCCGGAAACTAGGTTAGAGGAAATTCCTGAGAATGCAGCACAGAGAGACAAAAAAATTAGAAAACTGAAAAACGGTTAAGAGATGGAAAAGCCGTAGTGGTAAGACATAACATGTTTAAACATAGTTCCAAAAGTGGGGAGAGAACAGATGCAGTAAAGGTAATCTCAAAACAGAATGGTTGAAAATTTTCCAAAATTTTTTTCAATGGCTTTTTGTGTAACAGCCACGTTTGGTTACATGATTAAGTTCTTCAGTAGAGATTTCTTAGATTTTGGTGCACCCATCACTCAAGTAGTGTACACTGTACCCAAAATTTATTCCTCAACCCCTTACACCCTTTCTCCTGCGTCCCCAAAATCCATTGTATCATTCTTATGCCTTTGCATCCTCATAGCTTAGCTCCCACTTATGAGTGAGAACATACGATGTTTGCTTTTCCATTCCTCAGTTACTTCATTTAGAATAATGGTCTCCAATTCCATTCAGGTTGCTGCAAATGCCATTATTTCATATCTTTTTATCCAATTCATAGACTTTTTTTGAGTCCAACAAATATCAACCGGATTAAAAAAAAAAAAAAACCTACCTAAAAACACATCACAATAGAACAGAATACTAGGGACAAAAATGTGGAAGAAGAGCCATTTCAGATGATAATTATACAAGTCTTTGGAGGAGCTGATATCTGATCAGAGGCCTGGATTTGAGAATTACAGGGCAAGGGAATAGCAAAGAGAATAAACAAAGAGACCTATATATCTGAGTGGAATAAATTGGGGGAAAATAATAATAGTTTAGTTTTAGTTTATTAAGAGTTGAGGTCACTGACAGAGCCAGGGTCAGAGTACTTCAGGAAGTAAAGTATTCAATGCCATGGTAAAGGCTTTTCCCTAATTTTTCTTAAGTGTACTGAAAAGAAGTCAATAAAGTGTTTTAAGCAAGAGAGTAACATTATTTAATATATTAAAAAGATCACATTGGTACTATGTGGAGAAAAGGGTAGAAGAGTTCAGAAGAGATGGTGGACGAATGTTAGGCTGGTGACAAAGCCCAAGCTAGAGATGATGTTTCCTTAGACTGCATGCTGCCAGTGAAGGTCCAGGGAAGTAGATGTATTTGAGACAGGTATCAGAATAGTAGCTAACATTTACTGAGAACTTATTATATGCTGCCCATAGTATTTTACATGTATGAACTCTTTCAATACTATTAACCACCCTATGAGGTTGATAATCTTATTTTTGTTGTGCAGGTAATGACACAAACAGGTGTGGACAATGGCCCCAGATCACAGAGGTAGTTTGACTCTAACATCTCTTCTCTTAAGAGACAGAACTCTCAACAACAGACTGTGTACATGAGAGGTGGGAGAATGTGGGTGGGGAAAACAAAGCAGCAAGTGTAACTCTTGGATTTGAGGGTTATATAAATGGACAGATAGTGACACCATTTATTGAGCTTTAATATAGTACATTGCAGAAAGGCCAGGTTAATAGGAAAAGAAGTAAGTTTAGTTTTCAACAGTTTGAACTTTAGTTGCCTTTAAAGATCTATATGGAGGCGTCAAGCAAGCAGAAGTTTAAAGCTGTTGCCAGAACTGGAAATGTCCACTTGGGAGTCAGCATACAGAAAACAGTTGTTAACAGGGGCAAGAGGAAATGGGAGATGACAGAGGAACAAATCTAGAAAGCTAATGTAAAGCATGAAAACTATAATTAATAATATTTTATTAGGGATTTTTACTAAATGAATATATTTTAACTGCTCCCGTCACATAAACAAAAAATAAGATAACTATGTAAGACAACAGCTATGTTAATTTGTTTATCTATAGTAACTGTTCTACTGTCTTTAGGTATCTCACATCATGTTGTGTTACATCTCAATGCATACAATATAATTTAAAATAAAAAATAAATCATGGGTATGGCTAAGTTTGCCTAAGGAGCGATTACAAAACGAACAAAACAAAATGAACATTAAAGACATTTTTCTGACTCACTTAACTCAAAATATTTAAGAGTGATATCTGAAAACTTCTAATTAAGAAATTTTCAAGTTTTTAGTTTTTAGTGCAGAAAGTATAACAGTTTAGCAATATATTTTCTTTATATTATTTGTGTGTGTGTGTGTGTGTGTGTGTATATATATATATATATATATATAGTAAAATTATTCTTACCTATATAAAAAAAGGTCTTTGGCAAGTCGCTTAGGTCCAATTATTTTGAAGATAATTTCATATGTTTCAAGTGCCTTCCGATGAACTCCACCTGGTAATGCTGGATGTAGACACTGAGCTAGGCGTTTGCCTATGGTCAGCTTTTTGGGTACTACCTGGTACTTTGCATTATTTTGTAATACCTTAAAGAAAGCATTTTAATGTAGTTGAGAAAAACAAAATATTGCATTCATTTTACTTCCATTTTCTAGTATAATATTATTTAAAATGATCATTGTAGATCTTTGTTATTTTGTCAGTTACATTTGTCTATATATATCGTATTTAAAATTAAAATTGAGGAAATGTTAAGAACTTCATTAATTTGTTTAAAAAATAAACCTGTTAACAGAATAACATTTTTAATCAAAAATAATATTTTCCACAACAAATTTATGGAGCAGAGAGGCATTTTAGATTTTTTTTTTTTGGTAAATTTGTAATATTTGATGCGAGAGAAGATAGCTACATGAATCAGCCTTCAATCTATTTTTGCTACTTTGTTTGAAATAAAGTCTGTCCTCACCATAGATACTTAGAATACTTGGAAAAAGTACAACCATTGTCCTGGCATTTCAAATTACAGCAAGTAATTCTAATTCTTATAAGAAAACCTATATGAGATTATAACTGCCCATTTATTTTTATAAACTTATTTTTGTAATTGGACAAAACAACTTTTTGTTTTGTTTATTCAACCGTAACTTTCCTTAGAAATAATGTTCTGGGCCAAATTTCTGTAGAGAGATCCTATCTTACCAACCACTCAAAGGGGATTAGTTAAGTAAAGAAGATCTTATAATAAATTTAATTCTTTAGTTTGAACCTAGAAGTAGTATTAAAGTATTGATAGAATGTCACAAAGTGAAGACTGAGAATGAATGCAGACTGTGTTAGAACTGGAATTTAGAAGAAATATACAAAGTCTTATTTTACAGAAGAATAAACTGAGGTCGAAATATTAGGTTGGTGTAAAATTAGGTTTTTTTCCCCATAATAAATGAAATGACTACCAAAAGCAGTATAATAGAAGAGTCCACACTAGATCTCCTGGTTCATTAAACTTATACTAAAACATGTTTAGACTACATTCAAAAAATACACACACACACACACACACACACACACACACACACACGTGTATATATATACACATATGTAATCCCTGCCTTCTTCCATCACAATTTTGGCTAAGTTTCATTAATAACTTGGGTATTCTACTTTTAAGTTATCTAGATATCATGAAATCTATTTTCATGACTATTGATTAATCTAAAAAAATGAATTACATACCTAATTAGGCAAATTAATTTCCATCATTTAATGACTTGTCTTTAATACCAGTTCCCAGTATATCTTCAGAAACAGACTCTTCAGAACTCTTTAGAACAGGCGTCCCCAAACTACGGCCCACGGGCCGCATGTGGCCGCCCCCTGAGGCCATTTATCCTGGCCCCTGCTGCACTTCAGGAAGGGGCACCTCTTTCACTGGTGGTCAGTGAGAGGAGCACAATATGTGGCGGCCCTCCAACGGTCTGAGGGACAGTGAACTTGCCCCCTGTGTAAAAAGTTTGGGGACGCCTGCTTTAGAAAAAGAAATAACCTAACTACCTTTAAGCAAACTTGTACTTTTAGATGCAAGTTCTTGTGGATGTTGTAAAGAAATAAAGAATTATTCAAACCTCAAATGATAAACGTCAGAAGTTCTAACATGTTAAAGAGAAGCTTCTGTATGAAATTTTAAGATCAATCCTTGGCATATTGAAAATGTAAACTTTTCTTTTTAGGGCATCAAAGTGATTATCTGTCATATCAGGTTGAAAACTAGTGTCCTGGTGTGGTATTGTGAGTGAGAGTGTGTGTGTAGGTTTTCATCCATGTTTCCTGGCTCATAATATTAGGGAACTTGTGGGCCTCAGAAGCAAGCCTCAAAAAAACAACTTCTCTCTGACTTTTTCCTGCCCTCTTCTCATCTCCTTTTTCTCCCTAAAGCAGGAATCTTCTCCTACCTTTCTACCTTGGAGCTGGCCATAATGAAATTCTCTGGAGTACCTGGTAGCATTGCAGGTCAAAAGACCCCCATTTCAGAAAGGGTCCTGCCCCATACCCAGAAGGAAGGAATGCTGCACAGAGAGGCCATTTCTACACGGCTGTCCATGCTTCAATCATGCCAATCCAATGAAGTCTCAAAAGGCTCAAAATATGTTTCTAGGCCAGCTGAACATGTGGAGGATCCTGGAGGGTGGCACTCCTGAGGAGGGCATGAAAGTTCTATATCTCTTCACCCATACCTCACCCTATGTACCTCTTTTCTTGTATCCTTTGTAATGTCCTTTATAATAAACCAGTAAATGCGTTTCCCTAAGTTCTATGAGCCACTCTAGCAAATAAAACCTAAAGAAAGGATTGTGGAAATCTGATTTACAGCCAGTTGGTCAGAGGCACAGGTAAAACAACCTGGGGCTTGTAATTGGCATCAAAAGAGGAAGGCAGTTTTATGGGGCTCAGCCCTCAACCTTGTGGGATCTGATACTATCTCCAGTAGATAGTACCCAAATTGAACTGGGGCACATTAAGCTAGTGTCCATGGTAGAACTGATTGCTTGCTTGCTGGTAAGGGAGAAATAACCCCTTATTTTAGGGTCATAGAAGTCTTTTGCATTGACTGTAGTGGTGTGAGAGGAGAGGAAAAGCTATTTGTATTTTTTTTCCCCATACACATTTTGTATATATTTTGAGAAAAATTTCTTTCCTTATTTGTATGTTAAGCTATTTGATTGCCTGGGTGTGGTGACTAATGCCTGTAATTCCAGCACTTTGGGAAGCCAAGGTGGAAGGATCGCTTGAGGCCAAGAGTTCAAGACCAGCTTGGCCAACATAGCAAGACCCTGTCTCTAAAAAAATAAAGACACTAATAAGCCAGGCATGGTGGCATGCCTGCAGTCCCAGCTACTCAGAAGGCTGAGGTGGGAGGATTCCTTGAGTCCATGAGGCTGCAATGAGCTATAATGATGCCACTGGACTCCAGACTGGGTGAAAGAGCAAGACCTTGTCTAAAATAAAATAAAGTAAGTTATTGAAAAACAACTCCTTTCCTATCTAACCCCTTTAGTATTCAGAAACACTCACATTCAGTAACAATTTAAAAAAAAAAAAACCTTAACTATGGGTATGAGGTGAAAAAAACTGATGTTTACAAAAAAAAAAAAAAAAAGGTCCAAACAAAGAGCCAAAAGTTGATCAATGATGCCACCACAGTAACTGAATAAAAAACAGACATATCAAGAAGACTCACTCAAGAACAAGCTGCAAGGCGTAACCAACTGCTTGTATATAACTGCCTTTGTAAAAAGTACCAAATTATAACTACAGCTTGCCTAGATACAAAGTGTTTCCTTGCTGCTATATACCATTCAGAAAGGACACAGGAATTTCTGCTTTCCATCTGTAGGTTTTCATTTTGCTGCCAGGAATTCCAGGATCATATCTGATGTTCAATTACAGAAATTTACTAGCCCTCATAGTTAGCATAGTTGCTTCCTTCCTTCTCGTTTTTATAGTTAATAATCATAGTGGTAACTGTATTTTTCAAGCACTGTTATTTCTTTCAATTAAAGCCTTAACAATACACTTGACTATACAGACATGCAACTCATGAAGAAAAATAGCACTACCAAGAGTAACCCAAAGTTCATTTATGTTTTTGCATTCTTACTTCAAGATTTAGAGAAATCTAACAAGTACAAACACAGATTTCTAATTTTTACTCCTTTTATGAAATGGATAATACAGACATACCTTATTAAGTTTTCCAAGTGCTGATATCAAATCTGCCCATTCACTGGAGTATTCAAAATTCTTTAGTGCTTTGTCAATTGCAGCTACATAGTTTCTGTATTTGGAGTCACTCAATAACTCCAGCTCTTCTGTGTTCATCCTCCCACAATGTCCCACTAGAGACCAGTTCCAAACTCATGTAAAGTCATTACCTACAAAAGAGTTTGCAGGAGAAACCAAGGTTACAAAGTATTAAAATGGGTTCCTATGATCTTACTACAAATGCAATGACTAACTTGAAAATGTTTCCTACTGTTGGCAGTGGTTGAAACTCTTTTCAGCTAGTGTGCAGGGTCATGGAAGTATTCAAAGACAGTCTGAAAGATAACTATTTATGTGTTCCTTCCTAGGAATTGGAAAAAAATGACTGTGAAAATTTATTATGTAATAGCATAGAAAATTTTCGTATACTTATTTCATTTTAGAAATCATGTTATTTCCCTGTCGTATTTATGTAACATTTCTGATATATATGCTCCTTTACTTTGTTTCGATCCTAAAATACACTAAGTCTGCTTAGATTGGCAGAATCAGGAACACAGAAGGAAATTTTAAAAATGAATGACTTGGAGATCATTTTATTAAATAGTAAGTGAGCATCTAGTATGAAGGCCCATTAGCTGTTTGGAATTAGACTTTACTTTGAATAAAACAGACAAGAACATGTGGTGATTTAAAGTATGTCCATAGCTGGGTACACTGGCTCACACCTGTAATCCCAACTACTTGGGAGGCTTGAGGATGGAATATGGCCTAAGGTCAAGGTTTTAAGACCAGCCTTGGCAACACAGGGAGATCCTAAAAAATAAAAATATATTTTAAAAAATAATAAAAATTAACCAGGCATGGTGGCACCTGTAGTCCCAGCTACCCAGGAAGGTGAAGTGGCAGGATGGCTTGAGCCCAGGAGTTCAAGGATATAATGAACTATGATTGCCCCACTGCACTACAGCCTGGGTGACAGAGCAAGAGTCTATCTCTATTAAAGCAAAACAAAACAAATCCACAAATTCTTTGTTATTTCTTTGAAAAAGTAGGGCCTAGTCCCCCAGCACCGTAGGGTCAACTTTGTGACTCATTTCTAATGAAAAGAATAGGGTAGAAGAGACAATGTTTAATGGCCAACAGGTCATAAAAGCACTTTAGTTTCCTTCACTCTCTTATCATTAGTTCTGGGGGAAGCTAGCTGCCGTATCATGAAGACACTTTCAAGGAGCCCTATGGAGAGGGTAGGATCCGTGACAAGGAGCTAAAACTTTCTGCACAGCCATGTGAGCCACCTTAGATGCAAATCCTCCATCCTCAGCCAAGCCTTAATTTGACTGTGGCCCCAGCTGGCATCCCGACTGTAACTTCATGAGAGACCCGAAGCCAGAACTACATAGGCTAAGTCTCTCAAATTCATGACCCACGGAAGATTTTGTTACAGGCCACTGAGTTCAGGAGTAATTTGTTACAAGCAATTGATAATCTACGATAATAGGAAGAATTTAATCAAGGTTCCACTTAAAAACCAATGTCGTTCCCCTTTAATTTTTTTGGTATCCTAACTGACTTCCTACTAATTCAGTACTTTTCTCTAGAGCTGGGTTCATGGATCTATAGGAAGGTCTAAGAGTGGGCCTCAGGGGATGCTAACACAGTTCAACCAAGGTAAGAATAGTCTTTTCAATAAGCAGTTTGGGTTAAGTGAATATTCCATGTGCAAAAGAACAAAGTTGACTTCTTCACATCTACACAAAAGCTACTTTAAAATAGATCAGAGATCTAAATGTTACAGCTAGAACTATAAAACTCTCAGAAGAAAATATAGGATTAAATCTTCGTTACCTATGGCTAGGCAAAGTCTTCTCAGAAACAAAACCAAAAGCTGGGTGCAATAGCTCACGTCTGTAATCTTACCACTAAGTGAGGCCAAGGTGGGTGGATCACTTGAGGTCAGGAGTTCAAGAAGAGCCTGGCCAGCACGGTGAAACCTTGTCTCTACTGGAAATACAAAAATCAGCCAGGTGTGGTGGCTCACGCCTGTAATCCTAGCTACTCGGGAGGCTGAGGCAGAACTATCACTTCAACTCAGGACGCCTAGGCTACAGTGAGCCGAGATCACAACACTGTAACCCAGGCTGGGAAACAAAGTGAGACTCCATCTCAAAAAATAAATAAAATAAAACCAAGAACATGAGCAACAACAACAAAAAATTAGATAAATTGGACTTCATCAAAGGTAAAACTTTTGTGTTGCAAAGGATAACATCATGAAAGTGAAAAGACAACTGAGAGAATGGGAGAAAATATATCCCCATATATCTGATGAGACTCAAACTAGATAAAAAATAACTCTAAGCCAATAATAAAAGGACAAATAATTCAAAAATGGGCAACATATGTGAATGGACATTTCTAAAAGGAAAATTTACAAATACTAAGTACATAAAATGACACTCCACATAATTAATCAACAGGAAAACAAAACCAAACCACAAAAATATTTCATGCCCAGTAGGATGGTTATAATAAAAAAGACAGATGATAGTAAGTGTGGGTAAAGACATGTGAAATTTGGAACTCTCATACACAGCTGGAGGAACATAAATTGGTGTAGCTCTTTTGGAAAACAGTCTGGTAGTAGTTCTTCAAGGTTCAACACAGAATTACTATAAGCCAGAAATTCCACTCCTAGGTGTAGTGTAGACCCAAAAGAAATGAAAATATATGTACTCTCCAAACATATGTGAATGCTCATAGAAGCATTATTCATAATAGCCAAAAAGAAGAAATAATCCAAATATGCATCAACTCACACACGGATAACTGAAATACAGTGGAATATTATTTGGTCATAAAAATGAAGTAGTGATATAAACTATAACATGCGTGAACCTTGAAAATACGCTAAGTGAAAGAAGCCACTGATATAAGACCATATGATTCCATTTGTAAGATATGTCAAGAATAGAAAAATCTACAAAGATAAAGTAAATTAGTGGTTGATGAGAGTCGAGGGAGAAGAGGATTTGGTGGAAAATGGAGAATGAACTCAAAGTAAATATAGGGTTTCTTTTGGGGATGACAAAAATGTTTTAAAACTGATTGTAGTGATGATTTTACAACTCTGAATATACTGAAATATACTGAATACCATATTATACACACACATACACAAATACACATATACATACATATATATATATATATATATATATATATATATATATATTTTTTTTTTTTTTTTTTTTTTTCCCTGAGACAGAGTCTTGCTCTGTCACCCAGGCTGGAGTGCAGTGGTGCAATCTCGGCTGACTGCAACCTCCACCTCCAGGGGTCAAGCGCTTCTCCTGCCTCAGCCTCCTGAGTAGCTGAGATTACAGGAACCTGCCACCAAGCCCGGCTACTTTTTGCAGTTTTAGTAGAGACAGGGTTTCACCATGCTGGACTCAAAATCTTGACTTTGTGATCTACCCACTTTGGCCTCCCAAAGTGGTGAGATTACAGATGTGAGCCACCGCATCCAACCCATATTATATACTTTAAATAGATGAATTGCAGGGATCTATTAATTGCCTTAAATTACATGCAAAATTTACACATCTTACATTTTATTGGAGAGTCTACTTCTTTTATATATTCTCAAAGAATAGTTTTTTAACAAAAAGGTTCAGAGCCACTGGAGAATATCGCTAATGAGAAGAACTTGTTTGTGTTAAAACACACACACACACACACACACAAATCTATTGATTTATAAAATCAAAATTTCCTTGGTTAAGGCTGTGCCAAAGAGAGGTAAGACGAGCTTCCCAATTCTCTGCTTCACTTCTTTTATCCACAAAAATGAAAACAAGCCCCAAAGCCGATCTCTGAAGAGAGTAATCACCGTAAAATGTGATTTCACTTGACATAAAATTATTTTGCTTCACTATACCATGTGCCAAGCACTATATTTAGGTGCTGACTAGAGAGAACATCCCTGACCTCATGATATTTTCATTCCCAACTGGGACAGGTGAGAATAGAGAACAAAATAATATAGTCAATCTATTTTTCTCTTTAAAACTGGGTATGTGATGCTAGGGGACTTAATATAAAGTTTATGTGGCGGGGGGGAAATCATAGAGTAGTTCTCTCCCACCCTTATCCACATTTTCATTGTCTGTGGGGTTTCAGTTAACCTCAGTCAACCACAGTCTGGAAATATTAAATGAAAAATTCCAGAAATAAACAATTCGTTAAGTTCTAAATTACATAGCATTTTGAGTAGCATGCTGAAATCTCTCACATAACAAAGTGAATCCTCCCTCTGTCCAGTGTATTCATGCTATTGATGCTAACTGTCCATTAATCACTTAGTAGCTGTGTGAGTTATCAGATTGACTTACGGTATCACAGTGCTTCTGCCCTTATTTTATTTAATAATAGCTGTAAAGTGCAGCAGTACTATGCCTAATTTGTAAATTAAACTTAATTTTATATATATATATATATATATATATATATATATATATATATATAACAGTATTTATACAGTTTGGTATTATCTGCAGTTTCAGGCATCCACTGGGGGTCTTAGAACATATCCCTGGCAAATATGGGAGGGTGGGAGAGACACTACTGTCCCTTCGTGCTTTGGACTCAGCAGCAAATTGAACATAAAACAGTATTTTGAAGTACTCTGAGGAACTCACAATAAATAGGAACTTAAATACATGAATCAAAATAGTATTAACCTTGCACATCAAATTAATTTTCCTTTATGTAAGAAATCACTAAGCAATTTTCCTACCAGAGAAGTTCTTTAAGAGTAGGAACTATGTTTTATACATGTCCATAGGCTCAAGTTGTACTCATGATAAAAGTGTTTAAACATAATGGTTAAAGACTGGTAATAAATTAAAAATGATACAAACTACTTAGTTATTAACTTTTAAATAAAAGATTTAACCATAAACACACACACAGCATACATACAAAGCAATACCTGTATGTATGTCAGATACAAAAGACTAGCATACTAAAATAAGCAAAGCCATAAACTTTGATAGCTAATAAAACAGTTAATACTAATAGTGACATAAATGGAATGAAGGGTAGAGTGAACACAATCTAAAACATTTCTAATTCTGTTTCTCAGAGTCAGAAGGACAGCAAAACCAAA